ACGATGATCCTATCCAAGCCTCTTAATTAGTTGTTATTATCTATTTATTTATTGATCGGAATTATAGCTCTAAAGTGTTAATGTTATATTGTTACCTGTTATAACCGACGTTATACAACATTTATTGCATCTAAAAACGCATCTATAAATAATTTTGTTACAAAATAAATATAATACATAAAAATAATTGACATACACTTACGGTAATATCTGGTAGTCCCACTGTAGCCCATTTCCTCTTTTTCATCGGGGGGTGAATTTGCTCACTTAGTAGGACAAAATGGTTAGGTAACCAAATCCTGTCGAGTTCCGATGCAGGGGGTGTTGTGGTACTTTTCCAAGGTATTTTAATGGGGTTTGCGGAAGATGTCCTGCCAGATTCAAATGTACGGATGAGGATAGCAAGAGACTGATCCATCATGCCATTGATTGGGGGATAACACGAGATAATGTTTCTTCCAACAACAGAAGCCACAGCGTGCAAGGTCCAAGCAGATGAGTGTGACTTATCCTTTGCACATTCCAGGGTGGCGCTTGTGTAGTCTGTGCTGACAAGAGTCAGACACCTGTTGTCTGATAATTCAGTGTAGTATGGATCATTCAGTGTCATTTCAATGCATGTCCTCTCTCGCAGTTCTGTAGCTGATTTCTGACCCAAAGACACCAATACTGACAGCGTTGAACAGACAGTTCCCGTTTCCTGTCACCTTCAGTGGAGTCACCGGCATCTTACCACCGTACTGTTGAATAATTGACGCAGCAATATCATCAATAGAACTTGTGGTCACGCTGTGCGGATTGTTATTTACAGTCAGTTCAGGCAAATTGGAAACCAGGGCTTGGACTTCCGTAATGAGACTCTCAATACCTTTAAAATAACAAGTTTAGGCGATTGCAGATTGTGTTCGCAAGGGTTATACTAAGTAGTGAGTAGTGGCAAGTAATTGGATTCACCGATACCATAAATTAATGTTATTATAACAAATTGGCGGTTCGATGAATTGCGTATTGCTTGATTCTCTCCGACAATGTCATAAAATACTTTCCATGGAAAACTGTATTCCAAAACTAACATCTAAATTAAAAACGATGTAGTTTATCGGAGTGTAGATCTTGCATGGTGCTTTATATTATTATTGTTCTGCACAAAAATGTTTAATTAGAACGAACTATCTAAATCAACAACAAAAAAGTGCAAAGAGTCGGGGTTTTTAACTTACCGGGGGATGCAGCTTCCTCAAATGTGTCCAGTACAGCACTGTAGTTGAATCTGCACAATGTGCAGCAATACTCCCCACTGCTGGCAGACAATTCTTCGAACTTATCTCCTTGTCCCTCACACTTAGGGTGGTGCCACGCCTTGCACTGCTCACAAAACACGCCCTTGCGACAACCACGGTTGCACACCCGGCAAGGGTTGCTGATTGTCCTAGTGGATTTCTCTCCCACAACGAAACAATCCCATTGTCGAGGTTTTCGGTTTCTACGATATTCCATGATTGCGAATTATTACTCTCTCTGATAGCAATTTCAGGTTGTAATGCTACAGTAAGTTGTTGTTGCATTAAGTGTTTAAGAGGTCGCCTTCTGCCGAAGCAATTTCAGCTGACCCGTTCCTCTTTGGGACTCCTGTGTGTGAGTAGGGTACACATTTCTATTGTGAGTTTGGTGTTCACATAATTTCTGTTTTTGTATTGATATGATTTCTTTTTTCTTATATTGATATGATTTCATTTTTATCCTTGGCTGCTCTGTTTATATTCGTTCGAGTAGCTGTCCATCTCTCAGAAATAGAGTTAGTTTGGCCTTCGCTATTGCATCTCTTGGCTTTAGGAGATCTATGACAGATAGCGGATCTAACTGCAATTCTTGTTTTAACCTAGCCCGGGCTGGGGCATGGTCGGGACATTCTAGTAACGCGTGAGCAATGGTTTCAGCCTGATTGCAAGATGAACAAACCTTGTCATAGTGCTTTTTGTGACCGACTCTGAGGCGTGAGATAGCAATTTCAATTTTCCTTTCATTTGAGTATGAGCTTGGCTTTTGTTGGACCTTGGGTTGAATTTTGTATAGGCATCTGCCGATCTTACTTGCGTCCCATTGGGGTTGCCATCTTTCTGCTATGGAGGCTTTGATTTTGCTTTGTATCTCTAGTTTACTAAAGGGAATAGGCTGTATATCCGCTTTGTCTATATCTATGTGAGAGGGGATCCAACACAGCTCCACCTGTTGCCTTTGGTCCGATAGTGTTGTATATTCGTATAGAATATTGTTGACTGTGTTTGGCCTGGAGTTTAAGTTTCTGCCACTGATGGCACTTAGTGCACTTAGCGAGTCTGATAGGACGACTGCCTTTGCTACCTAAAGTTCCGGTATGAGTTCGAGTGCATGATGAATTGCCTCCAATTCAGCCGTGAATACTGACTGACCATCAGGCAAGCGAACTGAATGTGCTTGGGTTTGGAGCTGTGGATATGGATCCCGTAACCAGCACTGTTGTTGATAGGATTCTTGGATCCATCAGTGTATATATGGGCCCAGCTGTCCCAGGTAGTTTGACTTTTAGTGATAGCTACTGATCGTAGTAGGGTTGGGTTTTCCTTTTTAGTGACTTCTGATGTTAAAGCAGTGTCAACTTTGGGAGTTTTCAAAGTCCAGGGAGGTTGTAACCCTTTGTAGTGACTTTCTGGAGGCTGAATGTCATCACAATTCGAATGAGTTCACGTACTAATATCCCAGATGGTTTTAGTGAGGGCTTCATCTCGAGTGTTTTTGTCTTGCCATATCTTTTTAACCAAAGGGTTTGATGTTCGTCCCCAGAAAGATAATATTGCCTGCTCTCTTCTTAGTTTCAATGGGAGTTCTCCCGTTTCTACTTGTGGTGCTTCTAGTGAGGTGCCTGTTGCTGCGCATGTGGCCAGCGTTAGGGCGTTGTATTATATTCTGTCGAGGCGGCTCAAGACAGTTTTTGATGCTGAATGAAAAGCCTCACAACCATAGTCAATTTTTGATCTGATAAGAGATTTGTAGAGGTCCAGCTGAGTGTCCCTCGATGTGCCCCAAGATGTGCCTGAAATTGCCCGTAATGCGTTCAGTTCTTTTTGACATCTGTTTTCCACATATTCTATACGCTTGCGCCAAGTGAGCTGTTGATCAAGGATCACCCCGAGAAATGCAGATTTTTGGAATTTGATTGGTTTGCCTTTCATGGAGACAGGGGTATCATAGCATCTTTCCACCAGCGTTTGAATAGAACTCCAACAGTTTCTACACTTGAAAGGGTGAATCCCCATTTATTGCACCATTGATCTACTCCGTCCAGGGCTGACTGGAGTTTTTTTCTGATTTGTGAAATATCTCTGTGCTTTACCCATACTGCTCCGTCATCAGCGAATTTAGAAGTTTGGGTAGGAGAGTTGACATGGTCAAAAAGATAATTGATAATGATATTATTAACAGGATTGGGCTTATAATGCTGCCTTGTGGCATGCCATTGTCCTATGCCATAGGATCAGATCGTTAGTTCCCTATTTTAACTGATAGCGACCTGTCTTGCAGGAAGCTGTCTATGAAGTTTGCCATGTTCCCTTCTACTCCATTTTGTGCTAGTTTTGAGAGGAGTCCGTCATGCCATACCATGTCGAAGGCTTTGCTGATGTCCAGAAATACTGCGGCTAAGTATTGTCTGTTTAATTGAGCTTTTTTTATTTCATTTTCCAGTCTTAGAATATGATCTTGAAACAAGTGTCCCTTCCTGAAGCCACTTTGGTCAGGTTTTATGTGGTTGCCTGCAGTTTCAAGGTGATGCGTGAGCCTTTTCGTAACCATGGCTTCCATGGCTTTGCACATGTTTGAGGTGAGTGAGATCGGTCGATAAGAGTTTGGTAGGGCTTCGTCTTTCCCTTGCTTTAGCAGCGTGATAACTGCAGCATGTTTCCATGCTTTTGGGACTTCTCCTTTGCTACAGTAAGTTTAGAATAGAAGTATTTATGCTGTACGTGTTTCTCACGGAGTTGAGATGTGAGAATCGACCCTCTTCATGTTATTATAACAATTCCTAGAGAAACGTGGAGATGACATGAAATGTGAGAATCGACCCTCTAAATGTTGTTATTACAACAATTCCTAAAATCGTATTTGGTACGCTGATTCACCATTTAAAAAGAATAGTGGTGTATGTAATTATTTTCTTGCTATATGTTATTTTTCGATATTAGTTTAAGTAGTATTAGTTAGTATTCAGGATTCAGAGTTGAGCAACGTGAAAAATTAGACGGTATTCGTGATTCAAGGGAGGAGGGGGTGGGCACCCTCATTAACGACACTTTATTATAATTAATACAAGAACACAATTTTACACTTTATTCTTTAGTATCATTCTCCCGGACGCTCCCACCAGATGCTCCCCGACGTTGCCCGGACGCTATAGTACCGGACGTTTTACACTCAGTGAACCATCTGGGGCCACGCGTGAACTTTTGAAAACGTCTGTCTTTCAGTATTAGTTATGGAATAGTATACAGAATATGACACTATAAAAGAACATTATTTTTGTTCCATAAGAAAATTTACATTGTATCCTTCTAAGGCTACGTTACGAATACCTCGTCAGTTCGAATAAAATCAAATCGCATTTGCTTCTCAGATTCACCATTAAAAAAGAACAGGGGTGTATGTAAACACAATTCCAACTATATGTTATTTTGTATAATCAATACAAGAACACAATTATATAGCATACACTTTATTTTTTAGTATCATTCTCCCGGGCGCCCCCGGGCGTTATTTAGTATAACTGACATTTTGTAAAATGTTTGTTCAACGAAGAAAAACAGTGAAATCTAGCACACTCTTATTTGCGATTAATAGACTCAATATAGGTATCATCACCCAATGGTGAATTGTAAATTAACAAACAAATGCCACGTTTGAGTTCATTCTAACAGTGACTCCGAGTAAATTGTAATCCGTTTTCATCTGCTCTGTTTTATAAACAACCAACATGGCCGCGCCCAGTGTTTGGAGCATGGAATGAAGGCATGAATTCAGTAGATTTCACGTAAACGTTTAACAGTAAATCTGTGATTAATGTATGTATACCACATAGAAACAGTAATGTATGTTGTTATTTTTTTGTTTGTTTGTATGTGAAAAATAACTAATTTGAAGTTAAAAGAACAGATGAAATGTTCGCAAAGAACACGACTCGCACATTGCTTATGCTCATGTAGGCCCTTATGTGTAGTCTTTCAACGGCTTTTGCTTTTATAAGACTTTGACTACTTGCTCGTGTGTATTACTGTATGAAAATATCACATTTAATCACCAAATGCGAATGTAGCCCGGTGGTGTTCATTCGTTATATATGCAAGCCAGGAAATCACTAACTGACGAAATATAGGCCTAACCCTAATTACGCTGAAGGAGTCGTTGTCGGCACAGGTACTACAGAAACGAACCCTATCCAAAATCAGAATACAGAAAGGTACCCAGTATCTGCTACGCTAAGCGACGGACGATTTCATACTCCTCAAGCCGAAACCGGTTCATGTTGTTCTGGGTCGCCTTATGACGAGTGCATGCTGGATAATCCTGTGCATCATGGAATATTTGAGTAGTGTACATATGTCACTGTCTTTGATCGTTTTTTTATATAGAAGACTGGAATGCATCTCATACAACAGTATGACAGTTCCGATCCATTTATGAAAATTAAATACCGAGAGAAAAATAGACATTTTTAATTTAACCGTGGTTTTGGCATCTTACATTAGTAAACGTTCAAGGAACCATTTAAGTGCATCGGCAATACGGCCTGCAGTGTAATGGACCCATCCTAGGGTACATTTCAGCATTCTGATTTTTCCTAGGGTACTTTTAGGTATACAGACACTTACCTGGGGTACTTATCTGCAGTACCTGTGTCAACAACGATCCTTTCAGCCCTTATAACATTAACAGTGTTGTAGGCTGTCATTACATGTTTAATTGTTAGCATTTTTGCAGGACGGTGAAGATTTAGAAAACTTCTAAATCATGTAATCTCAAAGTGAAAGTGATATGTTTAATTTACGCGTGTTCATTTCACCTATTTATTTATCAATGTTCATCATGTTTCCTTCAAGTTTTGCTTCTGGGTTATGTCACACTGACTGTACACATGGTACAAGCTACACTCACGAGATAAAAACTGAACTCAAGAAAATAAGTAAACTATTTGTTGTAGCTGTGACATTTCAATGCAGATCAAATAATAATAATAATCATAATAAATCAGTTGAATAGCTGTCATCTGGGAATTGGATTGAAGGGATTTTATCTTGGCATTACTCAGATGCCGATATTTCATTGGCCCAGATCTACAGTATTCAATGGTATAATTTCACAAATTGGACAAAGGTTGGAATTAAAATGTTTGTGGTGTTTGAGCTTTGCCAAGGTATCTTGCATTTCATTTAAGACAGGGCCAATAAATAGAAAGGATTTTCATACTTAATTTAATAATATTGGTTTGGATACAAGGTAAGTATACTTTTAAATTCAAGAAAAAAAAGTATCACAAATCTGATCAGTGCTGATTATGACGTTATATAATTCAGTAATAAGTATTATTGTGGACATGATAGGTATCAGTTCTTGCAACAGGCAAACACAATGTGGAAATTATTTTAGGATGACAGCATCAATTCAGCAACAGTACGGTGCTGTAGGATTAGTGACTGCTTTCAGATTCGACTACCTGATTACCATGTGAGAAGAGTAGAGTGGTCCGGTGCGGTACTATGGACATGGAAACAGCAGGGCCGGTGGTGCTGGACACATTGTCCAGGGCGTGCAGCCAGGACGCCAGTGTACTGAAGCCTGCAGAGCATCAACTACAGCAGTGGGAGACACAGCCAGGATTCTACTCCATCGTTGCTGTAAGCTGTGTTACATTCAACTATGCTGCTGTGGGGGGCCTGGGTTAGAATTGATATCCCCAGCAACCTATGCTGGTTGTAAGAGGTGACCAAGTGGATGGGATGGTCATGATGGCATGGATCATTGTTCATTGTATCAATCACTGGATTGTCTGGCCCAGACTCGATTAGTTATACGCTGACATATAGCTGGAATACTGCTGAGTGCAGCGTCAAGCAACAAACACTCACTCACATTCATTTACTTTTCTCAGATCTATGATATAAAAATAGTTATGCTGGTTGATGATTGTCTGAGACTGCTAATTAATATTATCACAGTGTTTTGCTGACACCCCCAACCCCACCCCCCCTCTCACCGTATATGTACCATTCACCCACCACAACCCCCCCTCTCCCAACACATGGAACAGTAACTTAGAGGATGTAATGTGCTTGTAATGCTTCTGATCTGTCACTGTTCTTAAGTTTTCGATAAAGTAATCGTTGTGCTAAAACTGGCATAAGTCAAGGTTAAAGTATGGAAGCTACTATGATCTTAACCATGTTTACACATCTTCTTAACCACGTCTAAGGTTGTTTTGTGGAACAGAGCCTTTGTCTGAGATATAATTATGTTTTGTGTGTTTCAGAGAATATTTAGTAACCATGATATCGACACCAACGTGCGGTGGTTGGCTGTGCTGTACTGTAAGAATGGCATTGACAGGTACTGGAGGAAGACGGCTCCACAGTGAGTACCTGCTGTCTCTCAGTGCTGACTAACATGGGTACTGAATAGCTACAATGACGTAGTGATGGTTGACAAGTGAACACTGTCTCTACTCCGCATGGGGACCCAGGCAGGGTTTGCTCTAGGCTCTTAAAACTGGGAGTCTTTATGACAGCCTAGCTTTGCTACAGGGAGTCATAGGTCTTTTGTACATTAATGATGTAAGAGGTCATTTTTACAAAATATCAAAATTGCATTTTCCAACATTTGTTATTTTATTTGTTGATAACAGAGTCATATAAACTAAGTAAGCATCAGTTGAACCTTGTGTTGAACTCGGATGTGTCAAACTCACATTCTGGTCCCTGTGGATTCCTTCTATGTTTATCACTGTTGATGATCAGATCTGTCAAACTGGGTCTGTTGAATACCCAGTAGTCTCGAACTCATTTTGGAGTCTCAAGTATCCAAATTAAGCATGCATATTCTCCTGATGACATGAACACTTCATAATATGAACCAATGTCTACACATCAACTTTCACCGAAATTTCAAGTGTCAAATCACGTCACACTTTTTGCTGACTTCACTGCACTTGCAGCAATTACATCAAAGGACGGATACCTTCCAACAACATGCCTATATCCAAACAACCCTAATTAACAAGCTCACCTTACATGAATGGTGCAAGCCGATTAATGTATCCACATCGGCAGCAAGTTTCTGAAGTGTTCTCATGTGACTGCCATTGACACATGGAAATTGAGAAATCAGTAAAACAGATTATGATTATGTTAATGAATCGATTCAAGCTATGCCTTATACAACAATGCCAATCCAGACAGCGACTATCAAATCAATGACACACATAGGGTCTGCTCCCACGTTTTAAGTGTTGCTTGCCATGCCCAATGCAAAACAGACTGTTAAGCCAAATATATTTCCCAGTGGAAAGTCCCCAGCACTTCATTGTGAAGAAATCCGTATAACCATTGAGTGGATATTACCATTCCATCTTTTGAAGCCTCTCTATGTCTCTCTATGTAGACCTCTGATAGAACAGTCCCCAGTACTCCATTGCTTGTCTCTCTATGTAGACCCCAGATAGAATAGGTCCCCAGTACTCCATTGCTTGTCTCTCTATGTAGACCCCTGATAGAATAGGTCCCCAGCACTACATTGCTTGTCTCTCTATGTAGACCCCAGATAGAACAGTCCCCAGCACTCCATTGCTTGTCTCTCTATGTTGACCCCAGATAGAACTGTCCTCAGTACTCCATTGCTTGTCTCTCTATGTAGACCCCAGATAGAATAGGTCCCCAGTACTCCATTGCTTGTCTCTCTATGTAGACCCCAGATAGAACAGTCCCCAGTACTCCATTGCTTGTCTCTCTATGTAGACCCCAGATAGAATAGGTCCCCAGTACTCCATTGCTTGTCTCTCTATGTAGACCCCAGATAGAATAGGTCCCCAGTACTCCATTGCTTGTCTCTCTATGTTGACCCCAGATAGAACAGTCCCCAGTACTCCATTGCTTGTCTCTCTATGTAGACCCCAGATAGAATAGGTCCCCAGTACTCCATTGCTTGTCTCTCTATGTAGACCCCAGATAGAATAGGTCCCCAGCACTACATTGCTTGTCTCTCTATGTAGACCCCAGATAGAACAGTCCCCAGCACTCCATTGCTTGTCTCTCTATGTTGACCCCAGATAGAACTGTCCTCAGTACTCCATTGCTTGTCTCTCTATGTAGACCCCTGATAGAATAGGTCCCCAGCACTTCATTGCTTGTCTCTCTATGTAGACCCCCAGATAGAATAGGTCCCCAGCACTCCATTGCTTGTCTCTCTATGTAGACCCCCAGATAGAATAGGTCCCCAGCACTTCATTGCTTGTTTCTCTATGTAGACCCCCAGATAGAATAGGTCCCCAGCACTCCATTGCTTGTCTCTCTATGTAGACCCCAGATAGAACTGTCCCCAGCACTCCATTGCTTGTCTCTCTATGTAGACCCCTGATAGAACTGTCCTCAGTACTCCATTGCTTGTCTCTCTATGTAGACCCCAGATAGAATAGGTCCCCAGCACTCCATTGCTTGTCTCTCCATGTAGACCCCAGATAGAACTGTCCCCAGCACTCCATTGCTTGTCTCTCTATGTAGACCCCAGATAGAACAGTCCCAATCACTCCATTGCTTGTCTCTCTATGTAGACCCCAGATAGAACTGTCCCCAGCACTTCATTGCTTGTCTCTCTATGTAGACCCCAGATAGAACAGTTCCCAGCACTTCATTGCTTGTTTCTCTATGTAGACCCCCAGATAGAATAGGTCCCCAGCACTCCATTGCTTGTCTCTCTATGTAGACCCCAGATAGAACAGTTCCCAGCACTTCATTGCTTGTTTCTCTATGTAGACCCCAGATAGAACAGTTCCCAGCACTTCATTGCTTGTTTCTCTATGTAGACCCCCAGATAGAATAGGTCCCCAGCACTCCATTGCTTGTCTCTCTATGTAGACCCCAGATAGAACTGTCCCCAGCACTTCATTGCTTGTCTCTCTATGTAGACCCCAGATAGAACTGTCCCCAGCACTCCATTGCTTGTCTCTCTATGTAGACCCCAGATAGAACTGTCCCCAGCGCTCAATTGCTTGTCTCTCTATGTAGACCTCTGATAGAACTGTCCCCAGCACTTCATTGCTTGTCTCTCTATGTAGACCCCTGATAGAACAGTTCCCAGCACTCCATTGCTTGTCTCTCTATGTAGACCCCAGATAGAACAGTCCCCAGCACTTCATTGCTTGTCTCTCTATGTAGACCCCCAGATAGAACAGTTCCCAGCACTCCATTGCTTGTCTCTCTATGTAGACCCCAGATAGAACAGTTCCCAGCACTTCATTGCTTGTTTCTCTATGTAGACCCCCAGATAGAATAGGTCCCCAGCACTCCATTGCTTGTCTCTCTATGTAGACCCCAGATAGAACTGTCCCCAGCACTTCATTGCTTGTCTCTCTATGTAGACCCCAGATAGAACTGTCCCCAGTACTTCATTGCTTGTCTCTCTATGTAGACCCCAGATAGAACAGTCCCCAGCACTTCATTGCTTGTCTCTCTATGTAGACCCCCAGATAGAACTGTCCTCAGTACTCCATTGCTTGTCTCTCTATGTAGACCCGAAATAGAACAGTCCCCAGCACTTCATTGCTTGTCTCTCTATGTAGACCCCCAGATAGAACTGTCCCCAGCACTTCATTGCTTGTCTCTCTATGTAGACCCCAGATAGAACTGTCCCCAGCACTACATTGCTTGTCTCTCTATGTAGACCCCCAGATAGAACTGTCCCCAGCACTTCATTGCTTGTCTCTCTATGTTGACCCCAGATAGAACAGGTCCCCAGCACTCCATTGCGTGTCTCTCTATGTAGACCCCAGATAGAATAGGTCCCCAGCACATCATTGCGTGTCTCTCTATGTAGACCCCCAGATAGAACTGTCCCCAGCACTTCATTGCTTGTCTCTCTATGTTGACCCCAGATAGAATAGGTCCCCAGCACTCCATTGCGTGTCTCTCTATGTTGACCCCAGATAGAACTGTCCTCAGTACTCCATTGCTTGTCTCTCTATGTAGACCCCAGATAGAATAGGTCCCCAGTACTCCATTGCTTGTCTCTCTATGTAGACCCCAGATAGAACAGTCCCCAGTACTCCATTGCTTGTCTCTCTATGTAGACCCCAGATAGAATAGGTCCCCAGTACTCCATTGCTTGTCTCTCTATGTAGACCCCAGATAGAATAGGTCCCCAGTACTCCATTGCTTGTCTCTCTATGTTGACCCCAGATAGAACAGTCCCCAGTACTCCATTGCTTGTCTCTCTATGTAGACCCCAGATAGAATAGGTCCCCAGTACTCCATTGCTTGTCTCTCTATGTAGACCCCAGATAGAATAGGTCCCCAGCACTACATTGCTTGTCTCTCTATGTAGACCCCAGATAGAACAGTCCCCAGCACTCCATTGCTTGTCTCTCTATGTTGACCCCAGATAGAACTGTCCTCAGTACTCCATTGCTTGTCTCTCTATGTAGACCCCTGATAGAATAGGTCCCCAGCACTTCATTGCTTGTCTCTCTATGTAGACCCCCAGATAGAATAGGTCCCCAGCACTCCATTGCTTGTCTCTCTATGTAGACCCCCAGATAGAATAGGTCCCCAGCACTTCATTGCTTGTTTCTCTATGTAGACCCCCAGATAGAATAGGTCCCCAGCACTCCATTGCTTGTCTCTCTATGTAGACCCCAGATAGAACTGTCCCCAGCACTCCATTGCTTGTCTCTCTATGTAGACCCCTGATAGAACTGTCCTCAGTACTCCATTGCTTGTCTCTCTATGTAGACCCCAGATAGAATAGGTCCCCAGCACTCCATTGCTTGTCTCTCCATGTAGACCCCAGATAGAACTGTCCCCAGCACTCCATTGCTTGTCTCTCTATGTAGACCCCAGATAGAACAGTCCCAATCACTCCATTGCTTGTCTCTCTATGTAGACCCCAGATAGAACTGTCCCCAGCACTTCATTGCTTGTCTCTCTATGTAGACCCCAGATAGAACAGTTCCCAGCACTTCATTGCTTGTTTCTCTATGTAGACCCCCAGATAGAATAGGTCCCCAGCACTCCATTGCTTGTCTCTCTATGTAGACCCCAGATAGAACAGTTCCCAGCACTTCATTGCTTGTTTCTCTATGTAGACCCCAGATAGAACAGTTCCCAGCACTTCATTGCTTGTTTCTCTATGTAGACCCCCAGATAGAATAGGTCCCCAGCACTCCATTGCTTGTCTCTCTATGTAGACCCCAGATAGAACTGTCCCCAGCACTTCATTGCTTGTCTCTCTATGTAGACCCCAGATAGAACTGTCCCCAGCACTCCATTGCTTGTCTCTCTATGTAGACCCCAGATAGAACTGTCCCCAGCGCTCAATTGCTTGTCTCTCTATGTAGACCTCTGATAGAACTGTCCCCAGCACTTCATTGCTTGTCTCTCTATGTAGACCCCTGATAGAACAGTTCCCAGCACTCCATTGCTTGTCTCTCTATGTAGACCCCAGATAGAACAGTCCCCAGCACTTCATTGCTTGTCTCTCTATGTAGACCCCCAGATAGAACAGTTCCCAGCACTCCATTGCTTGTCTCTCTATGTAGACCCCAGATAGAACAGTTCCCAGCACTTCATTGCTTGTTTCTCTATGTAGACCCCCAGATAGAATAGGTCCCCAGCACTCCATTGCTTGTCTCTCTATGTAGACCCCAGATAGAACTGTCCCCAGCACTTCATTGCTTGTCTCTCTATGTAGACCCCAGATAGAACTGTCCCCAGTACTTCATTGCTTGTCTCTCTATGTAGACCCCAGATAGAACAGTCCCCAGCACTTCATTGCTTGTCTCTCTATGTAGACCCCCAGATAGAACTGTCCTCAGTACTCCATTGCTTGTCTCTCTATGTAGACCCGAAATAGAACAGTCCCCAGCACTTCATTGCTTGTCTCTCTATGTAGACCCCCAGATAGAACTGTCCCCAGCACTTCATTGCTTGTCTCTCTATGTAGACCCCAGATAGAACTGTCCCCAGCACTACATTGCTTGTCTCTCTATGTAGACCCCCAGATAGAACTGTCCCCAGCACTTCATTGCTTGTCTCTCTATGTTGACCCCAGATAGAACAGGTCCCCAGCACTCCATTGCGTGTCTCTCTATGTAGACCCCAGATAGAATAGGTCCCCAGCACATCATTGCGTGTCTCTCTATGTAGACCCCCAGATAGAACTGTCCCCAGCACTTCATTGCTTGTCTCTCTATGTTGACCCCAGATAGAATAGGTCCCCAGCACTCCATTGCGTGTCTCTCTATGTAGACCCCAGATAGAATAGGTCCCCAGCACATCATTGCGTGTCCCTCTATGTAGACCCCAGATAGAATAGGTCCCCAGCACTTCATTGCTTGTCTCTCTATGTAGACCCCAGATAGAATAGGGCCCCAGCACTTCATTGCTTGTCTCTCTATGTAGACCCCAGATAGAACTGTCCCCAGCACTTCATTGCTTGTCCCTCTATGTAGACCCCAGATAGAACTGTTCCCAGCACTCCATTGCTTGTCTCTCCATGTAGACCCCTGATAGAATAGGTCCCCAGCACTTCATTGCTTGTCTCTCTATGTAGACCCCTGATAGAACAGTTCCCAGTACTCCATTGCTTGTCTCTCTATGTAGACCCCTGATAGAATAGGTCCCAAGCACTTCATTGCTTGCCTCTCTATGTAGACCCCTGATAGAACAGTTCCCAGTATCCATTGCTTGTCTCTCTATGTAGACCCCAGATAGAAAACAGTTCCCAGCACTCCATTGCTTGTCTCTCTATGTAGACCCCAGATAGAAAACAGTTCCCAGCACTCCATTGCTTGTCTCTCTATGTAGACCCCAGATAGAATAGGTCCCCAGTACTCCATTGCTTGTCTCTCTTTGTAGACCCCAGATAGAACAGTTCCCAGCACTTCATTGCTTGTCTCTCTATGTAGACCCCAGATAGAACAGTTCCCAGCACTTCATTGCTTGTCGCTCTATGTAGACCCCAGATAGAATAGGTCCCCAGCACTTCATTGCTTGTCTCTCTATGTAGACCCCAGATAGAATAGGTCCCCAGCACTCCATTGTTTGTTTCCTAGTACAGACCAAGAATAGAATAGTCCCCAGCACTCCATTGCTTGTTTCCTAGTACAGACCAGGAATAGAATAGTCCCCAGCACTCCATTGCTTGTTTCCTAGTACAGACCAGGAATAGAATAGTCCCCAGCACTCCATTGCTTGTTTCCTAGTACAGACCAGGAATAGAATAGCTTTTCATCCATGATTGGAACACCTTTGACCTCAGGGCTATAAGAATCACCGTGGTAGAACGGTGCCAGATACTTTCCAGTGACTGTGGGTTGGAGGATAACATGCACGCAGCTAGTGCAGAGTGGGAGGTGCTATCTCAGTCATCGTGTGTCTGTTGTGTTGAGTTAATGTGTTGACTCTCCCCTTCAATACTTCAGTGCGCTGGCAGAAACAGAGAAGGATCTCATCCGTAAACAACTCATCTCCAACTTCAATGAACCAGTGCCACAGGTAGAGAATTGACTGAGTAATGCTTTCACATTTCAATGTATTCCAGCATCAAGAACATTGTTTATTAAAACTCCATTTTACCTGTCTGACTGTGTTCAGGCATCATGATGTTATTCTGGCAGCATTTTTGCTTTTTCCTAAAAGTTGTCAGGTTCTTTTGTCCATCTATTGACTCAATTCATGCCCTAGTAAAGTTGGGTACTTCACTCGGATCAATTATCACGAGTTACCTCCCCTATTTTTGTTACAGGTAGCGACTCAAGTATCAGTGTTGACGGCAAAGGTCGCTCGTCTCGACTGCCCCCGGGGATGGCCGGAGCTTATTCCTACAGTTCTACAAGCTGTGCGATGTAACGACCAGTTGGTCCAGGAGAGGGCGCTGCTCACGCTGCATCATGTGACCAAAATGCTGGCATCTAAACGACTAGCAGCAGATAGGAAAATGTTTGAAGATGTAAGTTTGTAGATGTGTAAACGTTTTATTGATTAAGAAAAATGGTGTTTGGCAAACTTAAACTTAACACTGTGTAAAGTCAAGGACTGGTTTGAAGCTGTAGGTGCATGCTTAGTAATGTCTCTCCAAGATTCAGCAGGTTTTATATTACTCCTGAAACTGGAATGTTCCAAAGATGGCCACTGAACCATGTGATCATGTGTGTGACATTGGTTTTAATACATTTAAGCATGTTAAGCCGGTCTAGAACTTGTTCCTATGTTGTTTTGATGCATGTGTCTGCATTATTCCATCTGTGTCATGGCAGCCTGTAAATAAGCATGATAAGCGAGTCTGGGCCAGACATACCAGCAGTGGATCTTTTGTAAAAGGTTGATAGTTTTGTGAGGTGACTTGTACAGTGATTCCTCAATATACCGCTGTCATCGGGGTCCAACATCTGATCAGTTTATTTGTCACTTTATTTGCATTAACACGCATTTAAGAGAAATTTTTCATGCATCTTGGGGAGTCAAGGTTTACCCCATGCTGCATCCGGAGTAGCGGTACATCGAGGAATGTTATATTGATGAATGACTGTATTTCTTTGACATGTAACAGATCAAATTAAGGCTTTCTTCCTCATGACAAGCCCCTGGTGGTGGATACTTGTCTCAATGAATATGTGTGAAGTATTTTGTTTTTGGTTTGAGCAAATTTCTAAGTTCTTTAACTATACTGTCCATTTGTGTCAGGTGACAAAGGAAATCTTCGGCTATGTACTGAGTCTGTGGAACGGCCACCTGTCCCACTTCCTGCAGCTGGCAGGCAGCCATGATGAGGGCATGATGGTGGCGGTAGACCGCTGCATACTCACGCTCAAAAGTAAGTTCCTGTTGTCTGGAAGCCTTCAACACAATACCCCTAGTGTTAAATGCTGTGGCAACTGTTGAGTGCTGTGGCAACTGTTGAGTGCTGTGGCTAGTGTTGAGTGCTGTGGCAACTGTTGAGTGCTGTGGCTAGTGTTGAGTGTAACGAATGTTATATTTGGGATAACACTTTCTCAGTTAAGTACAGATTCTTGTATTTTTGGGGGTAGAGTCCCATCTGGGATTCGAACCCACACTCCCAGAGTGAGGTACCTTATTAGCGGCACACAAAATCAGCGATCTAACCCACTCAGCCACTGAGGCTTCCACAAAAATGAATGTCCAACAACTGGCAGTCCAGATCACATACTTTGTGTACCCCTCTGACATGTGTGGCATGGCTCCCACAGCTGAAAGCTATGAAACACAATGCCATTTAGAAAGTGGTCAAATGAAACAAATGTTATATTTGGGATACCATGTTTCATTTTTGTTGAAGCCTCGGTGGCAGAGTGGGTTAGATCGATTACGTGCCTCACTCTGGGAGTGTGGGTTCGAATCCTGGATGGAACTCAACCCCAAAAAGTAATAGAATCTGTACTTTAATAAGAGAGTGTTATCCCAAATATGGCTTTTGTTTCACAGTGTTGAGTGCTGTGGATAGTGTTGAGTGCTCCATCTACTAGAGAGTGCTGTGGCTAGTGTTGAGTGTTCCATCTACTAGTGAGTGCTGTGGCTAGTGTTGAGTGCTCCATCTAGTGGTGAGTGCTGTGGCTATTGTTGAGTGCTCCATATAGTGGTGAGTGCTGTGGCTAATGTTGAGTGCTCCATCTAGTGGTGAGTGCTGTGGTTAGTGTTGAATGCTCCATCTACTAGTGAGTGCTGTGGCTAGTGTTGAGTGCTCCATATAGTGGTGAGTGCTCCATCTAGTGGTGAGTGCTGTGGCTAGTGTTGAGTGCTCCATATAGTGGTGAGTGCTCAATATAGTGGTGAGTGCTGTGGCTAGTGTTGAATGCTCCATCTACTAGTGAGTGCTGTGGCTAGTGTTGAGTGATCCATCTAGTGGTGAGGGCTGTGGCTAGTGTTGAGTGCTCCATCTACTGGTGAGTGCTGTGGCTACTGTTGAGAGCTCCATCTTGTGTTGAGTGCTGTGGCTAGTGTTGAGTAGTGCGGCTTGTGTTATGTACTGTGGTTAGTGTTCAGTACTGTAGCTAGTGTTGAGTGCTGTGGCTAGCATTGAGTACTCCATCTAGTGGTGAGTGCTCCATCTAGTGGTGAGTGCTGTGGCTAGTGTTGAGAGCTGAGAGTGTTAATACCTGACACTACATAGTTACCTGCTGTAGGTCTTAAGAGTTAGGTACAAAATGTCTGATTGGGACTTGTTTTACTGGAGCTCTGTCAAAAACTATTTAGATGCACATATAGGACAATCTGATCGTTCATACACTGAAGCTGACTGAAGCTTTAAACATGTAAAAGTCAGAAGGAATGCGTGCAAAGTCAGAAAGAAATGCAAACATTAGCGTCTGGTCATGTAACTGTGGAGTATTGTAATTGTCATCCAACAGTATATCATGTGACTAACCACGGGTCGAGGTTTTCCTCAAGTACCCAGATCCTACTTTTTACCCTAAAGTATGTACTAGGGCTGTTACGATTCACTAGCGCTTTCGCTGAATCGAACCGTATCCATTTATAAATTGAATTCGATATTTGTGGTTACTAGAATCGAATATTTACGAATATGCAGTCATGTGCATCTACATACCCTGTACCTAAAAATATCCATAAGAACATATTATATGCAGAGATTTCTTTAAAGACAACACTCATATATATAATTTGACAGTATTGTGGTCACTGGTCATTGTCGTATTTGAGCAGATACTAAGAGATTTCTTTAAAGACAACACTCATATATATAATTTGACAGTATTGTGGTCACTGGTCATTGTCGTATTTGAGCAGATACTAAGACTAAGAACCTGGATAAATGCAGTATATAAATGTACAATATATTAATAATTATCCAACCATGTCAAATGATTTATGTTGTTATTTTTCACTGAATATAATAAATTATACATCAACTGCTGACTTGTTATTGTATTCGTGAATAAATATTCGTATTCGTCTCATGAATCATATTCGCCTCATAGTGTATTCGTTGCAGCCCTAGTATGTACAGTGAAACCTTGTTTGGCTGGACCCTGTTAATGTGGAAGCCTTGTGTGTGATCCACCTCACCACAAAACCTGACACATGTGTTTCACTCTCTAGTTTTAAGGAAGCAGACAGCATTTGGATTCCGTGAACTTCACACAAACCCAGAATCAGTTAACTTCCTTGGCTCCATCTTCCCCCACCTGGAGGCCATGTTGGACTGTCGTGAGTACCTGTATGACCAGATCATTAATGCCATGCTGGACTGTCGGAAGTACCTGTACGACCAGATCATTAATGCCATGCTGGACTGGTGAAAGTACCTGTACGACCAGATCATTAATGCCATGCTGGACTGGTGTAAGTACCTGTACGCCCAGATCATTAATGCCATGCTGGACTGGTGTAAGTACCTGTAGGACCAGATCATTAATGCAACGCTGGACTGTCGTAAGTACCTGTAGGACCAGATCATTAATGCCATGCTGGACTGGTGTAAGTACCTGTACGCCCAGATCATTAATGCCATGCTGGACTGTCGTAAGTACCTGTAGGACCAGATCATTAATGCCATGCTGGACTGATGTAAGTACCTGTAGGACCAGATCATTAATGCCACGCTGGACTGTCGTAAGTACCTGTAGGACCAGATCATTAATGCCATGCTGGACTGGTGTAAGTACCTGTACGCCCAGATCATTAATGCCATGCTGGACTGATGTAAGTACCTGTAGGACCAGATCATTAATGCCACGCTGGACTGTCGTAAGTACCTGTACGACCAGATCATTAATGCCATGCTGGACTGTCGTAAGTACCTGTAGGACCAGATCATTAATGCCATGCTGGACTGTCGTAAGTACCTGTAGGACCAGATCATTAATGCCATTTTGGACTGTCGTAAGTACCTGTGCGACCAGATCATTAATGCCATGCTGGACTGTCGTAAGTACCTGTAGGACCGGATCATTAATGCCATGCTGGACTGTCGTAAGTACCTGTACGACCGGATCATTAATGCCATGTTGGACTGTCGTAAGTACCTGTACGACCAGATCATTAATGCCATGTTGGACTGTCGTAAGTACCTGTAGGACCAGATCATTAATGCCATGTTGGACTGTCGTAAGTACCTGTAGGACCGGATCATCAATGCCATTTTGGACTGGTGTAAGTACCTGTAGGACCAGATCATTAATGCCATGCTGGACTGGTGTAAGTACTTGTACGACCAGATCATTAATGCCATGTTGGACTGTCGTAAGTACCTGTACGACCAGATCATTAATGCCATGCTGGACTGTCGGAAGTACCTGTACAACCGGATCATCAATGCCATGCTGGACTGTCGTAAGTACCTGTACGACCAGATCATTAATGCCATGCTGGACTGTCGTAAGTACCTGTAGGACCAGATCATTAATGCCATGTTGGACTGTCGTAAGTACCTGTACAACCGGATCATCAATGCCATGCTGGACTGTCGTAAGTACCTGTACGACCAGATCATTTATGCCATGTTGGACTATCGTAAGTACCTGTAGGACCAGATCATTAATGCCATGCTGGACTGTCGTAAGTACCGGTAGGACCAGATCATTAATGCCATGCTGGACTGTCAGAAGTACCTGTGCGACGGGATCATTAATGCCATGTTGGACTGTCGTAAGTACCTGTACGACCAGATCATTAATGCCATGCTGGACTGTCAGAAGTACCTGTGCGACGGGATCATTAATGCCATGTTGGACTGTCGTAAGTACCTGTAGGATCAGATCATTAATGCCATGATGGATTGTCGTGAGTACCCGTACGACCAGATCATTAATGCCATGCTAGACTGGTGTAAGTACCTGTACGACCAGATCAATAACGCCATGCTGGACTGGTGTAAGTACCTGTAGGACCAGATCATTAATGCCATGCTGGACTGGTGTGTTTACCTGTGCGACCAGATCATTAATGCCATGCTGGACTGGTGTGTTTACCTGTGCGACCAGATCATTAATGCCATGCTGGACTGGTGTGATTACGTTCACTGTTCAGATCATTGATACCATCCTAGACTGTCGTGAGTACCTTCATTAGCAGGTCATTGATATCTTGCGATTCGTGATGGTCAGGGTTAGAATAGGTCTTCAGCAACCCATGCTTGTCGTAAGAGGCGACTAACAGAATCGGGTGGTCAGGCTCGCTGACTTGCTTGATGCATGTCAGCATATCCCAATTGTGTTTATCGATGGTCATATTATCAATCACTGTATTGTCTGGTCCAGATTGATTATTTACAGACTGCCATCATATAGGTATGTTGCTGAGTGTGGCGTTAATCAACAAACATACAAACATTATTATCACGCTAAACTAAATTCCTGTGTAACTGTTGTTGTTGTTGTTGTTTGTTGTTTAACGTCTTAGCAACTGAGATACCTTGAACTGCACTGTCATGATGTTATCTACAGTTTTCATCGTTTTGGTTTCAGGGCGGAGTCTGTGGGGTCACCATAGTGTTGTGGAGAAGTGTGAGCGGGTCATTGTCACCTTGACCAAGATAGTAAGTTTATCACCTAAGTAACCATGGCAACAGTAACTTTAAGTTTAGATCACAATATCTCTAAATTAAATAGGTATTTTTCCCTGAAACTGTGGACACACAAAGACCATCTTGTCAACTGGTGCCGTTATCTATTTAGGGATTTTTAGAATTTGTATTCTTTTCATTTCAGTGGTAATAAATTTGACTTTGACTCTTTATATTGGTGTGTACCTGACATGGAAAAACAAAGTTCCCAATCCCAATTCCATAGTGTTATTTTGATAATTTAGTAACTACTCTTGTATATAGACAGACAGATTAGACAGATATTTTCCTATCAAGATGGACTATCAAGTCAGATGATTTGTTATTTCAAATTTGTAGGTGCCGGGGGAATTTGTCATCTTCTGATGACGGTTGGTTTGAGGGCCCTTGCAGGCAATATTAGAGTCCTGTAAAGTGATGAAATGGTTTTTGTACTGTACATTTTGATATTACTTTAGAGCCTGGAAGGAATATATGATCATGTGGATGGTGGTCATTATTAATGGACACCCATTACTGCTCTTTATGCGTTGTAGGTTCAATGAATATTACTGTGTGTCCCTTGGGCCGCAGTATTTCGTTTCCACGTCCTGTACATGTGTGTGTACTGGACACACATTTGTTCATCATGTAACACTGAGATCTCAGAAACTGTATCACCTGGTGGTAGAATTGGAAATGGATGAGATGGTGAGGCTGGTGACTTGGTTGATGTTGTGTCATCATACCTCCCTGTCTGAATCATGTCCTCCCTGACTGAATCACATCATCCATGGGGCGTTCGGGTAGCCAAGTGGTTAAAGCGTTTGCTCGTCACGCCGAAGACCCGGGTTCGATTCCCGACATGGGTACAATGTGTGAAGCCCATTTCTGGTGTCCCCCGCTGTGATATTGCTGGAATATTGCTAAAAGCGGCGTAAAACCATACTCACTCACTCACTCATATCATCCATGTCTGAATCATGTCCTCCCTGTGTGAGTCACATTCTCCCTGTGCGAGTCATGTCCTCCCTGAGTCATGTCCTCCCAATCTGAGTCATGTCCTCCCTGTCTGAGTCATGTCTTCCCTCTCTGTCCTCCCTGTCTGAGTCATGTCCTCCCTGTCTTGTCATGTCCCCCATCTCCGTCCTCCCAACCTGAGTTATGTTCTCCCAGTCTGAGTCATGTCCTCCCAGTCTGAGTCATGTCCTCCAAGTCTGAGTCATGTTCTTCCTGTCTGAGTCATGTCCTCCCAGTCTGAGTCATGTCCTCCAAGTCTGAGTCATGTCCTCCCTGTCTGAGTCATGTCCTCCCAGTCTGAGTCATGTCCTCCCAGTCTGAGTCATGTCCTCCCAGTCTGAGTCATGTCCCCCCAGTCTGAGTCATGTCCTCCAAGTCTGAGTCATGTTCTTCCTGTCTGAGTCATGTCCTCCCTGTCTGAGTCATGTCCTCCCTGTCTGAGTCATGTCCTCCCTGTCTGAGTCATGTCCTCCCAGTCTGAGTCATGTTCTTCCTGTCTGAGTCATGTCCTCCAAGTCTGAGTCATGTCCTCCCTGTCTGAGTCATGTCCTCCCTGTCTGAATCATGTCCTCCCTGTCTGAGTCATGTCCTCGCAGTCTGAGTCATGTCCTCCCAGTCTGAGTCATGTCCTCCCTGTCTGAGTCATGTCCTCCCTGTCTGAGTCATGTTCTTCCTGTCTGAGTCATGTCCTCCAAGTCTGAGTCATGTCCTCCCTGTCTGAGTCATGTCCTCCCTGTCTGAGTCATGTCCTCCCTGTCTGAGTTATGTCCTCCCTGTCTGAATCATGTCCTCCCTGTCTGAGTCATGTCCTCGCAGTCTGAGTCATGTCCTCTCAGTCTGAGTCATGTCCTCCCAGTCTGAGTCATGTTCTTCCTCTCTGTATTGCAGCTCCTAGATGTCCTCACCATGCATCCCAACTCGTTCCTCGGCTACATCAAAACTACCCTGCAGTTTGTGGTCAAATACAACTTCACAGAGAAAGGTATGCTTGTACAGATACAATCTCACAGAAAGGTATGCTTGTACAGATACAACCTCACAGAAAGGGATGCTTGTACAGATACAACCTCACAGAAAGGTATGCTTGTACAGATACAACCTCACAGGAAGGTATGCTTGTACAGATACAACCTTACAGAGAAAGGTATGCTTGTACAGATACAAGCTCACAGAGAATGGTATGCTTGTACAGATACAACCTCACAGAAAGGTATGCTTGTACAGATACAGCCTCACAGGAAGGTATGCTTGTACAGATACAACCTCACAGAGAAAGGTATGCTTGTACTGTATGTTCTTCAGTGACAAAGATACTCACTCCTGGTGCCTCTGTGTCATGCACGTCTTGAGGCTGAAGGGCAGTGGCTATGAAAACCTGTTGTCGATTGACCTGTTTTCATTTAAGATAGAACTCTGTGTATGTGCTTGGTGTAGCAGGAATACAACAAGTTGTGCTGTAGTGCCAGTGTCTCAAAACAAAGAAACCTTTACTTTCTTATGTTTAAAGCCGTGATGAATACTGAATCATAATTATGCTTTTTCACTTTTCCATCTTTCTTCAATAAGGTCTTCTGTTTGAACGATTTGCCGTCAACTGCTTCAATCTGATGAAAGGGATCCTGTTCAGTGAAACCTACAAGCCCCGTAAATCTGTTCAAGAACAGGGTAACAATCATGCTCTAATTAAATTTGAAAAAATATTGTAAAATTATATCTTTTGCCTCAGGTTCAATCTCATTAAAAGCAGATGTTAGTTCTTGCTATCATTAAACAAATCTCTGAGAACCTCACATTACAGGTCACGTCAGAATGACCTTTCACAAACTTTGCTGATAGATCATCCTTTATGTCCAGTTAGGACTTCGTTAGTAAGAGCAATGTGCTCTTAGTTTATAGAATTAGTATATAGAATAAACATAATACCGTTTTCGACGTAATAAGCGCCCAGGGCACTCTCAAAATAAGAAATAGGGGGCTCTTATTAGAGTATAAGTTGGTGAGAAAAAAAAGAGGGTTGAAAGATCGTAAATTTCGTGGTTTATGCTGACAGCCTGAAATAATACAGAAAAAAGGTCTGTGCGTATTATACACGACAGATTATATTTTCCAGAATTTAATTGCCCATAATTAAGGGTGCACATAACACACGAGTGTGTTTTATACACGAATAAATAAGTCTTGTGTACAATGATCAATGGGAAGGGGTGTTAATTGGGATTGTTCACTAGCCAATATATCAGCAAATATCGCCGTGGCCGCTTATTAGGACGGGGTGCTTATTACGTCGAATACGGTACTCTGATTATGTAATTTCTTCATTGGTACTGCCCTTGGAATAACAGTGATTCTAATTGTTATCCTGCAGAAACAGTGAGTCAGATTAGTATGGAAGCTCATCTGATGGTGAAGGAGTTCTTTACGTTCCAAATGTTGGCGGAGATATGTCGTCGCCTGGTGCTCCAGTACTTCCTGTTGACAACAGATGACCTGACCACCTGGGACGCAGATGCCGAGGAGTTCTGTGAGTTCTGCCGAGTCAGTGTATTGTGTAGAGAGCATTATTGCTGATTCAGCGTATTGTTCAATGAGCATTATTACTAAGTCAGTGTATTGTGTAGAAAGCATTAATGTTAATTCAGGATATTGTTTATTGAGCATTATTGCTGAGTCAGTGAATTGTGTAGAGAGAATCTTTGCGTATTCAGCATATTTGTCTGTGAGCATTAATGCTGAGTTAGTGTGTTATGTAGTAGGCATTATACCTGAGTCTACAATGAGTCTGGATACTTGATTCTTAATCACAATGACAACCTCAAATCATGATGACTGACATCATTTATTTCATGTTTGACCGCAGTACCCTTGGAGCATCTTTTATCAGGGATGTGAAATCTCCACAGAAACACGGAAAATCTCGTTTTTTTAAAACAGTAGTTCTAGGAAAAAATCATCATCAGCGTAAAAATATAATCAAAGATATAAAAAAAAACACTCTGGAAAATATGATCGAAAACCAGACAACCGTCACGGATCGTCCTGTTTTCAATCAAAGCTTTCAGCAGCATAGGTTTTTGGACATCATACCTTTTCTATCACAAATACTTGCAGTATAACGTGGGGTGTGGCATCACACAGAAATTGTAAATACTCAGAGTCAGATGATGGCTTGTTTTTAAGATAAAGTTGTCTTTTAGCCTATAAGTGAATGAGATGTTTTACAGTTGTTCATGTGATTAGCGAGAAAACTATGAATGTTTCTTCAGCGTTTGAAAACCCATAACATGGGGATATATGTTGTATTAATGTCTTATGTTTGCAATGAAGTTGTTTTTTCAACAAAAGGTAAGTAAGTACAAGGTAAGTGTTTTTCAATATGCTTCAACATGAGGAAAGGGTCAGACATTGCTCGCTTGTGACAGTTGTCCTTGTGTCTTGGGAATGGGGGTTGAAGTTTATGGCAGTATTGCTGCCAGACCTGGTGGGTAGCTGGGTGCATGGAAGCTATGCCAGATTTTTTAAAAGTACTGATTTAACTTCGAAATTTTACTGCATCTGCCATCTTTGTTTATTTGACTTATTGACTTTTGATTTATTACATTTCTTGGTGTGAATGTTGTCCAAACTGCACGAAATTGCTTAAAATGCAATCAAATGTTTAAAAATAGACCCCCCTAGACTTTTCCTCTTTTTTTGGGGGGGGGGGAAACAGTCACTATTCAAAGTATATGTGTCAATACCATTTGTGCAGGAAACAATACACATTAGACTATAACAAAGATTTGTGAGAACTTTCAATTTGGTACTTCTCTGACATTATGATAGTTATGAGGTTTACACAACAAACTTTGCAAGGTTCACCTCATGTCATTGAGGGTTGATCACTTTATTGTTGCTGATGTAGTAGCTGTGCTACACACTTCCATTGACAAACCATGATAATACTGATACTGTTTGCAGCAATTGGAATGCCAGCAGATGATTTGACGAAATTGCCAGTCCAAGATTTAATTATCCTTATGGCAGCCTTCTAAAGGCAGATCCTGTTTGAAGTGTATAACTCAAATACTGCTAACCCTCAAAAGTAAATACGTACAAATACAAACTGGCCATTCCTTCAAGAGGATGTATTACCTGGTCTAAGATATAGACAGTAGCACCTCTTGGACCCACTGACAAGGTGTGAACAGCCTGTGTGTTTTTCTTTCAGGTCAGGAAGAAGGAGGGGACTCATTCAAATATTCTCTACGGGTGAGTCTTTTAATTACAGAATAACCTACGAGCTATGAGGAATTTTAGGTGATCTTTCCACTTCTTAATTTTTAATTAATTTTTAGTTTTAATATTCCTTCATGAGGGACAGATATGCTGTAATTTTTAGTTGTATGTTACATGTATAATTTTGATCCATTCCCTGTTGAATTGTTGTATGATGGGGCCTCGTGTGTTGTATGATGGGGCCTTGTGAGTTGCCTGGTGAGTTGTATGATGTGGCCTTGTGAGTTGTATGATGTGGCCTGGTGAGTTGTATGATGTGGCCTGGTGAGTTGTGTCATGGGGCCTGGTGAGTTGTATGATGTGGCCTGGTGAGTTGTATGATGTGGCCTGGTGAGTTGTATGATGTGGCCTGGTGAGTTGTATGATGTGGCCTGGTGAGTTGTGTCAGGGGGCCTGGTGAGTTGTATGATGTGGCCTGGTGAGTTGTATGATGTGGCCTGGTGAGTTGTATGATGTGGCCTGGTGAGTTGTATGATGTGGCCTGGTGAGTTGTTTCATGGGGCCTGGTGAGTTGTATGATGTGGCCTGGTGAGTTGTATGATGTGGCCGGGTGAGTTGTTTCATGGGGCCTGGTGAGTTGGGTCATGGGGCCTGGTGAGTTGTATGATGTGGCCTGGTGAGTTGTATGATGTGGCCTGGTGAGTTGTATGATGTGGCCTGGTGAGTTGTATGATGGGGCCTGGTGAGTTGTGTCATGGGGCCTGGTGAGTTGTATGATGTGGCCTGGTGAGTTGTATGATGTGGCCTGGTGAGTTGTATGATATGGCCTGGTGAGTTGTATGATGTGGCCTGGTGAGTTGTATGATGTGGCCTGGTGAGTTGTATGATATGGCCTGGTGGGTTGTATAATGGGGCCTGGTGAGTTGTATGATGTGGCCTGGTGAGTTGTATGATGTGGCCTGGTGAGTTGTATGATGGGGCCTGGTGAGTTGTATAAAGAGATGTGGGTGTATGTTTGATGGGGGTCTGGTGTCTTGCAGCCATGCACAGAGGTGCTGTTCCTGACAATCTTCAAGGAGTTCCGACTCTCACTTACCCCCATACTCATGGAAATGGTACAGTCCATTCACGGACCATGTGACCCTGATAGTCTGGAGGCCATTTTGAAAAAAGATGCAAGTAAGTAGTTTATTGGTTTATTTTCTCAGTGAAGAGGTTGGTATGTAACATAACACCCGGGGATACATGCATTAAACCCAGTGGGGATTCCTGAGTAGAGGACTTGTGATGATCCGGGCTTGAATAGGTCTTCAGCAACCCATGCTTGCAGTAAAAGGCGACTATGCTTGTCCTAAGAGGCGACTGCCGGGATGGGGTGGTCAGACTGGTTGATGCATGTCATCATATCTCAATTGCGTGGATCGATGCTAATGATGTCAATCACTGGATTGTCTGGTCCAGGCTTGATTATTCACAGAATATTGCTGACAAACAAACAAACATATCCTGACTAGAGTTGGTTCCCAGGCCTTGCTTATCATAAGAGACTACTTCCATGTCTCAGGGGCAGAGATCATTTGTCAAAACCTACTAGTCTACAGCTCATTGAGCAAGTTATTTCTGTAGAAGAGTCTGGGCAAGGAGTTTTAAACCTTTTTCGATGAGAGTTGATGTAATTGATATCAAAAGGCTCAAGCTTGAGATTTTATTGATCATATGTTTTCCAACTTTTTCAGTTTGTAAACAGTAACAAGTGTCTTTAGTGTAAAAAGTATTGCTAGCCAACTTCAGTAGCAGAGAGATTATTGATGTCATTTGATTGTGTCTTCATGGATACCAATGATGTCACAATGATCTGCAAAGCCTAGGAGATTGATTGATCTCACCCAAGCGATATGTGGGAGCCAGTTTTAGATGATAAATTGCTGATTGTGGCATAAAACAGCATTCACTCACTCACATGTACATCATTTAAACAAAATGTGTCAAATCCTCAAGTATTGCTAAAACTATTACATTTTGTTCTAATTTCAAGGATGCTTTACCGTTTCTCATTTATATCAAGGTGGTATCTGACTTCCAGCAATATATATGACTGTCCATGGCAGACCCAGGGATGTTCAGTTACTTGAGACTTGGTCTTTGGGTCTAAAGTGTAGAATGTGTCCAGTTCTCACTGATGTAATGTGTATTCCTGTTTTTCAGTTTACAATGCTGTTGGTCTGGCGTCCTATGATCTCTATGACGACATAGACTTTGACAACTGGTTTTCATCTACCCTCTTGGGAGAACTGCGAGTTAAGAATGACAGGTGAGAATTATTCAAACTGTCTACAAAATAACTGTGATTGCATGTAATGTTTTTCACACTAGTGTCTAGGAACACATTACTCTTTGTCAAGTGCACTGTTGTGGAATTGTGTTGACCATTGACTCATAGGCGTTTTAAGTTTTATTGTTTTATTAAGAGTAACATTTTGTTCAAGTTCCGGGGGTACGGGTGGACCAGTCATTTAAGGGCCGCAATTCACTGTGCGGAGTTGCGTACCTTGGGCACCCCAGAAACCTATGATTGTGGGTTTGAATCCCGGTTCATCCTGATTATGTTTCTAGGTTTGTCAGCACCATACCCGTGCCGTGGGTTTCACCGAAGTGGTAAACGTCTAAGACCTGCATCACTTCGGGCTTTCCTCTCACATTAAGCTGACACGCCGCGATATAACTGGAATACTGTTAAAAGCGGCGTTAAATGCAACTCACTCACTTTCTAAAATGTGGGCCCACCTGCAGCCATCTCTATTCAGAAAAATATTGAAGGGCCACGTGTTCGTGGGTTTCAACGAAGTGGTAAACGTCTGAGACCTGCATCACTTCGGGCTTTCCTCTCACATTAAGCTGACACGCCGTGATATAACTGGAATACTGTTAAAAGCGGCGTTAAATGGAACTCACTCATTGTTCAAATTCCAAATTCAAGTTCAGCAAAGGAAGGTAATGTGATGTGTGCTTATTCCCACTCCTTACCAGGGATAGAGACTAACATAGTCCTTATAATGATAATGTATAGCCATACCCTAATAAATGGCCAGTTTCTACTAGTCATTTTACCTTAACTATTTGGTAGTTTGGCAAGGACTACAGGACTAGTGCCAATTTCTAACGCTGCTTACTAGAGATGTGCAACAGTTTAAGAAGGAGGGAGCATTGTTTGTGAAGTTGTCATGTCTTATAGATCTTATCGATCTTATCGATCTATCAGTCAATCTTCATTCAAGCACTAAAGAGGCCACAGGCCTGAAGCACATAACACACAGTTATTGACCACAATTTTAACAATTCTTTTACAAATTTTAGTGCATTGCATATATACAGGGAATCTTTTTTCTTTTGTTAATTTATTTAGACTGTTTTTTGTAATTGAAGTAATATACAGGAATATGTTTTTTCCTGCCAGTGGAGTAGAATGGACATACAAATTAAAAGTGATATTCATCCTTGATATCTTGGACTTTTCACATTTTGTGATTATTCTGACCTTGGAGTTTTTGTATATTGCCCACTCCCAATTCATAGATCTAGGGATTAACATCTAAATCTTAGCAATGAATTACGATATTTCTTCATAAATATATCAAACAGACACTTATCAGTATATATATGAGTTTTCAACTAAGATAAAAGTTTGTTGGATAATGTCAACAAAAGACCACGATTGCAGGTGTATATCTTTAAGTCTTTGTAGAAAAAAATTGTAAAGAATAGATGTTATCATTATGCAGAGATCAGAAGGTTGGTGGTTCAATTCCCTGGCTGCGTGATACCAAAGACATGAAAAGATCGCACCTGCTGTTGGTATCTCAGTGGGCTAGTGCAATGAATCAGGCCTATGTCCAGTCTTGTACAAGGAGCCACACACACACACACACACACACACACAAACATGCACGTTGCAACATCAGTAAAGGAATCTTCAACACAATGATAGAGCCCATGTCACCTCACCTTTGGAGTGTACCACTAATGTTTCTATGTGGCGCCCCTAAAATCTGGCCGTTCTTTCAGCTACCGGATCGTGAGGAAGCGTGTCATCTGGTTGATTGGTCAGTGGGTGAGTGTGAAGCTGTCGGTGAAGCTGCGGCCGACGCTGTATGAAGCCATCCTGTCAGTCTTGCGGACAGAGGAGGATCTGGCCGTCAGACTGGAGGCCGCTGCAACACTGAGGAGTGATATCCTTGGCTGTGTCTTAAATTCCCTGTAGCCCCAGTGAATACAGTAATAATATGTTATGTTATAAAAGGTCCCCCTCTCCGTCCCCCCCCCTCAGTAACTTGTCAGAGGTGACCTTAGATATGTCATTTGTGATACAGTATTTGACCTTGTTCAATGTATCAACCATATGAACTATTTACAGGCCACTCTTCAGCTTGAATGTTGCTATGTGGTGTTAGGCATCAAATAAACAATAACTGGTGTTCTATACAGGTAGTACAATGTAGCTTGTGTCCTATACAGGTTGTATAATGTAACTAGTGTTCTATACAGGTAGGACAATATAGCTTGTGTCCTATACAGGTAGTATAATGTAACTAGTGTTCTATACAGGTAGGACAATATAGCTTGTGTTCTACACAGGCATGACCCTTGAAGATTCCAGGGTAGAATAGGTCTTCAGCAACCCATGCTTGCAGTAAAAGGTGACTATGCTTGTCGTAAAAGGCGACTAACGGGATCGGGTGGTCAGGCTCGCTGACTTGGTTGATGCATGTCATCGATCCCAATTGCAAGGATCGATGCTCATGACATTAATCACTGGATTGTCTGGTCCAGACTCGATTATTTACAGACCGCCATCATATAGCTGGAATATTGCTGAGTGCGGCGTTAAACAACAAACCAACCAACCAAATCTACACAGGCAGTACAGTGTATCTTGTTGAAGTCTATGCATTGTGAAATACTCCTTAACGCTTCTACCTGTTGATGACTTTGAATTCAACCCGGAACAGCTACTACCGGTAAGTATCTTTCTATGATATCATATTGTAAAATGATTAAAGGAAGTGATTCTCAAATTTGCCAGAATAAGATTAAATCAGTGGCATGACTAGCATACCCCCTTGTCTTAAGGGCAGTCACACCCCCTTGTCTTACCAGCAGTATTTGGAGACAACACTGGCCAGTTGACACTGTCATATGGTGGCATATCAGACTCCCATGTTTCACTATGTTGCAGTTCAGTCACTGACTCCCATGTTTCACTATGTTGCAGTACAGTCACTGTCTCCAATGTTCCACTATGTTGCAGTACAGTCACTGTCTCCCTTGTTTCACTATGTTGCAGTACAGTCACTGACTTCCATGTTTCACTATGATGCAGTACAGTCACTGACTCCCTTGTTCCACTATGTTGCAGTACAGTCACTGACTCCCTTGTTTCACTATGTTGCAGTACAGACACTGACTCCCTTGTTTCACTATGTTGCAGTACAGTCACTGTCTCTCTTGTTCCACTATGTTGCAGTACAGTCACTGACTTCCATGTTTCACTATGTTGCAGTACAGTCACTGTCTCCCTTGTTCCACTATGTTGCAGTACAGTCACTGACTCCCTTGTTTCACTATGATGCAGTACAGACACTGACTCCCTTGTTTCACTATGTTGCAGTACAGTCACTGTCTCTCTTGTTCCACTTTGTTGCAGTACAGTCACTGACTCCCTTGTTCCACTATGTTGCAGTACAGTCACTGACTCCCTTGTTTCACTATGTTGCAGTACAGTCACTGTCTCTCTTGTTCCACTATGTTGCAGTACAGTCACTGACTCCCTTGTTCCACTATGTTGCAGTACAGTCACTGACTCCCTTGTTCCACTATGTTGCAGTACAGTCACTGACTCCCTTGTTTCACTATGTTGCAGTACAGTCACTGTCTCTCTTGTTCCACTATGTTGCAGTACAGTCACTGACTCCCTTGTTCCACTATGTTGCAGTACAGACACTGACTCCCTTGTTCCACTATGTTGCAGTACAGTCACTGACTCCCGTGTTTCACTATGTTGCAGTACAGTTACTGACTCCCATGTTTCACTATGTTGCAGTACAGTCACTGACTCTCTTGTTTCACTATGTTTCAGTACAGTCACTGTCTCCCTTGTTTCACTATGTTGCAGTACAGACACTGTCTCCAATGTTTCACTATGTTGCAGTACAGTCACTGACTTCCATGTTTCACTACATTGCAGTACAGTCACTGTCTCCCTTGTTTCACTATGTTGCAGTACAGTCACTGTCTCCCTTGTTCCACTATGTTGCAGTACAGTCACTGACTCCCTTGTTTCACTATGATGCAGTACAGACACTGACTCCCTTGTTTCACTATGTTGCAGTACAGTCACTGACTCCCTTGTTTCACTATGTTGCAGTACAGTCACTGTCTCTCTTGTTCCACTATGTTGCAGTACAGTCACTGACTCCCTTGTTCCACTATGTTGCAGTACAGTCACTGACTCCCTTGTTTCACTATGTTGCAGTACAGACACTGACTCCCTTGTTTCACTATGTTGCAGTACAGTCACTGTCTCTCTTGTTCCACTATGTTGCAGTACAGTCACTGACTCCCTTGTTCCACTATGTTGCAGTACAGTCACTGACTCCCTTGTTTCACTATGTTGCAGTACAGTCACTGACTCCCGTGTTTCCCTAACTCATGTTTCACTATTTTGCAGTACAGTCACTGACTCCCGTGTTTCCCTAACTCATGTTTCACTATTTTGCAGTATGTGGAGCCTCTGTTCTCACACCTCTTCCAACTGCTCACACATGTCAGGGAATGTGACACAAAGGTAACCTTTGATTACAAGACACTTTCTTAATCTGTCCATTTTGTATTGAGTTAATGCTTTTTTTTTATCGCATGTGAATCTCAGTAAGATTATGTTCCAGTATGCTATGATAACTCCCCTACGTGGACCAGGTTAGAAAAGCATCCCAAGCATCATTCTTGCTAGGCACAAGAAGCCACTAGATTTGAATCAGTGGTCAGACTTGGTGCTTGGGCTGATTGCATCGCACCGTATCCACTGAGTGAATGTTTGCCCTTACTTGCAGTTACTGGTTTACCTGGTCAAGTCTCGTATACTTACAGGCCATCCTGATAACTCTTCAGTATTGTAAACTGCACGGTTAAATGAGTTCACTCACTTACTCAGACCCATGAAGATCCAGGGTAGAAAAGGTCTTCAGAAACCCATGCAAGCAGTATGTATATGCAAGGTGACTATGCTTATCGTAAGAAGCAACTAATGGAATTGGGTGGTCAGGCTTGCTGATTTGGTTTTATACATGTCATTGTATCCAAATTCCGTGGATTGATGCTCATGATGTCAATCACTGCATTGTCTGGTCAAGACTCTATTACTTACAGACCGTCGTCATATAGCTGGAATATTGCTGAGTGCGGCATTAAACAACAAACAAACAAACACTCACTTACTCCAATAATGATGTAGGAAATAATAGTGTTTGTGACCACTAGGGAAGGCCTGGTCTCAGCTGTGGCGTGGTTGAAGATGTAATGATGGTTGTGGTTTAACACCGCACTCAGCAATAATCCAGCTATATGACAGCAGTCTGTGAAAAATCAAATCTGGACCAGACAATCCAGTAGTTGTCATCATGATCATCGATCCACACAATTGGGATACGATGACATGAATCAACCAAGTCAGCAATTCTGACCACACAATCTTACGACAAGCTTAGTCACCTTTTGCGGCAAGCATGGGTTGCTGAAGACCTATCCTACCCCGGATCTTCACGGGTTGGTTGAAGATGTGACTGATACCTGGTACCCTACTGGTGTTCTGTTATACAGCAGTGGTGTGGCAGTGTGAAAACCTCATCTTGGGGATAGTTTCTGCCTTTTGGAGACAACTTTTGATACCACCATAGCAACATTGTTATCTCCTGATGTACTTTACTCTTTGCAGATGCATGTGCTCCATGTCTTCTCGTTTGTGATAGAGAGGATGGGGGCCATGATCCGTCCCTACACAGCGGCACTGCTGCAGTATCTGCCCGGCCTCTGGCAGGAGTCGGCTGACCACAACATGCTCCGCTGTGCCATCTTGTCTACACTCATACACCTCGTACAGGTGAGTACAGGACGTGACATCTTGTCTACACTCATACACCTCGTACAGGACGTGACATCTTGTCTACACTCATACACCTGGTACAGGTGAGTACAGGACGTGACATCTTGTCTACACTCATACACCTCGTACAGGTGAGTACAGGACGTGACATCTTGTCTACACTCATACACCTCGTACAGGTGAGTACAGGACGTGACATCTTGTCTACACTCATACACCTCGTACAGGACTTGACATCTTGTCTACACTCATACATCTCGTACAGGTGAGAACAGGACGTGACATCTTGTCTACACTCATACACCTCGTACAGGTGAGTACAGGACGTGCCATCTTGTATACACTCATACACCTCGTACAGGTGAGTACAGGACGTGCCATCTTGTCTACACTCATACACCTCGTACAGGTGAGTACAGGACTTGACATCTTGCCTACACTCATACACCTCGTACAGGTGAGTACAGGACGTGCCATCTTGTCTACACTCATACACCTCGTACAGGTGAGTACAGGACGTGCCATCTTGTCTACACTCATACACCTCGTACAGGTGAGTACAGGACTTGACATCTTGCCTACACTCATACACCTTGTACAGGTGAGTACAGGACGTGCCATCTTGTCTACACTCATACACCTCATACAGGTGAGTACAGGACGTGCCATCTTGTCTACACTCATACACCTCGTACAGGTGAGTACAGGACTTGACATCTTGCCTACACTCATACACCTCGTACAGGTGAGTACAGGACGTGACATCTTGCCTACACTCATACACCTCGTACAGGTGAGTACAGGACGTGACATCTTGCCTACACTCATACACCTCGTACAGGTGAGTACAGGACGTGACATCTTGCCTACACTCATACACCTCATACAGGTGAGTACAGGACGTGACATCTTGCCTACACTCATACACCTCGTACAGGTGAGTACAGGACGTGACATCTTGTCTACACTCATACACCTCGTACAGGACTTGACATCTTGCCTACACTCATACACCTCGTACAGGTGAGTACAGGACGTGACATCTTGCCTACACTCATACACCTCGTACAGGTGAGTACAGGACGTGCCATCTTGTCTACACTCATACACCTCGTACAGGTGAGTACAGGACGTGCCATCTTATCTACACTCATACACCTCATACTGGTGTTAATATTGTCTTTGCTTACATGTTTCATTTGAGAAGGTCAGTCGAGATCTGTTGTCCCATTTCTCTGCTCTACTTTCAGGGTTTTGGGTCCATGTGCACCAACTTCCATGACTTCCTGCTGCCTGTGATACACCTGAGTACCGATGTCACCCAGGACCCCCACGTGTACTTGCTGGAAGATGGCCTTGACCTTTGGCTTATGACCTTGCATCACTCTCCGCTCCTCACTGAAGGCCTCCTGAAACTCTTCAACAACATGCCTTCATTGCTAGGTTGGTTGTGTGTCTCAATCCTTCAGTAATACATGCCTTCATTGCTAGGTTGGTTGTGTGTCTCTATCCTTCAGTAATACATGCCTTCATTGCCAGGTTGGTTTTGTGTCTCTATCCTTCAGTAATACATGCCTTCATTGCTTGGGTTGGTTGTGTGTCTCAATCCTTCAGTAATACATGCCTTCATTGCTAGGTTGGTTGTGTGTCTCAATCCTTCAGTAATACATGCCTTCATTGCTAGGTTGGTTGTGTGTCTCTATCCTTCAGTAATACATGCCTTCATTGCCAGGTTGGTTTTGTGTCTCTATCCTTCAGTAATACATGCCTTCATTGCTTGGGTTGGTTGTGTGTCTCAATCCTTCAGTAATACATGCCTTCATTGCTAGGTTGGTTGTGTGTCTCAATCCTTCAGTAATACTGCCTTCATTGCCAGGTTGGTTGTGTGTCCAACGCCCTCAGTAATACATGCCTTCATTGCTAGGTTGGTTGTGTGTCTCTATCCTTCAGTAATACATGCCTTCATTGCCAGGTTGGTTTTGTGTCTCTATCCTTCAGTAATACATGCCTTCATTGCTTGGGTTGGTTGTGTGTCTCAATCCTTCAGTAATACTGCCTTCATTGCTTAGGTTGGTTGTGTGTCTCAATCCTTCAGTAATACTGCCTTCATTGCCAGGTTGGTTGTGTGTCCAACGCCCTCAGTAATACTGCCTTCATTGTTAGGTTGGTTGTGTGTCTCAATCCTTCAGTAATACATGCCTTCATTGCTAGGTTGGTTGTGTGTCCAACGCCCTCAGTAATACTGACCTTCATTGCCAGGTTGGTTGTGTGTCTCAATCCTTCAGTAATACATGCCTTCATTGCTAGGTTGGTTGTGTGTCTCAATCCTTCAGTAATACATGCCTTCATTGCTAGGTTGGTTGTGTGTCTCAATCCTTCAGTAATACATGCCTTCATTGCCAGGTTGGTTGTGTGTCTCAATCCTTCAGTAATACATGCCTTCATTGCTTGGGTTGGTTGTGTGTCTCAATCCTTCAGTAATACATGCCTTCATTGCCAGGTTGGTTGTGTGTCTCAATCCTTCAGTAATACTGCCTTCATTGCTAGGTTGGTTGTGTGTCTCAATCCTTCAGTAATACTACCTTCATTGCCAGGTTGGTTGTGTGTCCAACGCCCTCAGTAATACTGCCTTCATTGCCAGGTTGGTTGTGTGTCCAACACCCTCAGTAATACTGCCTTCATTGCTAGGTTGGTTTTGTGTCTCTATCCTTCAGTAATACATGCCTTCATTGCCAGGTTGGTTTTGTGTCTCTATCCTTCAGTAATACATGCCTTCATTGCCAGGTTGGTCGTGTGTCTCAATCCTTCAGTAATACTGACCTTCATTGCTAGGTTGGTTGTGTGTCTCAATCCTTCAGTAATACATGCCTTCATTGCTAGGTTGGTTGTGTGTCCAACGCCCTCAGTAATACTGCCTTCATTGCCAGGTTGGTTGTGTGTCCAACACCCTCAGTAATACTGCCTTCATTGCTAGGTTGGTTTTGTGTCTCTATCCTTCAGTAATACATGCCTTCATTGCCAGGTTGGTTTTGTGTCTCTATCCTTCAGTAATACATGCCTTCATTGCCAGGTTGGTCGTGTGTCTCAATCCTTCAGTAATACTGACCTTCATTGCTAGGTTGGTTGTGTGTCTCAATCCTTCAGTAATACATGCCTTCATTGCTAGGTTGGTTGTGTGTCCAACGCCCTCAGTAATACTGCCTTCATTGCCAGGTTGGTCGTGTGTCTCAATCCTTCAGTAATACATGCCTTCATTGCCAGGTTGGTTGTGTGTCCAACGCCCTCAGTAATACTGCCTTCATTGCTAGGTTGGTTGTGTGTCTCAATCCTTCAGTAATACTGACCTTCATTGCTAGGTTGGTTGTGTGTCTCTATCCTTCAGTAATACTGACCTTCATTGCTAGGTTGGTTGTGTGTCTCAATCCTTCAGTAATACATGCCTTCATTGCTAGGTTGGTTGTGTGTCCAACGCCCTCAGTAATACTGCCTTCATTGCTTGGGTTGGTTGTGTGTCTCAATCGTTCAGTAATACTGCCTTCATTGCTTGGGTTGGTTGTGTGTCTCAATCCTTCAGTAATACTGCCTTCATTGCTAGGTTGGTTTTGTGTCTCTATCCTTCAGTAATACTGCCTTCATTGCGCAGGTTGGTTTTGTGTCTCTATCCTTCAGTAATACATGCCTTCATTGCCAGGTTGGTCGTGTGTCTCAATCCTTCAGTAATACTGACCTTCATTGCTAGGTTGGTTGTGTGTCTCAATCCTTCAGTAATACTGCCTTCATTGCTTGGGTTGGTTGTGTGTCTCAATCCTTCAGTAATACTGCCTTCATTGCTAGGTTGGTTTTGTGTCTCTATCCTTCAGTAATACTGCCTTCATTGCGCAGGTTGGTTTTGTGTCTCTATCCTTCAGTAATACATGCCTTCATTGCCAGGTTGGTCGTGTGTCTCAATCCTTCAGTAATACTGACCTTCATTGCTAGGTTGGTTGTGTGTCTCTATCCTTCAGTAATACTGACCTTCATTGCTAGGTTGGTTGTGTGTCCAACGCCCTCAGTAATACTGCCTTCATTGCTAGGTTGGTTTTGTGTCTCTATCCTTCAGTAATACATGCCTTCATTGCCAGGTTGGTTGTGTGTCCAACGCCCTCAGTAATACTGCCTTCATTGCTAGGTTGGTTGTGTGTCCAACGCCCTCAGTAATACTGCCTTCATTGCTTGGGTTGGTTGTGTGTCTCTATCCTTCAGTAATACTGACCTTCATTGCCAGGTTGGTTTTGTGTCTCTATCCTTCAGTAATACATGCCTTCATTGCCAGGTTGGTTGTGTGTCCAACGCCCTCAGTAATACTGCCTTCATTGCTAGGTTGGTTGTGTGTCCAACGCCCTCAGTAATACTGCCTTCATTGCTTGGGTTGGTTGTGTGTCTCAATCCTTCAGTAATACTGACCTTCATTGCTAGGTTGGTTGTGTGTCTCTATCCTTCAGTAATACTGACCTTCATTGCTAGGTTGGTTGTGTGTCTCAATCCTTCAGTAATACTGACCTTCATTGCTAGGTTGGTTGTGTGTCTCTATCCTTCAGTAATACATGCCTTCATTGCCAGGTTGGTTGTGTGTCCAACGCCCTCAGTAATACTGCCTTCATTGCTAGGTTGGTTGTGTGTCCAACGCCCTCAGTAATACTGCCTTCATTGCTTGGGTTGGTTGTGTGTCTCAATCCTTCAGTAATACTGACCTTCATTGCTAGGTTGGTTGTGTGTCTCTATCCTTCAGTAATACTGACCTTCATTGCTAGGTTGGTTGTGTGTCTCAATCCTTCAGTAATACTGCCTTCATTGCTAGGTTGGTTTTGTGTCCAACGCCCTCAGTAATACTGCCTTCATTGCTTGGGTTGGTTGTGTGTCTCAATCCTTCAGTAATACTGACCTTCATTGCTAGGTTGGTTGTGTGTCTCTATCCTTCAGTAATACTGACCTTCATTGCTAGGTTGGTTGTGTGTCTCAATCCTTCAGTAATACATGCCTTCATTGCTAGGTTGGTTGTGTGTCCAACGCCCTCAGTAATACTGCCTTCATTGCCAGGTTGGTTGTGTGTCCAACGCCCTCAGTAATACTGCCTTCATTGCTTGGGTTGGTTGTGTGTCTCTATCCTTCAGTAATACTGCCTTCATTGCTAGGTTGGTTGTGTGTCTCAATCCTTCAGTAATACATGCCTTCATTGCTAGGTTGGTTGTGTGTCTCAATCCTTCAGTAATACATGCCTTCATTGCTAGGTTGGTTGTGTGTCTCAATCCTTCAGTAATACTGCCTTCATTACTAGGTTGGTTGTGTGTCTCAATCCTTCAGTAATACATGCCTTCATTGCTTGGGTTGGTTGTGTGTCTCTATCCTTCAGTAATACATGCCTTCATTGCTATGTTGGTTGTGATCCAACACCCTCAGTAATACATGCCTTCATTGCTAGGTTGGTTGTGTGTCTCAATCCTTCAGTAATACTACCTTCATTGCTAGGTTGGTTGTGTGTCCAACACCCTCAGTAATACATGCCTTCATTGCTATGTTGGTTGTGTGTCTCTATCCTTCAGTAATACTACCTTCATTGCCAGGTTGGTTGTGTGTCAAACACCCTCAGTAATACTACCTTCATTGCCAGGTTGGTTGTGTGTCAAACACCCTCAGTAATACATGCCTTCATTGCTTGGTTGGTTGTGTGTCCAATACCTTCTGTTCTACAGAAGTGTAGATCCCCTTGGTATACAAAGATGTCTTTTTCAAATTCTCAAAATTGTATGTTATTTGGCTTATCGCCACACCCTCAGTGCAGATCCACTTCTGTTAAAGATTTTGAAATCGGAAAAATCATTTTTCATAATAGTTTAAATATTGTGCCTAACAGAGCTGGGCACAGAGAACCTTCGGGTGTGCCTGAAGATCATCGAGGCGTACATCTTGCTAGGCCCCAGGGACTTCATGCAGGTAGGCCACATCTTCCTCTCTCTACTGATGTAACCGGTATCATAGTCTACTCAAATGAACCATTGTGCACAGAACTAGAAATCACTGATCTTTGTGAAAGAAATCCTCCTTTACACTGTGCAAGAGTATTAATTTCTTTTTAGCCTTACATGTCATGATAAACTGAATAAATCATCATAAAACACATGTGACTTACTCCCCCTGCCTGTGGTACTTGCAGCACTTCCACAGTGTGCTGGTGTCGAGCCTGTCCAGTCTGATGACCGACATCCGGGCCGAGGGCCTCATCCTGATCCTCCGTGTAAGTCACACAGATTTCTCACATTGGTGAAGTAGCACCATCGTAAAAGAATTCTTTCAAATAGACTTGGTTTGAATTCCAACAATTGTTAATTTTAGCCAGATGGAATATTGCTTCATCAGCTTAAAGTATTATTCCCTTTGATATGTTTGTGACATTACAGACCACAGACCATTCTCTAGGTCACGTATACTGCCAGCTAATGCCATACAACTTATATCAGTCTCATGATATAGGTCAAGTCTCGTTACGTATTGTTATTCACTAAATCATCTCTTCTTTCATCTGACAGTTGATCGAACTTGTCTTTCGAGCATTCCCTGCGGATGGACCACGTCTCTTCTCCCCTATGCTGCCAGGACTGCTGAAGGATATTCTGGCTCCTGAAGTAAGCGGTGTTTCACCAGTTGCTGTGGTTTGTCGAAGCTGATAGAAAATACAGAAAATTCATCTATTGTTTTTGAATAGTTTGGATCCAAAAGCAATATTTTATTTTTTCTAAGCCAATTTGTGAAAGACATGAATTGCTCTGTTCCAGGAGAATCCCATGCTGATGTCCATGTACCTGTCTCTGTTCAGTCGAGTGCTGCTCCAGAACCAGGAACTGATGTGGTCCGTGTTGGAGCAGACGGCACCTCACCTAGGACAGGACGTGAGTCATGATGGAGGGATGGCGTTAGGGAGAAATGAAAATGGTGGTGTTAGTGTTGGAGCAGACGGCACCTCACATAGGACAGGATGCTAGTCATGATGGAGGGATGGAGTTAGGGAGAAATGAAAATGGTGGTGTTAGTGTTGGAGCAGACGGCATCTCACCTAGGACAGGACGTGAGTCATGATGGAGGGATGGAGTTAGGGAGAAATGAAAATGGTGGTGCTAGTGTTGGAGCAGACGGCACCTCACCTAGGACAGGTCGTGAGTCATGATTGAGAGATGGAGTTAGGGAGAAATGAAAAGGGTGGTGCTAGTGTTGGAGCAGGTGACACCTCACCTGGAAGGAGGATGGTGTTGATTGAGAAGGGATAGGGTGGTAATATTGTTAGAGGGGGAAAGATGCTTGGAAGACATTCAAGTAGTATTTGTCTTATTAAGATATTGTGAATGTTTATTTCAGAGCCAGCAGGCACTGGGGAAGCTCCTTGATCTGTGGTGTGACAAGATGGACTGGGTCTCCCAGCCCGAGCGTAAGAAAATCTGTGCTCTTGCCCTGTCATCACTCCTTACAGTCAACCTCAGGTAAGGCTGGCGCATTATAAAGACAGGCACCTTTCTGTCACTACATGGCAAGAAGTGAGACACAAATTTATCAATCACAAGGCAGTCATTGATGAATTAGAGTGGGCGCTATTGTGAACAGTGTTTTAGTATCATTGCCTTGGTGGTAGAAAAGCCCCCAAATGATCACCACTTTAGTGTTTTGTGTTCAGTGCGAAACTCAGCAATAATACAGCTGTGTGATGGCTGCCTGTACATTATCCAGTCTGGACCAGATCCTAGCAAGCTCCTCACAGCAATAGTCTGTTCACAGAGCTCTCCATACTATCGCTGCCACCAGTGAAAGCTCCCCACTGTGATGGGTGTCCTCTACCATGCTTGGAGTTGATCTCGCAATGACTGACCGTTATATCAGTTAGCAACATAGCATTGGGGACATATTGAATATAGGCATTAAGCTTCTGGCTGTTGTATCACAGATTTACAAGATTGTGCGATGACCATAATTTGTCCCATGTCGTGTTTCAGCACGGTGGTGGAAAAGTTCTCTAGCATCATCAACATGTGTGTCGAGGTCCTCCATGACGTGTGCCGCCAGGACGAGGTGACAGGTGTGCAGATCGAGTAAGTGTCACCATGGCATTTGCATTTGTTATAAACTTTGTCATTTGCTGCTATGGTGAGTCAAATATGCTGCATCGTTCAGTGGCTATAAGGGGAAAATCAAGATAGTGTTCCTTGTTTTTATATAATTGAGGCATTTATGTCTTGTGGCTATCAGTAAAAGTATTTGTGCGTGACTAGATCATGAGGCTGTGTAGACATGGCTGCCACAGGACAAGGCTGAAATCAGATTTGATTTTTAAGTAGGATGGTTTGCTGAGAACGATGTGTTGCAGAGTTTTGTCGCACAAGCGTACCAGAATCCTTTGATCAAATTCCAGATTCACACTGATTATGATTTTTGGTTTAGACCACACATTTCTTTTCTTGCTTTACAGACCCACCCTCTGTCAATTTTGTTGAAATGAATTTTTTTCTTCAGAATTTGCTTCTTTTTTATTTTCTAGACAAGGATCCACTGAAGTTGACATGTATTTGATTTGGGATTCAAAATAAGTTTTTCCTGCAATGGATAGGATGCATAGATACACAACAATATTCCGGCTTGATTTGTCAGCTGTGATGGCTTAAATCAACACCTGTGTTGCAGGCTCACCTGCACATTAAACCATTTTTATGTTTTTATTCCAGCTGACCTGTAGTGGAGCAGAAAACTGAAAAAAAAAGAATTTCTTTCTCCACCTTCCAATTTTCCTGTAAAAAATCTGTAAAACAATTTGTTTAAAGTGTGGCCTAATCAGCACCATACCTGTACATGACCTGCATCACTACAGGGTTTGACCGCCCGCCCGGCGAGTGAAAGGTCCGGGGTTTAATCCACGGCTCCGTCATACCAAAAGACGTTAAAAGATGGTACTTGTTGTTACCCTGTCTGGCACTCGACATTTAGGGGCTAAAACAAGGACTGGTTGGCTTGGAGTCAGTATACTGTGTTTGAATGGGGTATTTATGTTAAACTGCAGCATGTTATCTCAGTGGGCTAGCACTAGAAATCGGCATCAGTCCGGTCTAGTACAAGCAGCCACATACACATGCATGCACCTCGTTATAAAGTGCAATAATCCTGGACGCGACGTTAAACCCCATTTCACCTCACCTCACCTCACTACAGGGTTTCCTCCCACTTTAATCCGACATGCAGTGATACACCTGAAATACAGTGACGCTAACTGACTGACTGCCATGTTGGTTGCAGCTTCCTGGTGATGGGTGACCAGGATGGACCCCCGGAGTCCGGGATGGAGGGCGACCAAGAAGATAACGAACATGAGAGGAGGAAGAAGATGGTAGGTGGCGCTGTTTCATGGAATACTAGCTGGTAAAGTCATGTGGTTCAGTTGTTCACTAGTCACACTGATGAAGACCTGGCTTTTAGGTTTGAATTCCATTCTGTCTGTGATTTTGATTGAATATCGTTTGAAAACAGCATTATACCAGATCACTCACTCATACTAACATCTCCATTCTGTATTAACATTAGCATCACAGTTTGGGTTCCACAAGTTTCTAAATGTAAACCATTTAGTCCAGGTTCCACCCTTGCCAGAGTTTCTGGCTATTATGAGTTATGTCCCTTTTATGCCCCTCCTATTGACAATCAGATTCCACCTCTCATATCATTTACATTTGTTTTAAACAAAATGTGAAAAATGTGAAAATGTGAAGACGGTCTGATTGATAATCAAGATCTGTATAGTTGTAAAACAGGTCTTACTTCACAAAGTGCATCAAATCTTGATTGAAAAAATGAAAGGATTTTGAAAATACCTGATGACACTAAGTTGACAGTACAAATGCTTTTTAAAAAACTGCAATTGACCGAAATCTGCACGTCAGTTTATGAACAAATTACATAATTTTTATTTAATATATATAGACTTGTTAGTCAAGCCAAAATGTAACTCCATTATTCCAGCCTAGTTCGGCAAGGGTAGTAACAGGACTGTAATCGTCAGTTAACTCCCTTGCCTCAGGAAGATGTATGTAAACATGGTAAATACAACTATGTTTACAAAACTTGTTTGAAATTCAGTCTGTTGAAATTGTTGGTTGAAGTGAGTGTTGTAGTGTGGGTTGAAGTGAGTGTTGTAGTGTTGGTTGAAGTGAGTGTTGTAGTGTGGGTTGAAGTGAGTGTTGTAGTGTGGGTTGAAGTGAGTGTTGTAGTGTGGGTTGAAGTGAGTGTTGTAGTGTGGGTTGAAGTGAGTGTTGTAGTGTGGGTTGAAGTGAGTGTTGTAGTGTGGGTTGTTGTAGTGTGGGTTGAAGTGAGTGTTGTAGTGTGGGTTGAAGTGAGTGTTGTAGTGTGGGTTGAAGTGAGTGTTGTAGTGTGGGTTGAAGTGAGTGTTGTAGTGTTGGTTGAAGTGAGTGTTGTAGTGTGGGTTGAAGTGAGTGTTGTAGTGTGGGTTGAAGTGAGTGTTGTAGTGTGGGTTGAAGTGAGTGTTGTAGTGTGGGTTGAAGTGAGTGTTGTAGTGTTGGTTGAAGTGAGTGTTGTAGTGTGGGTTGAAGTGAGTGTTGTAGTGTGGGTTGAAGTGAGTGTTGTAGTGTGGGTTGAAGTGAGTGTTGTAGTGTGGGTTGAAGTGAGTGTTGTAGTGTGGGTTGAAGTGAGTGTTGTAGTGTGGGTTGAAGCGAGTGTTGTAGTGTGGGTTGAAGTGAGTGTTGTAGTGAGCGTTATAGTGTGGGTTGAAGTGAGTGTTGTAGTGTGGGTTGAAGTGAGTGTTGTAGTGTGGGTTGAAGTGAGTGTTGTAGTGTGGGTTGAAGTGAGTGTTGTAGTGTTGGTTGAAGTGAGTGTTGTAGTGTGGGTTGAAGCGAGTGTTGTAGTGTGGGTTGAAGCGAGTGTTGTAGTGTTGGTTGAAGTGAGTGTTGTAGTGTGGGTTGAAGTGAGTGTTGTAGTGTTGGTTGAAGTGAGTGTTGTAGTGTGGGTTGAAGTGAGTGTTGTAGTGTGGGTTGAAGTGAGTGTTGTAGTGTTGGTTGAAGTGAGTGTTGTAGTGTTGGTTGAAGTGAGTGTTGTAGTGTTGGTTGAAGTGAGTGTTGTAGTGTTGGTTGAAGTAAGTGTTGTAGTGTGGGTTGAAGTGAGTGTTGTAGTGTTGGTTGAAGTGAGTGTTGTAGTGTTGTAGTGTGGGTTGAAGTGAGTGTTGTAGTGTGGGTTGAAGTGAATGTTATAGTGTGGGTTGAAGTGAGTGTTGTAGTGTGGGTTGAAGCGAGTGTTGTAGTGTGGGTTGAAGTGAGTGTTGTAGTGTGGGTTGAAGTGAGTGTTGTAGAGTGGGTTGAAGTGAGTGTTGTAGTGTGGGTTGAAGTGAGTGTTGTAGTGTGGGTTGAAGTGAGTGTTGTAGTGAGCGTTATAGTGTGGGTTGAAGTGAGTGTTGTAGTGTGGGTTGAAGTGAGTGTTGTAGTGTCGGTTGAAGTGAGTGTTGTAGTGTGGGTTGAAGTGAGTGTTGTAGTGTGGGTTGAAGTGAGTGTTGTAGTGTGGGTTGAAGTGAGTGTTGTAGTGTGGGTTGAAGTGAGTGTTGTAGTGTTGGTTGAAGTGAGTGTTGTAGTGTGGGTTGAAGTGAGTGTTGTAGTGTGGGTTGAGGTGAGTGTTGTAGTGTTGGTTGAAGTGAGTGTTGTAGTGTGGGTTGAAGTGAGTGTTGTAGTGTGGGTTGAAGTGAGTGTTGTAGTGTTGGTTGAAGTAAGTGTTGTAGTGTGGGTTGAAGTGAGTGTTGTAGTGTTGGTTGAAGTGAGTGTTGTAGTGTGGGTTGAAGTGAATGTTATAGTGTGGGTTGAAGTGAGTGTTGTAGTGTGGGTTGAAGCGAGTGTTGTAGTGTGGGTTGAAGTGAGTGTTGTAGTGTGGGTTGAAGTGAGTGTTGTAGAGTGGGTTGAAGTGAGTGTTGTAGTGTGGGTTGAAGTGAGTGTTGTAGTGTGGGTTGAAGTGAGTGTTGTAGTGAGCGTTATAGTGTGGGTTGAAGTGAGTGTTGTAGTGTGGGTTGAAGCGAGTGTTGTAGTGTGGGTTGAAGTGAGTGTTGTAGTGAGCGTTATAGTGTGGGTTGAAGTGAGTGTTGTAGTGTGGGTTGAAGCGAGTGTTGTAGTGTGGGTTGAAGTGAGTGTTGTAGTGAGCGTTATAGTGTGGGTTGAAGTGAGTGTTGTAGTGTGGGTTGAAGTGAGTGTTGTAGTGTGGGTTGAAGTGAGTGTTGTAGTGAGCGTTATAGTGTGGGTTGAAGTGAGTGTTGTAGTGTGGGTTGAAGCGAGTGTTGTAGTGTGGGTTGAAGTGAGTGTTGTAGTGAGCGTTATAGTGTGGGTTGAAGTGAGTGTTGTAGTGTGGGTTGAAGCGAGTGTTGTAGTGTGGGTTGAAGTGAGTGTTGTAGTGAGCGTTATAGTGTGGGTTGAAGTGAGTGTTGTAGTGTGGGTTGAAGCGAGTGTTGTAGTGTTGGTTGAAGTGAGTGTTGTAGTGAGCGTTATAGTGTGGGTTGAAGTGAGTGTTGTAGTGAGCGTTATAGTGTGGGTTGAAGTGAGTGTTGTAGTGTGGGTTGAAGCGAGTGTTGTAGTGTGGGTTGAAGTGAGTGTTGTAGTGAGCGTTATAGTGTGGGTTGAAGTGAGTGTTGTAGTGTGGGTTGAAGCGAGTGTTGTAGTGTGGGTTGAAGTGAGTGTTGTAGTGAGCGTTATAGTGTGGGTTGAAGTGAGTGTTGTAGTGTGGGTTGAAGCGAGTGTTGTAGTGTGGGTTGAAGTGAGTGTTGTAGTGAGCGTTATAGTGTGGGTTGAAGTGAGTGTTGTAGTGTGGGTTGAAGTGAGTGTTGTAGTGTGGGTTGAAGTGAGTGTTGTAGTGTTGGTTGAAGTGAGTGTTGTAGTGTGGGTTGAAGTGAGTGTTGTAGTGTGGGTTGAGGTGAGTGTTGTAGTGTTGGTTGAAGTGAGTGTTGTAGTGTGGGTTGAAGTGAGTGTTGTAGTGTGGGTTGAAGTGAGTGTTGTAGTGTTGGTTGAAGTAAGTGTTGTAGTGTGGGTTGAAGTGAGTGTTGTAGTGTTGGTTGAAGTGAGTGTTGTAGTGTGGGTTGAAGTGAATGTTATAGTGTGGGTTGAAGTGAGTGTTGTAGTGTGGGTTGAAGCGAGTGTTGTAGTGTGGGTTGAAGTGAGTGTTGTAGTGTGGGTTGAAGTGAGTGTTGTAGAGTGGGTTGAAGTGAGTGTTGTAGTGTGGGTTGAAGTGAGTGTTGTAGTGTGGGTTGAAGTGAGTGTTGTAGTGAGCGTTATAGTGTGGGTTGAAGTGAGTGTTGTAGTGTGGGTTGAAGCGAGTGTTGTAGTGTGGGTTGAAGTGAGTGTTGTAGTGAGCGTTATAGTGTGGGTTGAAGTGAGTGTTGTAGTGTGGGTTGAAGCGAGTGTTGTAGTGTGGGTTGAAGTGAGTGTTGTAGTGAGCGTTATAGTGTGGGTTGAAGTGAGTGTTGTAGTGTGGGTTGAAGTGAGTGTTGTAGTGTGGGTTGAAGTGAGTGTTGTAGTGAGCGTTATAGTGTGGGTTGAAGTGAGTGTTGTAGTGTGGGTTGAAGCGAGTGTTGTAGTGTGGGTTGAAGTGAGTGTTGTAGTGAGCGTTATAGTGTGGGTTGAAGTGAGTGTTGTAGTGTGGGTTGAAGCGAGTGTTGTAGTGTGGGTTGAAGTGAGTGTTGTAGTGAGCGTTATAGTGTGGGTTGAAGTGAGTGTTGTAGTGTGGGTTGAAGCGAGTGTTGTAGTGTTGGTTGAAGTGAGTGTTGTAGTGAGCGTTATAGTGTGGGTTGAAGTGAGTGTTGTAGTGTGGGTTGAAGCGAGTGTTGTAGTGTTGGTTGAAGTGAGTGTTGTAGTGTTGGTTGAAGTGAGTGTTGTAGTGTTGGTTGAAGCGAGTGTTGTACTGGGGTTGAAGTGAGTGTTGTAGTGTGGGTTGAAGCCGGTGTTGTAGTGTGGGTTGAAGTGAGTGTTGTAGTGTGGGTTGAAGCGAGTGTTGGAGTGTTGGTTGAAGCAAGTGTAAATTCTCTATATGTGTCTACACAGCTGTTTGTGTTCTCTGCAGCTTTATACAGCTGTTATATTTTGCATATCCACAGCTGTTAGTGCTCTGTACATCTCCACTGCTGTTAATGCTCTGTGCATATCTCCATGGCTGTTACTGCTCTGTACATATCTCCACAGCTGTTAGTGCTCTGTGCATCTCTCCACAGCTGTTAGTGCTCTGTACATCTCCACTGCTGTTAATGCTCTGTGCATCTCTCCACAGCTGTTAATGCTCTGTACATATCTCCACAGCTGTTAATGCTCTGTGCATCTCTCCACAGCTGTTAATGCTCTGTACATATGTCCACTGCTGTTACTGCTCTGTACATCTCCACAGCTGTTAGTGCTCTGTGCATCTGTCCACAGCTGTTAATGCTCTGTGCATATCTCCATGGCTGTTACTGCTCTGTTACATCTCTCCACAGCTGTTAATGCTCTGTACATATGTCAACTGCTGTTAATGCTCTGTGCATCTCTTCACAGCTGTTAATGCTCTGTTACATTTCTCCATGGCTGTTAATGCTCTGTACATATGTCCACTGCTGTTAATGCTCTGTGCATCTCTTCACAGCTGTTTATGCTCTGTTACATTTCTCGACGGCTGTTAATGCTCTGTACATATGTCCACTGCTGTTAATGCTTTGTTACATCTCTCCACAGCTGTTAATGCTCTGTGCATATCTTCATGGCTGTTACTGCTCTGTACATCTCTCCACAGCTGTTAATGCTCTGTGCATCTCTCCACAGCTGTTAATGCTCTGTACATATGTCCACTGCTGTTAGTGCTCTGTGCATCTCTTCACAGCTGTTAATGCTCTGTTACATTTCTCCATGGCTGTTAATTCTCTGTACATATGTCCACTGCTGTTAATGCTCTGTGCATCTCTTCACAGCTGTTAATGCTCTGTTACATTTCTCCACGGCTGTTAATGCTCTGTACATGTCCACTGCTGTTAATGCTCTGTTACATCTCTCCACAGCTGTTAATGCTCTGTTACATCTCTTCACATCTGTAAATGTTCTGTACATCTCTCCACAGCTGTTAATGCTCTGTGCATCTCTCCACAGCTGTTAATGCTCTGTTACATTTCTCCATGGCTGTTAATGCTCTGTACATATGTCCACTGCTGTTAATGCTCTGTATGTCTTTCCACAGCTGTTAATGCTCTGTGCATCTCTCCACAGCTGTTAATGCTCTGTATGTCTTTCCACAGCTGTTAATGCTCTGTGCATCTCTCCACAGCTGTTAATGCTCTGTATGTCTTTCCACAGCTGTTAATGCTCTGTACATATGTCCACTGCTGTTAATGCTCTGTATGTCTTTCCACAGCTGTTAATGCTCTGTACATCTCTCCACAGCTGTTAATGCTCTGTATGTCTTTCCGCAGCTTTCTCGTCAGGATCCTGTTCACTCTGTGTCTCTGAAGGACTACATGGTGTCACAGCTCACACAATGTCAGCAGAGTCACGGACAAGTCAACTTTGACCGGCTCATGGAGTCTGTGGACCCGGACATCAGCTCACAGCTAAGAATGTTCTGTGCCTGAGCTGTCGTGGGACAAGTGGCAGTGGAATGTTCTGTGCACATGTGGCCACACCAAGTCACATCAGAGGAGGTCCATGCCTGACTACTCTGTTGTGTCCATGTCAGCTTGCACCGGAGTATGTTCTGCTCTCGAGTGATCCAACTTGCACCGGAGTATGTTCTGCTCCCGAGTGATCCGACTTGCACCTGAGTATGTTCTGCTCCCGAGTGATCTGACTTGCACCTCAATATTCAGTGACTTGTGTGGCTAATTAATTGGCTAAGGCCAGCAACCAATAAGTTATTCGTTTTATCCAAACTGTAACAAGATGAATGACCTTTTACACAACAAGACAAACGGTAACAAAGTTATCGTTACCAGTGCACACAACTTGTTTTGAGTTAGATATTTCTAATTGAAACCTTGATCCATCTTTCACACCAGCCGCCTCTCAGTATGGTAAAGTGAGAAGAGAGGCAATTGTGACATGACTTTCAAGACTGTAAAACAACCAAAACATGACATCTGTACAGGCAAGCTTGGTTCTTCAGGACAGTGACTAGCCAGTCAGATAGCTGGATATTTAACAAGTCATGACAACACAATTTACTGTTCATGTAATAGTTATGCTCATAATGAATATGGAGGCAGTTATTGGTGATTTGAATACTCTTCTGTTAAGGTAGAATTTTATGTCAAAATATGGAGGCCATGAATATACGGGACAAGCACCCTGTCGTGTGTACCCATTTCAGCATGGTTCTGCTTCCATGTGATGGACAACCAGGACCCTTTTCCACTAATATTTCAGCATGGCTTTGCTGCAGCGACACGGAAGAAATAGGACTACTGGAGGCCGACTGAAGAGGTACAGTGAAACCTGGCAATTGGCTGTTCACTGTTTGGAATGTTTGTATATACTACACAAAAGAAGTTAAGGACCACCCGATTCTTTCATATTACTAAAGTTATATGTGTCATACCAGGACAGATTAACAATAGTAATGTTAACCAATCGGGTGATCCTTAACTTCTTTTAAGTAGTATAAAATAAAAGGGTCTTTGTTATATGGGAGTGGTTCTGTCCAGATTATCAGTGTTAACACTGTACATAGTATTAATATCCCAGGGATCTGCTGTTCTCATGGAGCTTATGTAGGGATACCCAATTGTCATGCTTGTAATGGACAGCTCAGTTGATGGTGAATTATTTCCAGGAGTTATGTGTGGTGCGTAACATGAGGAAGTTATTGGAGTTGTATGTTTCTACATACATGATATTGTTGCATGGGCCTGTAAACCTGAAGTATGTGATGATATTGTTGATGATGTTGTTATGGGTATACGTTGAAGTATATACAGAGGCCTTGTTTCCACGTGTACAATATGGTGTATTTCTTGTACATACTTTATTTCTGTCATGTATAAATTCTGAATGTAACTCATGTACAGGGATATGTTTCATGTTGTGAGAATAAAGAAACAAACATTCAGACTCCTCTTTCTGCGAGTGAAGTTGAAGCCGACTTTATTCAACTGACAGGTGTATCTTTACCAACATGCACTCGAGATGTCGTCAGTTATGTCCGCTAAACCGAAGCAAACTGAGTGTGTGCTCAAGAGACTTACTGAACGGGATCTGACAAAGCTGATTTCAACAATACGTCCCCATTGTGATGCATTGTCATCACAAATAGTGACTTCCTAGGGGCAGTCAGGAAGCCTAGTTGGTAAGCAGTTGCTCGTCATGCCGAAGACCCGGGTTCGATTCCCGACCTGGGTTCAATGTGTGAAGCCCATTTCTGGTGTTCCCCACCGTGATAATTTTGGGATATTGCTAAAAGCGGTGTAAAGCCATACTCAATCAATCAACTTAACCACATCCGCCATCTCTGTACCTCTGTCTGCCTCTATAGCATGCATGGTAGGTTGCTTGTTATTTGGAGATATCTGGATGTGCTGGTTGGTGCACCGGCACACCTTGGCTTATTGATCATACAGCTGAATTGTCATCACAGTCGATGAGGGAGTGAAAGTTGGGTTTGGGAGAGGCAAACCAGTGGTTGATAGCATGAACCACCAATGATCCATATTTTGTTTCTACCATGAACACCTCACCAGGGAATTCAATAATCTGGACCGGACAAATCAGTGATTGATAGTGTGAGTACTGTCCCTTGCAATATCAGTGAGTGAGTGAGTATGGTTTTACATCACTTTTATCAATATCACGGCGGGGAACGCCAGAAATGGGCCTCACACGTTGTGCCTATGTTGGGAATCAAACCCGGGTCTTCATCGTGACGAGCGAATGCTTTAACCACTAGACTGCCCCTTATATAATATCAATACAATGAGGGAGAAATTGAATGTTTGCTCGAAAATCATGTTTTTCCAAGGCAAATCCTGCATTTTTAAGTAATTACTCGCTTTATTTTATATATACACTTGTGTTTTACTCCTGAACATCAAATTCCAGTGAAACATCACATTATCAATGTGTTAGCAGGCCTTGTGCATATGTTATCAGTACTGTTAGGACAAAACTTTAAACCCAGCACAGAGGGGCAAGACTAGAGGGAAAGTAAGACAAAGGAAAGAGACGAGGGACAAAAAGACACAGCACAGGGGGGCGAGGGAAAGTAAGACAAGTTGCTTACAAGACATGATACTACGGACATAGTGTTGAAAGTAGTATTTGTTTAGCTCACTCGACTCAACACTGCAATAGTACAGTAATGAAACACTTGTCCTTAAGTTTATTTCCAAATAACATTTCTGAGTAACATGATGCCATAAATATTTATTTGGTAATCATCATGATAATGTTGAAGATCATATAATTCATCGATATCAGGGAAGTATGGTGGGGATACGCAACTACTAAAATTTGTCGTTTGATTTTGCAGTGGATTGTGGCCATCAATGATTGGTCCCTTTAACTGTTCAATGATTGGCCCCTTTAACTGTTCAATGATTGGTCCCTTTAACTGTTCAATGATTGGCTCCAGCATGTCCAGGACTGACCAGTTTAATATACATATATAATGGCTGACATTTCATTGTGAAATGCAGTGGTATGAAGGCTTTACTGTCTCTCCAATCACCGATCCTTGAAGTCAAAGGATGGTTTGATAGATTCCCACTTTCGTCTGAGAGTTTGTTTTGTTGCTTCGTCTGCGAATATATGGTCTATTGACTGTAGGGAGAGCTGCCACAACTTGAGACGTGTCAGTCCAAAGGCTCGTGCTGCGTGTACATACTCCTCCGTGACTGTGGTCTGGTACACACCCTTCCCGTCAGTCTATAATGAACAAAGAAGTAAGAGGGGGAGAAGTTTTAGCATTTAACTCTCCTCTGTTATACAATTGTCACCACTTGTTATACCAACCAAGTTTTCCAATCATAAAACCACTGAATGTGTAAGATTTAAATACATATGCAGCAGAGTTTTTTTTAGAGAAAATGGGAAATATACTTTATAAATGACCTTCATCTTACACATAGGTTTCAAATGGGCGACCCTGCCATTAAAGTGTTGTATGACAACTTTATCGACCCACAGTGACTTCTTCTTGAGTTCCAAAACAATATTCAGGTTATGACCTTGAGGATGACCTTGACCTTGATGTCCAAGTATTGCATGGTTACTAATACAAAGTCTGATGGCAGTAATAGTGTGAGAAAACCTGTAAGCGTGCCCATTTAAATTACTCTACTCAATAAGTTACAGCACTACAGGAAAATGGGAGAGACTTCCTTTTCTCAGGGACTACATTTCTTACTTAGGCCAAGGAGGAATACGTCATAAATTACAGAGCTACTGATAAGGGTTGTCCAATGAAATTAAATCATACAGCTTCCTGAGTCGTATCTATAGTGAAGGAAGTAACTTACACAGATAATGACAGGGTGTTTGTTGTGCCAGTACTCCAGGTGACCCAGCCCAGATAGTGATACAGGTAACTTACACATATAATGACGGGGTGTTTGTTGTGCCAGTACTCCAGGTGACCCAGCCCCGGTAGTAATACAGGTAACTTACACAGATAATGACAGGGTGTTTGTTGTGCCAGTACTCCAGGTGACCCAGCCCAGATAGTGATACAGGTAACTTACACAGATAATGACACAGTGTTTGTTGTGCCAGTACTTCAGGTGACCCAGCCCAGATAGTGATACAGGTAACTTACACAGATAATGACACGGTGTTTGTTGTGCCAGTACTCCAGGTGACCCAGCCCCGGTAGTAATACAGGTAACTTACACAGATAATGACAGGGTGTTTGTTGTGCCAGTACTCGAGGTGACCCAGCCCCGGTAGTAATACAGGTAACTTACACAGATAATGACAGGGTGTTTGTTGTGCCAGTACTCCAGGTGACCCAGCCCAGATAGTGATACAGGTAACTTACACAGATAATGACACAGTGTTTGTTGTGCCAGTACTTCAGGTGACCCAGCCCAGATAGTGATACAGGTAACTTACAAAGATAATGACGGGGTGTTTGTTGTGCCAGTACTCCAGGTGACCCAGCCCCGGTAGTAATACAGGTGACTTACACAGATAATGACGGGGTGTTTGTTGTGCCAGTACTCCAGGTGACCCAGCCCCGGTAGTAATACAGGTGACTTACACAGATAATGACGGGGTGTTTGTTGTGCCAGTACTCCAGGTGACCCAGCCCCGGTGCCAGTACTTCAGGTGACCCAGCCCCGGTAGTAATACAGGTAACTTACACAGATAATGACCGGGTGTTGCCTGTTGTGCCAGTACTCCAGGTGATGTGAGCTGTAGTCTGACACAGTCTGGGACTTCAAGTTAGAGGTCATACAAGTTTCTGGAACACCGATCATTGAAAAATAGAGAAGTATGTAAGTGAATGAATGTTTGTTTTGTGCTGTAGTCAGCAATATTCCAGCTATATCACAGTGGTCTGTAAACAATCGAGCCTGGGCCAGACAAACCAGTGACTGCAAGCATAAGCAATGGGGGACACAAAATACTGGGGACGAATTCTCTGAGCTCCTGGACCCTGTTCCACAAAGTGATCTTTGTGCTACGACTGTCGTAAGTCTATATTAAGGTAAGGGTCTTACGATCATCTTAGCACTAAGATCACTTTGTTGATCGACGCCTGGATTAGCTGCATGTTTGAGTAAAATACGGGGCAACACACGAATAGATACAAATTAGAAGTTGCCTGAAACAAATGTTAAGCAGAATTATTTTTGTAAATGTCTACTCATTAGTGTGAAAATACCCAACAGACTGGCCCCAAGGCAGTAAAAGCATTGAATACCGAAAGAAAACAATCAATACTCAAAGTGAATGATAACATGTGAGTAAAAACTCAATGCCTCAAAACGTTATCTGGAGTCCATAATTCTACCCTGTAATCCCCCTGATTCGGAGGAGGAAGCAGATCAAGGGAGTTACTCTGAAGTTACTCAGGCATTTCACAATGGTATGTAACGATTCATATCATCATTGCTGTGTTGTGAAACTAGGAATAGAATTTCTTCTGCAATGACTTGTTGTCACTCACCTTCCACTGGACTGAAAGCATTTGTCTATGTGAGGAATAATCAAACTTATGTCGACTCCTTGTTCAGAACTGTCACCTCAACATGCTCAAGGACTACATGTCTTTAAGAGTGATGGAGTTAGTGAGTTTGATTTAGGGCTGCTTTAAACAGTATCTTAGCTGCATAAAGGTATAACAGTTAAATGTGAGAGGAAAACCCACGTTGTGAACACATACAGCTTTTCTAAAACGCACAAGGACAGGCATAGTGCAGACAAACCAAGAATCATAATCAGTTGAATCTGGGATTCAAACCCATGATCATATGATCCTGGCATACCCAAGGGACACAACTCTGTACAGTGAATTGCTTCACCTTAGATGAAGGGGCCACCCTTTCCTCTAATGTTGGCAAGAAGCCGTTGTACAAAGCAATCTTAGCAATAAGGTGATTCTAACTCCCATACCTTAACAAAGACTTACCAGTTGTAGCGCTAAGGTGTTTTGTACAACGGCACCCTGGACTATATTTACCACTCACCAATGGGAATGCGTTGTTGAAGAACACATTGTGTTATGTCCTTGTAGTCTTCAGGACACTGATGCAGGAATGTCCCATGACCTATTCTTCCTACTGTTGTGCCCTGGAGGACTTTGTGGGTCTCCTCGAAGCTGGCAATCTACCGCAAAACAGGATAAAGTCTAGAAACTGTGCAAGGTTCAAGTTGAGATACGCAAGTCAGGACTGTGTTGACAAAACAAACTTTTTATGTCAGACAACACTTTGTTGGAACTAACACGTCCTGCAGCTTGTGTTCATGCCTGACAGATGCAATAGATTTAAAACATTAAGTCTGTTGATGCAAGGGCATGTTACATAATCTGTTACCTCACCTCAGCTAAATGTAGAGCCAGCTTCAGCCCCTTGCTGTGGGCATACTGGAACACAGGGACATAGTCTGCAGCATCTCCAACCTGTGGCAAGAAACACCAACATAACTGACATGGCAGCTGCTATAAGAAATACCCACATAACTGACATGGCACCTGCTATAGGAAACACCCACATAACTAACATGGTGCCTGATACAGGAAACACCCACATAACCGATATGGCACCTGCTATAGGAAACACCCACATAACTAACATGGCACCTGATATAGGAAACACCCACATAACTAACATGGTGCCTGCTATAGGAAACACCCACATAACTAACATGGCACCTGATATAGGAAACACCCACATAACTAACATGGCACCTGATATAGTAAACACCCACATAACTAACATGGCACCTGATATAGGAAACACCCACATAACCGACATGGCACCTGATATAGGAAACACCCACATAACTAACATGGCGCCTGATATAGGAAACACCCACATAACTAACATGGCTCCTGATATAGGAAACACCCACATAACTAACATGGCACCTGATATAGGAAACACCCACATAACTAACATGGCACCTGATATAGGAAACACCCACATAACTGACATGGCACCTGATATAGGAAACACCCACATAACTAACATGGCACCTGATATAGGAAACACCCACATAACTAACATGGCACCTGATATAGGAAACACCCACATAACTAACATGGCAGCTGCTATAGGAAACACCCACATAACTAACATTGCACCTGATATAGGAAACACCCACATAACTAACATGGCACCTGATATAGGAAATACCCACATAACTGACATGGCAGCTGCTATAGGAAACACCCACATAACTAACATGGCACCTGCTATAGGAAACACCCACATAACTGACATGGTGCCTGATATAGGAAACACCCACATAAATAACATGGCACCTGATATAGGAAACACCCACATAACTAACATGGCACCTGATATAGGAAACACCCACATAACTAACATGGCACCTGATATAGGAAACACCCACATAACTAACATGGCGCCTGATATAGGAAACACCCACATAACTAACATGGCGCCTGATATAGGAAACACCCACATAACTGACATGGCGCCTGATATAGGAAACACCCACATAACTGACATGGCACCTGATATAGGAAACACCGACATAACTAACATGGCACCTGATATAGGAAACACCCACATAACTGACATGGCACCTGATATAGGAAACACCCACATAACTAACATGGCACCTGATATAGGAAACACCCACATAACTAACATGGCGCCTGATATAGGAAACACCCACATAACTGACATGGCACCTGATATAGGAAACACCCACATAACTAACATGGCACCTGATATAGGAAATACCCACATAACTGACATGGCACCTGATATAGGAAATACCCACATAACTGACATGGCAGCTGCTATAGGAAACGCCCACATAACTAACATGGTGCCTGATATAGGAAACACCCACATAACTGACATGGCACCTGATATAGGAAACACCCACATAACTAACATGGCGCCTGATATAGGAAACACCCACATAACTAACATGGCGCCTGATATAGGAAACACCCACATAACTGACATGGCACCTGATATAGGAAACACCCACATAACTAACATGGCACCTGATATAGGAAATACCCACATAACTGACATGGCACCTGATATAGGAAATACCCACATAACTTACATGGCAGCTGCTATAGGAAACGCCCACATAACTAACATGGTGCCTAATACAGGAAACACCCACTTAACTGACATGGTGTCTGTCAGACTTGATTGTTTACAGACCACGTCAGTGGTCTGGTAGAGCGTCCCAGAGAGGGGAAGGTTGAGGGTTTGATTCCCGGCCGCATCATACCAAAAGATGGTAAAAGATTGTCTAAAACAAGGGTCTAAAACAAGGACTGGTCAACTCAGTCAGTATACTGAGTCATATGGCAGGAGTATCGCTGGGTGCGGCGTTAGGCAACTAATTTTCATGAAAAAGGTGTGAGTGGCTGTGGTACCTGTAGGGTAGGTCATGCTTACCCTTTTAGTGAATACCTGCTGTCATCACAGATGTTCAGTGATTTATTCATATAATTTTTACCAGTATTTTAGCTATTATGCCCAATGGAATCTGTTTCGGAAGATAATTTTCTGGTGTTGATGTTTTGAACATAATAAATATGGTACCGGTACCTTCAGCCATTCCGATTACAGTGTCCCCCAAGTACTGTATTAAAGGTGACACCCATGCTGGTGCAACAGATCATGAATTTTCTCACCAAAAATGTTCCACAAGAAATAGCATAACAGAGTTTTGCACGGCACATAAAAATGCATCCATTATGCACAAATGCATGGTTTGGACACACAGTGAATACACTGCACATTTTATATGAAATAAACAAATTGTTCTGTGATTTGAAAGGTCTCTAATATACAATTATTTTTTTTGCATAAGTTATACCAGGGTATGAAACTCCAAAAAATTTCAGCCAGACCACAGGACTGGCTAGCTGAAATACTTGCCAGCCCTGACCAAAACCTGCCTGCCCACTATAATCATATGTTTCTCAGGATAAGCTAACGGGGTTTCTTTTTGGTTACATTTTATCATTCATCTTTACATGTGAATTAATGCTTATCATCGGGAAATATTTTGAATATTTTCACATATGAAATATAACCCGACCGTCGGGCAGGGGGATTTGAAAATCTGGCAGCCCGAGTTGAAATCAACCCGTCTCGGACGGTCGGGCAGGCAGGTATTTCGAACACTGGTAAAACCACACCATATCTAAGTTTGACATGTCACTGTGTAAGCCAGTGGTTTATAGAATATAAGCCACGATGACACACAATCAATTCAGGTCAAAGGTGGCCCATTTGATTGCACTACACACAAGGCTAAAAAAATAAAAGAATTGGTTCTCAGGCAATGACTTTTGAAAACATAGTGTGAGCTGGTGGACGGTGTTTTTTTGTGTGTGTGACTTGTTCAAACTAGTATGTAACCAAATAAACATTTGTGTACCATCAACCTGGGAAAAGGCCTCCCTACATAAACAAGCATACAAACTCCTATTGCCGCTATGACCATAACACGATATGTGCAATAAAGCAGCGCGCATGTAAAGGGAAGTAACTGTGCGTCATATTGGATCGCACTGTTTTTAAGTATTAGGATTTCTATATATTTTTTTAAATGGAAATAAAAACGAAACGTGCTGTGGACCTTATGTTAATGCGGGCAGTACCTGAGAACCAAGACAAATTATTTTTTTTATACCAAGACTTACTAATGGGTCTCCACTGAAGTCGATCCCACACACAACACCATTGGACGACTGCGCATACTTGTAGGCCAAGTCAACTGTCTTGTAGGCCACGTCTACCCCGTTCCTGCGGTCAATGGAAGGGAGGATCCTCACCACAGTGTCCACCCCTCCCTCCTCACAGTCCCGCACTGCCCTCAACATGCACTCCAAATACACCTCGGGGGTCAGGCCAGTCTCTGGGATTGTCTTCGGGGTGGAGCGGAGCTCAAGGTACTTCACGTTGTCAGCAGCAAACTCATGTATGATGTCATGGGTCAGCTATAGAGATAACAGATCATTGTTATTTGCACACAGAGGGACAGAGATGTTATAGGGACTGTCATTAAATTATAATATTCCCTGTATCCCCTGATACTGTATAAAAGGACAAAAGGGAGTTGCAACAGAAATAGTATCTTTAAACTTAATATAATTTTCAAAACATGTCAAAATATGTTTGAAGTTTTTTAAACACTGGTACTGATGAATACAGCAATAATTTATTAGCTTGCTAATTTATGATCCAAAACAATTCAAGTGCTATCAACAGCTGTGATCTAGAGGATACAGAGTGTCTGCCTGGAGAATTGAAGATCAGTGATTCGATCACTAGTCATGTCATACCAAGAGACAGAATGAAGAGAAGAAACCAGAACTGGTTGGTTCAGTATACTGTATCTGAGTGAGGAATCCATGGAAAAGTGCAGCAAGGTTTGTGTGTGGGCTAACATCATAAAAGTATGCACACCTGTATACACACAATCAAACACACACTCAGCTATGTAAGCACAATAATCTTGACGGCCACATAGTAGGTTCAACACTGTTCCATCAATGTTGTTAGCCAGAGACCAGCAAAACCATGAAGGTAAAGAAGATCTTGGTGATGTCAGGAAGTCATTTTAACAAAGAAATTCTCCCCTTTTTATGCTTTTTTGTCATGACCTTGAAATATCAATGCTCAATTCCAAAACCAAATGTTGTTGAGATTCATGATCACAGGTGAATCTGCATCTTGTTATAAATTTTGGCAACATAAAATGTGAGAAAGGTAAATAACACTGTTATTTGCCACTACTTACAGTGTAGATAGCGTGAGCGTCATTGCATACCATGTGGATTTGTCTGAATTTGCTGAAAGATCTGGAAAGTAGAAAAGGGATTACTACGTTCTGCCCCGAACACATGTGACTTGTTCATTTATAGTGAATTCAAAACGTCAACTCCAGAGAATGGTTAGTCTCGGATATTTGACGAAACATATTCCACAGGGCGTGATGGCAAATTAGTGATGGAAATAGCATGAATGGACCACTGATGACACAATGTGTGTGTGGAAAGGGTCTGTATGTCCCACGCCACCGTCATTACCAGGCACTCATACCATTTTCATTCAAAAGTAAATGCTATCGAGTAAGGCTTAAAAAAAATAAAAGAATTGGTTCTCAGGCAATGTTTTTTAAAAATATAATGTGGGTTGACGGAGTCTTTTGGGGTGGGGGTGGGGGGTGTGTGTGTGTGTGTGTGTGTGTGTGTGTGTGTGTGTGTGTGGATGGGGGGTTTGTTCATACCTGTATGTAACCAAATAAACAATGTGTACAATCAACCTGGTAAAGGGCCTCCCTACATAAATGTATTCCTTGATGAGTAAAATACTGGAATACAGTATTTGACTACCGTTGGACATGGAATATTAACGGATTTTTGTGTGTTTTATTTCGAAATGAAAATAAAAACAAAATGTGCTGCACAGTGCGGGCGGTGCCTGCAGAGAGTCAAAACTGTTATTTTTTTAGCCTAAGATTTAAAACTCCATGTTAAAGGTCAAGTACGGGTCAGCATTGTGCATCTTACTGAAAAGGGATGTTTCATATTTAATAAATTCCACCGAAGGTCTAACATAAAATATCTGAAGTGACTTTACCAGGCCTTTGTTCATGAAACGTTGGTTGTAAAGCTTGTAAGCAATACCTTATGCTAACACAGATATTGTTTCATCATCTATTAAGATGGCTTCACATCCCTTTGTGGTTTCAGTATCTCAGCATGCATGAGAGGTTTCATTGTGTTTAACGTGACTAATCGTGAAAATCTGTTTCCTACTCTTCTATTCCAGCAGTCTCATTCCCATCGAACGTCATCTTCTGGGAGGTGAAGGTTGGGTCAAGTTGAATCTTCCTGTCCACCAGTGCTTGCAGTGTTACTTTGCTGAAACTGGTGTTGAGGTGTGCATGAAGCTCCTGCAGAACAAAACACACTGTTTCAGTTTAGTAGAGAGTGAGTGTACATAGTAGGGATGGGTATTGGATGTTTAAAGTGTATCACAATATTTTACAATGCACAAGGCGGTATTGCGATACATATCACAATAAACTGAATAATTCAAAATTTTGAATTCAGAAGCAATTTGAAACATCAATGAAGCAATTGAAGTTCACAGATGGAACAAAACAAGATGCTGGAACAGCATAATGTTTACTCTTTCAATAAATACACAAGGATGTAATACTTGGTGTTACACCACTGCCACAGAAGAATGCCAACTTCCATTTTGGAATTACGGAAACATTTCGAAGGTACATGTATTTTTGCAAATGTATAACATTAAACACATGATAAAAATCATACATACCGAGCATTAAAACATGATATTGTGATACGTATCATGGTAAGAATGAAACTCAATTTACTGATATACCGGTAATACTGCACAGCCTTAGAGTATACTATGCAGTGATTCAAAATAATGGGGAACCTTGATCCTTAAAGGGACAGTGAGTAGTCTGTTCTGTGTGTTTTTAAATCATGCATGAAATCATTTCCGAATGTGACGTCACATGCCCGATTCAGTTCTTAAACCAAAACAATAGAGCTCTGCACAGTGAAGCCAACAATACAAGCTTGTTCAGAGTAAACTGGTTCAGTCTTGTTGTTTTATTAGAGGCAAATGGAAGTGAAAGCTTGTGTGTTTTTCTTACAGCTGAGTGACAAAATCGTTATCACTCTCCTACCCATGGCATCATCACATCTCACACATTCCATTCATGTGTATTTCAGCTAGGGACCAGCTAAATGTGTTACTTTAAATATTAGGGTTTGACACGGATCCCTTGACTTTCATGTTTAATTTCGAACACTGCTATAGTTTTAGCTGCATGATTTTAGCAATACGCAAGATCAACTATCAAGTGTCGCTGGCACATTACCACACGAATCATGAAATAGAGCTGCACAATATGCAAGTCAACACTTAGACCAAGCTATACTTTCTCATACTTGCTGAACCAATCAATGATGGACAGGTAAGGTGACATAAACTCACGTTGAATGTTGAGTATCAACATTTGCGAAAATATGCAGGTGCACATAATCTGATAATCATGATAATATCCATTTTGAATTTCCACCCACCTCCAAGAAATATATTTTATCTAAGGGCTTGATTCATTTATTTGCTGTTTATGCTGCACTTAGCAATATTCCAGCTTCCTTTACATATGAATGCGGTCTGTAAATATTTGAGTCTGGACCAGACAATCCAGTGATGGATATCATGAGCATTGAGCATTGATCCTCACAATTGGGACACGATGACATGTATCAACCAAGCCTGCAAGGCTGACCACCCAATCCCATTAGTCGCCTCTTACGACAAGAATAGTCACCTTTTACGGCAAGCATGGGTTGCTGGCGACCTATTCTCACCTAGATCTTCATGGGTCCTAATTCTCTAAGGGCTTGAAAACAGGTTGTCACATTTGAAAGTAACAACTTTGTAAAGGTTGAAAATAATAACAACTCTTTCAAGAAAATTAATAATATTTCTGCTTGTTAACTATTTGAGGACTTACTTTTGGGGATCGACAGTGATGAATAAAAGGACAGTGTTATTATTATTAGCCCATGCAAACAGAGACCATATAATAGACTATTATATGGTCTCTGATGCAAAGTAGGTGTAAAAACAAAAGGTACGTCTACATACAATTTTTGGCAGAGCTGCACAAAATGTTCTCAAGCCTTCCTCTGACATTATTCATTCAAAGTAGTTTTCTTTCTTTAATAAGTTTCTTTCACTCTGTAACTTGCAGATCCAGAGTCAGCTTGGTCGACTTGTGTAGACTGGGCAACTGTCTTGAACGCTTCGGACACCGCGTATGTAGCGACCAGAACTGGGATAAGCATCGTAGAGAATTATATCTCTGGCATGCAACTATGTGTTTAACTGACAAACATTTAATAAGAGCAAAATCATCTGCACTTCTTGTGTTTTGTATTTTTACTCCGTTCTGCAAAGTGCGCCAATGGCAATGCTACTGACTCGATGTCCGACATTCTCAGCTAAATATAGCAGCGTATAAAAGTGGTAATGCGGAACTAAAGCGGAATACAATTTCTTCTTTTTATGCATATCGCTCATGACAAAATGCAATTCCTATAAAAATGGTCGTGTTGCTTATTATCTGTAATTACTGCCCATTGCCATGTTTAATTTCTAACCATGATATCACTCCCAAATGTATTATTTAATTGTCTATCATATCATAACCTTTGTGAGGTGGTGACATGTTTAATAACAGAGTAAATTTTCTGTTAAATAGCTATCTTCGCCACTTCTGAACACAGTGTTTCCTATAAAATAGCAAAAGCAAAATGAAAATAAAATTATCTAACTATCTAACTTATGTATTTTAAAGTTGTTATGCCACTCATTGGTGGGGATACAAGCGTAATAATTCAAGTTCCTAGGATGTTTGTGTTATGCAATTTTGCAAGAGTTATGAGAGTTGGACATATTTCTTCTCATACACAGTAAAACAGCAGGTAAATGTCTAGGAATAAATACTCATGACATTGTACAATAGGCCACGATGTTCACAAAATATATGTGGGAGGGTATGTACATCAATATAATAATATTAATTATTTTGAATATAACTAAGTGTGTCATTAAACATCAAACAATGAATACTCAACATGTCAGAGTTGAAAGGGGTACATTTAAATTTGTACTGTTCAAGGGATTTCTAAGCCCCAACACCTCACAGCCCTCTGGCAACTGATGCGTGTATTTTTGTTTGTATTCTCAAGTCCCAAAGTCATTTTTTGTAAATATTACCATCATTATCATGTTAGATTTTAGTGGTAACAATTATTCAAAATCACTCCATTTGATTATTGTGTACATGATGATAAAAGCAACTACTTTTCTTATATTAATGGAGGAGGTACATGTAACTGCTTCCACGCATAGCAGATGCAGGATGTGAGAAAGTTTGTGCTTCATCTTAGAAGTCTAAATTAAAAAATAAAAGAAACTAATTACATATAGAAATATTAGAGTAGAAATTGTTGAAAAAGATTTCTCTTGTTAAAAAAAGATTTCTTTAATGTTCCTTTGATTCACCCACCACCCTATTCTTTTTCTCATTGTTTTAAAGGAAAAAATACATATGTAATACCCGGTATGACAAAATCTCCTTCCTGGTCAGTATTAAAATAACTGGGAAACTCATTGAACCATTCCTGGTAGCTTATTGACATAAAAACGTTGAAGCTTTCATAACCGTTTTGCCAGCAGAATGTCCTCATATTTCTGGGGAGACCATATGGAATCTAAATGATATTATTTAATATGATTGAAATATTTAGAAAGGTTTCAAAATTACCAACTTAAGACAGATAACATATATTTAATAAACCCATTACTAATAGAGAACTGAACTTGTTATCTCATGCTCTGTCATCATTGACATCTAAATTTGCAAGACAAAGCAACAGTAAGAGTTATCCTCCCTTTACAACTTGATCAAAATGGTCGTCTGGTCCTTGCTGTTGAAGGCCAAGTGGCTGAAGTTTCTAAGATAATATTTCTTTGAAAGACGAGAATGTGTAGGTAAGTCATTATACCTTTACTTTTTACCTTTTTTCTGTGGTTTCTATCAAGGCAGGTACAGACCTAGCACAATGTCATGCATTGTGCAGTCAGTCCCTCCATGATGATCAGTTAGCCTATTACAGCTGTGAAGGGGACGAAGCTTTTTTTTAAACTATGTAGTTTCATATGCACAGCTTATTGTCAAAGTACATGTTTCTCAAAGGTTGTAAATGTGAATGACAATGTTCAGAAAACAAAACTCTCAAGATTCCTTTCATTCTTGAAAGTATAACATTTATGCAACTTCTGGTTGAGGGGATGTGAGTAATAATATAGTCAACAATCTCTTAACATTAGCAATATTGACCCATAGCATTCAGATTCTCCTCACAAGTTTGAAATGTTATTTACTATCATCAGCCAAGAAGAAATCTTAAGATTGCATTAATAGTAGATTCTAAAGGTGTTATCCCATTTCTGGTCAAGGTTATCATGGTTATATGAATAATAATATAGTAAAATAAATCTTTTAAAATTAGAAATCTTGACTCAAAGTGTTGAGGCTTTGCTCACAGGTTTGAAATGTTATTTGCTATCATCAGCCAAGAACAAATCTTAAGATTTCATTAATTGTAGATTTTAAAGGTGTTATCCCATTTCTGGTCAAGGTTATATGAATGATAATATAGTAAAAAAATCTTTTAAAATTAGAAATCTTGACTCAAAGTGTTGAGGCTTTGCTCACAGGTTTGAAATGTTATTTACTATCATCAGCCAAGAACAAATCTTAAGATTTCATTAATTGTAGATTTTAAAGGTGTTATCCCATTTCTGGTCGGGGGGGATATGAATGATAATATAATAAAAAAAATCTTTTTAAGATTAGAAATCTTGACTCACAGTGTTCAGGCTTTGCTCACAGGTTTGAAATGTTATTTACTGTCATCAGCCAAGAAGAAATCTTAAGATTTCATTAATTGTAGATTTTAAAGGTGTTATCCCATTTCTGGTCAAGGGCAGATGAGTGATGATATAGTAAAAAATCTCTTAAAATTAGAGGGGGCACAGGTGGCCGTGTCGTCTAAGGCGCCGCGATTCACTGTGCAGAGTTGCGTCCCTTGGATCCGCCAGCAACCTATGATGGTTGGTTCAAATCCCGGTTCACCCCAATAATGCTTCTAGGTTTGTCAGCACAACACTTCGGGCTTTCCTCCCACATTAAGCTGACACACCGTGATATAACTGGAATAATGTTAAAAGCGGTGTTAAACCCAACTCACTTAAAAATTAGAAATATTGACCCATTGCATTCAGATTCTGCTCACAAGCTAGAAATGTGCTTTGCTATCAGCAGCCAAGAGAAAATCTTAAGATTCCATTAATTGTAGATTTTAAAGGCGTTATCCCATTTCTGGTCAAGGTTATATGAATAATAATATGGTAGAAAATCTCTTAGAATTAGAAATATTGACCCATTGCATTCAGATTCTGCTCACAAGTTTCAAATGTTATTTACTATCAGTAGTCATGAAGAAATCTTCAGATTCTGTTAACTGAAGATTTTATAGGTGTTATCTCATTTCTGATCTAGGGGATATGAGTAATAAAATAGCAAAAAATCTTTTAAAATTAAAAATATTGGTCAATGGCATTCAGATTCTGCTCACAAGTTAGAAATGTGATTTACCATCAGTAGCCAAAAGAAAATCTTAAGATTACCTTAATTGTAGAGTTTAAAGGTGTTATCCCATTTCTGGTCAAGGCAAGATAAGTAAGGATTTAGTCAAAAATCTCTTAAAATTAGAAATATTGACCCAAAGCACTCAAATTCTGCTCACAAGTTTGAAATATGATTTACTATCATCAGCCAAAAGAAAATCTTAAGATTCTATTATTTGTCAAGTTTGTAGGTTTTATCCCATTTCGGGTCAAGGTTATATGAATGATAATATAAATTTTAGTAAAAAAATCTCTTAAAATTAGAAATCTTGACTCATAGCCTTCAGGCTTTGCTCACAGGTTTGAAATGTGATTTACTATCATCAGCCAAGAAGAAATCTTAAGATTCCATTAAGTGTAGATTTTATAGGTGTTATCCCATTTCTGGTCAAGGTGATATGAGTATTAATATAGTAGAAAATCTCTTAAAATAAGAAATATTGTCCTATTACATTAAGATTCAGTCCACAAGCGTGAAATATTATTTACTATCATCAACCGAGAAGAAATCTTAAGATTCCATTAATTGTAGATTTTAAAGGCATTATCCCACTTCTGGTCAAGGTGATATATGAGTCATAATATAGTCAAGAATCTCTTAAAATTAGAAATACTGACCCATTACATTTAGACCTTTGTTCATAGGTTTGAAATGTTATTTACTATCATCAACCGACAAGAAATCTTAAGATTCCATTAATTGTAGATTTTAAAGGCATTATCCCACTTCTGGTCAAGGTGATATGAGTCATGATATAGTCAAAAATCTCTCAAAATTAGTATTATTGACCCATTACATTGAGATTCTGCTCACAAGTGTGAAATATTATTTACTATCATCAACCGAGAAGAAATCTTAAGATTCCATTAATTGTTGATTTTAAAGGCATTATCCCACTTCTGGTCAAGGTGATATGAGTCATTATATAGTCAAAAATCTTTTAAAATTAGAAATCTTGACTCAAAGTGTTGAGGCTTTGCTCACAGGTTTGAAATGTTATTTACTATCATCAGCCAAGAACAAATCTTAAGATTTCATTAATTGTAGATTTTAAAGGCATTATCCCACTTCTGGTCAAGGTGATATGAGTATAATATAGTCAAAAATCTCTTAAAATTAGTATTATTGACCCATTACATTAAGATTCTGCTCAGAAGTGTGAAATATTATTTACTATCACCAACCAAGAAGAAATCTTAAGATTCCATTAATTGCAGATTTTAAAGGCATTATCCCATTTCTGGTCAAGGTGATATGAGTATTAATATAGTAGAAAATCTCTTAAAATTAGAAATATTGTCCTATTACATTAAGATTCAGTCCACAAGTGTGAAATATTATTTACTATCATCAACCGAGAAGAAATCTTTAGATTCCATTAATTGTAGATTTTAAAGGCATTATCCCACTTCTTGTCAAGGTGATATGAGTCATAATATAGTCAAAAATCTCCTAAAATTAGAAATACTGACCCATTACATTTAGACCTTTGTTCATAGGTTTGAAATGTTATTTACTATCATCAACCGACAAGAAATTAGAAATCTTGACTCAAAGTATTCAGGCTCTGCTCACAGGCTAGAAATGTTATTTACTATCATCAGCCAAGAAGAAATCTTAAGATTCCATTATTTGTCGAGTTTATAGACTTTATCCCATTTCTGGCTGAGGGGAGATGAGTAATGATATTGTAAAAAATCTCTTAAACTTAGAAATATTAACCCATAGCATTCAGAATCTGCTCACAAGCTAGAAATGTGATTTACTATCCGCAGCCAAAAGAAAATCTTCAGATTCCGTTAACTGTAGATTTTATAGGTGTTATCCCATTTCTGGTCGAGGGGATATGAGTAATAAAATAGCAAAAAATCTAGCCTGTGAGCAGAGCCTGAATACTTTGAGTCAAGATTTCTAATTTCTTGGCGGTTGATGATAGTCAATAACATTTCAAACCTATGAACAAAGGTCTAAATGTGATTGGTCAGTATTTCTAATTTTAAGAGATTTTTTACTATATCATGACTCATATCACCTTGACCAGAAGTGGGATAATGCCTTTAAAATCTACAATTAATGGAATCTAAAGATTTCTTCTCGGTTGATGATAGTAAATAATATTTCACACTTGTGGACTGAATCTTAATGTAATAGGACAATATTTCTAATTTTAAGAGATTTTCTACTATATTATGACTCCTATCACCTTGACCAGAAATGTGATAATGCCTTTAAAATCTACATTTAATGGAATCTTAAGATTTCTTGTCGGTTGATGATAGTAAATAATATTTCACACTTATGAGCAGAATCTTAATGTAATGGGTCAATACTGCTATTTATAAGAGACCTTTTACTATATTATCACTCATGTCCCTTTGACCAGAAATGGGATAGCCCTTTCACATGTACAAATAATGGAATACTTGTAGCTGATTTTTATTAATTATCGATTAGATATTTACCCTTGTATTACCGTAATTAAGCCGTGCAGAAGCGGCATAACACCTTTAAAATTTATTAACTGTTGAATATTCATAATTAATTTTAGCTTTTGAAAGTGATTAGGACCACAAACTTAGCAAATATTGAGGGAGGTCATGATTGGTACTTTTATAGGGAATATTATACCAGTAAGTGTGTTACACAAGGAGTGTCAGAATTCAGAAATTCTTGTATTTACCGAGTGAGGGTGAAGGTAATACATGGATTCTTACATGAGTTTTGTAAAACAGAATATGTACTGTGTTTATCCACGTTTATCCACGTAATGCCAATCGCCAAGCACGGGTACTATCTTATTCGTGTATTTTATCTTCCGCTGTCAGGGGTGCGATTGGTTAGCCTATTGGTCAAAGCGTTCGCTCGTCACGTCGAAGGCCCGGGTTCGATTCCCATCATGTGTTCAATGAGTAAACCCTATTTCTGGTGTCCCGTGCCATGATACTCCAGGAATGCTGCTAAAAGCAGTGTAAATACATATTCACCCACTTACTCACTCCTTCTGCAGACGTCTATCCACTAGACCACTCAGGCAGTTGATTTCGTGTAGAAGGGGTCCCCAGCAACACATGCTTAATTTTAATTGTCTTACTAGGTGACTTCATGGATCGGAGGTTCAACGTCCTCCGACGTGCTGGATGTTTGCTTATAATAACAATCACTATTTTGCTCTCTGCCCATGTGGACCAACATTTTACTGCAAGAACCCGTAACAGCAAAGCTGACCATGCAGGTAATATTCCCTTGATCGGATGGGGAGTCCAGCTTAGAATCGTATAATGAGAGGCGACTAACGAGCCTCGGGTAGTCAGGTTCGTTATTTGGTTGATTGCGAGACATCGTACATGTCGGCGTGGGACGTTGTTCATACTTAAACCAATCGTTTATTTACATGTATTTATATTGGGGTACATGACACACAATTAACGAAGTCACTATACAAGCATGCCCACCCGGTCCATCGATTGTGGTGCCCGTGAAGACCCGGGGTAGAATAGGTCTTTTCAGCAATCCATGCTTGCCCTAAAAGGCGACTATGCTTCTCGTAAAAGGCAACTAACGGGATCGGGTGGTCTGGCTCACTGACTTGGTTGATGCATGTCATCGTATCCCAAATGCTCATGATGTCTATCACTGGATTGTCCGTGTTGTCTGGTCCAGACTCGATTATTTACAGACCGCCGTCATATAGCTGGAATATTGCTCAGTGCGGCGTTAAACAACCAACCAACCATCGATTGTCGCCTAACATGACAAGCGAAGCGGTGTGTATATTTTAAGCAATGCCCAACATAGACATACACAATGCACTGTCCATGGATCATCGTGATTTTAGGCTAGATATATAAATATAGTATTTCGACTTGCTTCAATATATCTTTCCTTTATTTCAAATTGAAGCTGCCTGGTTCCTAAAATACTATAGAGTAACTATATACTCCTTTCTGTTAGGTCTGGTTTACCGGTGCATGCATGCATGCATGCATGATGAGTCATATCCGTCTTACCGCTTATATCTGTTAGTTATACATTTATATTTATACATTTATTATAAATTTGCACACCAAACTTCTGAGCTTGCATTACCTGCATCATGTATATGTGATAGGGTTAAGTTAAGGAGGTATTTGAGGTTACCACTAACTTGTATATGTGGGTAGAATGCCATTCTGAAACAATCGTCAATATCCAGCTTGGATACTTCTTAGCATGTTTCAAAGCTTACATTGGTCTGAAGTATGTAAAATATAATACATCCGATACAAACCCTCTATCGTTATCTATCGTTCTGAGTGATGTATAGTTTATATCCGATATACATACTCGATCCCCCGCGTCTTTCATTTATAATGATGTATATAACATGTCTGATATACAACACCCCGCGTTTCATTCTGAGTAATGTTTATTTTATGTCCGATGTACCTGTGTACTTCCCCGTAACTTTGTAAAGAAGAATTATAAAACACTTTCATCTTGTGTAATTTTCGCCTCAATCTTCTGGCAAACCATATACAATTAACCCATCGAACTAATTAAAAGAAGTGGAAAGAGCTTGTCTAAATACAGAGGCAAGTGAAATAATTGTTTTGAAATTATATAAATATGATTTCTCACATCTACTCATGTGTGAATTACAAGGATTCCCTTCAGCACAGTTACATTAAATAAATTAATGAGGATACATGTTTTGCATTTCTATTCAGATCGTGGGATTGGAGGAGACCGCACGTTAAATTAAACAGAATACGGAAAATTGTTTACAGTTACAAACAAAACAAAATCTAAATGGAATGCATAATGTGTCGGGGCTCTTTTATTTAACGGCCACAATCCGAAATATTTCAGAAACCCCTCGAGTTACCGCTTTTACTTTTGTAATATGGCCGATTCCATTACATTCTATACACTATTGTGACCACAATGTGATGTAGAAACACATCCTTGATTTCAATTATTGATCTAATTATAACAAAATTTGTTAAAAGAAATATCGCACAGACACTGTGACATTTCTGCATAAATGTGAATTGCCGCACAGAAAGGCGTGTGAATATTTGTCAAGTACAAAATAACAAAAAAATAATAATAACTAAAGATGTTTCCAATTTATAGTGAAGAATTTAATGTGCGTTATTTATTTGGAATGGGACATGGAAATATACAAAAGATCATATTCAGTACGGTCCCCCCAAAAATATAAACTAAATCATATTCCGCATATATATCGCCATGTGTTTTAGAGCTAACCGAAAGCATTACCGCAGTAAATGTGGTTTTGCGAAATTGTGGACTGTTTATCCCAGTTCTGGTCGTATCCCAGTTCTGGTCGCTACACACGCGTACCAGTTTCAATATTTTTAGTGAAGTGCATTCTTTTCATTTGACGTTTAGTAGCTCCATTTTGTGTAACAGGTATACGATTGTGTGAAATCCATTAGTTTTGGATGGAAAAAGCAATTAGTTTGTAGCAATGTTGTACCGTTATAAATAAATTTATATATTTTGGTGGATCGTTCCGACTATAAACATTCACATAATTTCCGTATTTTAATCTAAGGGAAATAACTCTAAACCGTTTGAGGAAAAGATGAAAATTTTGGAATTGTGTAAATTTCGATGGGTACACATATAATGACTGACAGGCCATTTTCGAGCCCTTCGAATGCCGCTAGTAGGGACAGACGGCGAGGATATGAAGATGAGGATACAGACGAAAGAGATGCTGGTGAAAGCGTTAAAACCCAGATAGGTAATGCCTAATCATGTTCATGACAAACGGGATATTGTGACATTGAAATTTCGTCAAGATCAACATCTTATGATTTACATCTGAACACGGTTTTTTTATGTTACTAATGTTAGTTTTTTTTACATCTACGTTTGGTGACGGAGGCCCTGGCGCAAAGTAAACGCACACTAAAGAGAGATAACGAGGATATATGTCAGGGTGCAGAGCCGTTCATTTTCCAGGACACAGATAGCCGACAATCTAGAAGGGGCCCAACAGTCAGAATAAGACCTTGTCTTACGGATTTTTATTAAAAGAACAAACATGATACTTAGCTTATTTACAATTGGATCATTTCTAGATTAGCATCAGAATGATATCGTCGGATCATATTTTTTCGGACGGTCATGTTTATCTACTCGCGCTATAACGGGACGTGTATCATCACACAGACATTGTATTTACTCAGATGATGGCTTGTTTTCATGTGTGAATGAGATGTTTTTCAGTTCTTCATGCGATTAGAGAGAAAATTACGATTTTTTCTTAAGCTTTGGAAAACCCATAACACAGCTAGGGATACATAGGCCCTAAAAAGTCTGGTAGCCGATAGCTTCTCAGTGGCAAGTGATCAGCGTTCAACTTCACTAATGTACATGATGTATCCTGATGTACCCTATTTTCAAGCAGTTAAAATGGCATTGCTGATATTTTGAGGGATGAGTGAATCAAAACTCAAATTCTGCTTCATACCAGTAGGTGATGTCTTCAACAATAGAATTTCAGCTACATTCCAAAATAAAATAAAAATCCTCGACAAAGGCATGACCTTTATTACCTCGTCTGTAAACTTCCGCTGCACTCAAGTGATGTCTCCTATTTTTGAACAACTGATTGGTTTCATACTTTAGCGGGGTTTTCATGAATGAACAGACATGTTTTGGTGCACAGTTCTCAACATAATTCTTGCAGGTCGGCTTTAAAACTCAAAAAGTAATTGAAAGTGTGAAACCTTCTCACAAAATATGAATATTTGTCAAATTATAGTCCTCACACTATTTTACTCATACGATACAAATAATGATCAGATGATTACAATTGGTGAGGACCCATTAGGAGGCTTGCAGTTAAAGGCGACTTTACTTGTTGTAAGAGGCGACTAACTGGATCGGGTGGTCAGGCTCGTTTCTTGGTTGATGCATGTCATCGTATCCTAATTCGCAAAGATCAGTGCTCATGATATCAATCACTGGATTGTCTGGTCCAGACTTAATTATTCACAGACTGCTGTCATATAGATGGGATATTGGTGAGTGTGGCATTAAACAACAAACAAACAAACAACAAACAATGGGTGACTTGTGTTATTGTGTGTCAATGTGCCCTTACACTTAGAATTGTTGTTCATACTGTCAACCACTATGCCAGTTTATGTTGAAGGAACTGTATAACTTATGATTAAACAGGACAAAAGAGAACTCTTCATTATAGGATTTATTGGCACACACATGTAGAAAAGAACATGCAGACGAACAAGAAACGAGCCAGGGTTGGGCAAGGGAGATTACTCCTTTTTCTTATAAACTTGCCAAGCAAACATGCGTTGGCGCTGGTTTGCCTGGCCCAGATTGATTGTCTTTAAGTCACTGTCATATAGCTTCTGTATTGCTGATTAAAAATATTGAAAAAAACAAATTGGGGGCTAATTGATTACAAGAAAATCTTGCGTAGCTAAAACTGACTTTACAGTTATTCTAAATCGTCTATTTACACATCAAGCTCAAGAGAAAATCGTGTTTGTGAAGTGACAATTCCAATGTTTCCTTTGAAGTACTTGTATAACATGCAACTTGTACCAATATTTTGTTGAATCATTACAGCCTAAGTAATAGCAGTATCTTCCATCCTAAGATCATGTGGATAGAAGAGAATATTCCTTGTGAATTTATAAAATGTAAAGTTTGTAACTTAAACCTTATTGAAAATGAATATCACTTTTTGTTAATTTGTCCTGCTTACAGCCATCTTAGGAAAAGCTACATAAAATCTAAAGTTTACATCTTTCCAAATATTCTGAAGTTTAATAGTACACGACTGTCATTGCAAGACCCTATCATGATTATCAATATGAATGCAGAAAAATACTTGTTTATGCTAATGCGGTAAGAACACAAATACTCCAACTTTGATAATATGCAATTATGTTAAAACTGCTTTTGTTAAAAAAAGCTAAGAAAAAATAATGTGTTGTATTTTTATACTGTTTTCACCTAAATCGTATTCGTTGTACAAAAAGGTCCGTGGCCTACAAGTACTGAAAAGAGTGAAGAAGAGAAACAAACTATGTGGTTGCACACCATTATGTTTTATGTTATCTAACACATCTGATAAGCATGATAAGTTGAGCTTCCCAACCTATGTACTGTTTTAGAGAGAAACTGTTGTTTTTCAGATCAGATCCAGAAGTTTGCTGGTTTCAGTATTGGACTGTCAAGGTAGGTATTCCTGTACACACGAGGAGCGGTCGGGTAGCCTAGTGGTTAAAGTGTTCGCTCGTCACGCCGAACACCCGGGTTCGATTCCCGACATGGGTACAATGTGTGAAGCCCATTTCTGGTGTCCCCCGCCGGGATATTGCTGGAATATTGCTAAAAGCGGCGTAAAACCATACTCACTCACTCACTATACACACGACAGGCAGGTTCTGGAGCTTGTTATGTATGGCTGTGTTTTGTGTGAGAGGACTCCACAACATGTTAATCCCTTCTTCATAACTTAAGACATTACCAGGTGATTACAAGCATGGTGCTTTGAAGAGTGAAGACATGGATGTGTTTAACATTCTGGAATTAACCATGCAAGTAATATTAGTTCCCCATGTCACACACATACTAGTATTTCAGCATGACTACTGTCTCCGGGGCAGCAGTTGCATGGACACAGAGTCATCAATCTACAACAAATATGACTTTGTGATATATGTTTCCATTCTCTGTCAACTAAAGTTTGTTCAATAGCATTTAATGAAATAGGTTACAAACATAAGTCTAGATATACAATGAACACTTTTTGTAACCAGACAGTGTAATTACGTGATTAACTTGCATTCTTCAGTACGGATTTGTTGACATGGTATTTCCGGTGTTACATGCTCACGGTAATGTCTTTGTGTTTGGGGAAAAAACATCAAAACTCATTATGGCATGTATAATGCACACCCCCTTCTACACAGCTGTAGGGGCGGTCGGGTAGCCTAGTGGTTAAAGCATTTGCTCGTCATGCTGAAGACCCGGGTTAGATTCCAGACATGGGTACATTGTGTGAAGCCCATTTCTGGTGTCCCCTGCCGTGATATTGCTGGAATATTGCTAAAAGCGGCGTAAAACCATACTCACTCACTCACTCACTCTACACAGCTGTGGGTTTTTTTGGAAAAAAAGTGCGGAGTATACTCAAGAAAATACAGTACTGTATCAATCTCATTAAAATAAGATCTTTTACAGTGATGGATGCCTCTCTGTGTCAAAATCTGATGACACCTCCATAGAAGGTCGCATCAGGTGACCCTGAGCAAACTTTAATTACCCAATCAAAATGGATGAATGGGTCTTTGAGCCAATGAGAGGTCAGCTTTCTAAAATGATTAAGCTTCATTTCTTTTCGGCCTTGATACTGAAATTCAATCTTAGCTAAACCTGCTAATGAAAGCGGCCACAGAACACAATTATACCTTGATAAAACACAATTATACCTTGATAGCACACCCTTTTGGTGTAGGTACTATGATCATCATGCTGCTCATCATCAGAGGGATGTATAAAATATCCACAAAATGTTTTTGGCAATCGCAATTCTGTGATTATATTTGTTTTTGAGATACAGAAATCAGATATGCTTGTCTGAATGCTTTGCTCTCTTCTGCCAAGAATTCAGAAAACTAAACGCTGATTGGCTGATGTAAAAGTTCAACTGATGGGATCTCCTATGAAGGTGACCTCAGATCTTCACGCAGAGAGGTGTCACGTCAGAGTAAAAGATCTGATTTGAATGAGATTGATCTTTTGGATTCAACATGGAATACTAATACACTGAATAGTAATATGGCCTTAGAGTCTTGTTTCCATCATATATAGTTTACATATTTGAACACATGTATGATTTGTTTGTTACAGTATATTTGCAGAGCAGGTCCTGGCACATCCATGTATTGTGTTGAGAAGACAGTGTCAGGTGAGGTGCTCAGTATTGTCACTGGGGAACGCATAAAGGAAGATTAGTAAGAGTGAAATGTGAAGCACAGACACAAGTTGCAGACTGATTAGTATGAGTGAAATGTGAAGCACAGACACAAGTTGCAGACTGATTAGTATGATTGAAATGTGAAGCACAGACAAAAGTTGCAGACTGATTAGTATGAGTGACATGTGAAGCACAGACACAAGTTGCACTATGATTAGTATGAGTGAAATGTGAAGCACAGACACAGGTTGCTGACTGATTAGTATGAGTGAAATGTGAAGCACAGACACAAGTTGCGGACTGGTTAGTATGATTGAAATGTGAAGCATGGACACAGGTTGCTGACTGATTAGTATGAGTGAAATGTGAAGCACAGACACAAGTTGCGGACTGGTTAGTATGATTGAAATGTGAAGCATGGACACAAGTTGCAGACTGATTAGTATGATTGAAATGTGAAGCATTAGTATGATTGAAATGTGAAGCACAGACACAAGTTTCAGACTGATTAGTATGATTGAAATGTGGCGCACAGACACAGGTTGCTGACTGATTAGTATGAGTGAAATGTGAAGCACAGACACAAGTTGCAGACTGATTAGTATGATTGAAATGTGAAGCACAGACACAAGTTGCAGACTGATTAGTATGATTGAAATGTGAAGCACAGACACCAGTTGCTGACTGATTAGTATGATTGAAATGTGAAGCACGGACACTGTCACATAAGTTGCAGACTGATTAGTATGATTGAAATAGTGAAGCACAGACACAAGTTGCTGACTGATTAGTATGATTGAAATGTGAAGCACTGACACAAGTTGCTGACTGATTAGTATGATTGAAATGTGAAGCACTGACACAAGTTGCTGACTGATTAGTATGATTGAAATGTGAAGCACTGACACAAGTTGCTGACTGATTAGTATGAGTGAAATGTGAAGCACAGACACAAGTTGCTGACTGATTAGTATGATTGAAATGTGAAGCATGGACACAAGTTGCAGACTGATTAGTATGATTGAAATGTGAAGCATTAGTATGATTGAAATTTGAAGCACGGACACCAGTTGCTGACTGATTAGTATGAGTGCAATATGAAGCACAGACACAAGTTGCAGACTGATTAGTATGATTGAAATGTGAAGCACGGACACTGTCACACAAGTTGCAGACTGATTAGTATGATTGAAATAGTGAAGCACAGACACAAGTTGCTGACTGATTAGTATGATTGAAATGTGAAGCACTGACACAAGTTGCTGACTGATTAGTATGAGTGAAATGTGAAGCACAGACACAAGTTGCTGACTGATTAGTATGATTGAAATGTGAAGCATGGACACAAGTTGCAGACTGATTAGTATGATTGAAATGTGAAGCATTAGTATGATTGAAATGTGAAGCACGGACACCAGTTGCTGACTGATTAGTATGAGTGAAATGTGAAGCACAGTCACAAGTTGCAGACTGATTAGTATGATTGAAATGTGAAGCACGGACACTGTCACACAAGTTGCAGACTGATTAGTATGATTGAAATGTGAAGCACAGACACAAGTTGCTGACTGATTAGTATGATTGAAATGTGAAGCACAGACACAAGTTGCTGACTGATTAGTATGAGTGAAATGTGAAGCACAGACACAAGTTGCTGACTGATTAGTATGATTGAAATGTGAAGCATGGACACAAGTTGCAGACTGATTAGTATGATTGAAATGTGAAGCATTAGTATGATTGAAATGTGAAGCACGGACACCAGTTGCTGACTGATTAGTATGATTGAAATGTAAAGCATGGACACAAATTGCAGACTGAATAGGTACTGGCATTTTTTTAAAGAAATAATTTGTCTGAAAAAATACTATGTTGTGGAAAATGTTTTGTCTCAAATCCCAGCCCCCACTAGAATAGTAAATGGTCAGTCCTCTACCATGTGTGATATGTGTGGATTGCTAGGACACAGTCACAAGTTGCAGGCAGATTACATGGTTGAGTATGTGTGAAATGTGAACTATATAATGGCAGTCAATATGGGCTTGCAGTACTGGTATGCTTTTTAAAACATTTTTTTTTAATTTGATGTCCAGTTCTCTTTGAGACTTGAGTTGTCCCATTGGTTGTTGCAGGTGCACCACAATGGAGAGTGGTACCATGTGACCCCGTTCACGCTCTTCCAGGTTCTCATCAACCTCCAGAGACATCAGGTAACTATGGTAACACTCAGCTCTGAGTTCACTACAATTGATTAAACCTACTGTACAACCTTGGAACCTGATGTACAACCCTTTGAAAGGAATAAAAAATGTAAAAAAACACCCCAAAACACACAGCTCTGAAAGGTTCCTCAGGTTCTACCTCTGACATAAGGGGTCCTCACAATATTTCATATCATTCCAAGTTTGAAAAACTCCCAGGGCTCAATTTAAGGAACTTGATTTAACTAGCACCAGGTGCATGTTGATATCAAAACTTAGTTGCACCAGACAAAACCAGGTTGCACCCTGGTCACATAAATTTATCGAAATTGAAATGTGAGATGCACAAACTTGTCTAAATAAATAAAATTTAAGATCTCTGATGATTGTGTCCTGACTTTTATACAGTTATACTGCTTGCTGTTCCAGTAATGATGTGGCAATGTCATCATTGGCAACAGTCATGTAAGGCCTAATTATCAGCATTAGTTGGATAATGTAAATATCATAATGTGACACAGTGGTCAACTTCAGTGATAGATGAAGCTACAGTATAGAACATAATCGTGAAGAACCAACTAGGTGATGATGTCAAGCTCAGGGAAGCATGTCAATTTACACACAACTTAGGGATTAGGATGTAGTATTGTAAATAAATCTTACCGGTATTATTATGTTGTGTTCAAAGGGTTAGTCAAGACACAAATTTGAATTTTTTTTACATGCGGCTTGGTGCATGTGCACATAAATATTAGGTTGTGTTTTGCAATAATTTGTTGCACTGGTGCATGTTTTATATAGCTAAATTGAGTCCTGGGTCCTGTTACACAAAGTGATTGTAGCGCTAAGATGATTGTAACTCCCATACTTTAACTTAGACTTACGACAGTTGTAGCGCTACGATCGCTTTGTGGAACGGGGCCCTGGTCCTTAGGCTAAAAAAGATATTAGTGTTGGTTCTCAGGCACCACCCGCATAATCATAAAGTCTGCCGCACGTTTTGTATTTTTTTCCATTTTAAACAAAATATAAAAATCCTAATACTTTAACACAATGCACAAAACAAATTGAAAATGGAAACAAATACGAAAAGTGCACTGAACTTCAGGATGATGTGGGCAGTGCCTGGACCAAGACTATTATTTTTTTTAGCCTTAGGTATTAGTAATGGGTACACTGGATTTTTTAGATGATCCTGGAATCTTCAGGGCAACATGTGAGTGCATTATTTCTGAAGTAAGTTACAACACCTCATGGTTGATGTGAGTTTGATTGTACGCCGCTTTTAGCATTACTCCAGCAATATCACCAGAAATGGGCTTCACACATTGTACCCATGTCAGGAATCAAACCCGGGTCTTCAGCGTGACAAGTGAACGCTTTTACCACTAGGCTACCCGACCACCCCTGGTTGATGTTAGAGTTAATATGGAGCCTTGACATTGATGTCCATGGTGTGAAGTCCCTATGTGGTTGAAATATTGCTGATGTGATGTTAAATGTGAACCCACCTACTCATACTCACAGACATTGCTGAGCATGGAATCACACCTAGTTGGCACCTTGGTCTAGTGGCTAGAGTGTTCGCCCAGGGAGCAGAAGTTTGGTAGTTCAAAGCCAAGCTGTTTCATACCAAAAGATGCGAAAAGATGGTACATAAAAAATAAAGATGGTAGCTTTCTGGTGTCCAAAGTTAATATCGTGCTTGACATTGATGGCCGATGTCCGTGTTGCAGGGCATGACAACAATGTGGAAGGGGATTGGGAGTGTGTTTGTGGTGCGAGGAATCTTCATGGTCAGCGAGACGGTCATCAGTGAACTCACTCCTTTCCCAAAGTAAGATTCTGCATATGTACATTTCTCAAGCTGTTGCTAGTATAGGATAAATTTCAACTGATTTGGAGAGCGTTTTATCATGGTTATTATTTTATGTTTTTTATGAACGTGTTTATTGAAGGCAGTTTGTGTTTTTTTAACGTGCAGACAGTTTGTATTCATTGAACGTGCAGACCCCCACAGCAGAGAATATATCAATCACTTATTTCTTTACAGGCGCCATCATATAGCTGGAATTTTGTGGTGTTAAACCACAACCAAACACAATAGTTATAAGGCTGTAGTAGACTGCTCTAATAGAAATTTCTTTCTTTCTTCAGGGAAATTTCTCGACACAGTTCCTTGAAGAAATATGGTGAACATCTCCTTCTAAAAGCGTGAGTTGCTAAAGTGCATTGTGTGGTTTGTGTGTAGGTCAGGTCTCTTCTCTATCTGACAAATGGCTGCATTGTGTTACTCCTAGGGGACGGAATGTCATCTCTTTGGGTACAGTCTTAGAGACAGAACGTGGCTTGCACAATGTTAGGTAGGACCCACTGACAGATGACTGTGTCCTTAGATCAATGAATCTCTCTGCAACCTTTTGTGGACTGTATTAGGAAGGATTCAGGTACAGTTCCTGAACATAATGATGGCTTATTTGAGTGTTGTTACAAGGTGATTTCCAAATTGAAAAAACCTGTGAAATCAGTAAAGATCCACACAAGATCAATGAATAAATGACAAATATTGAAACACACAGGTCTAGGTTACAATGACAAAAGTCTGTACAATCTCAACCTTAGCTGCCAAGGGGATGCAACTAACAGAAAAACCTTACCACAACAACTAATGACAATTTATGAGCGTTTCTTTTTGCTGCCACTAACAATCATGTGTAAAAAACTTATAACATCTACAGCCAGATAACAGTATTTATTACCCACAGGGTTAGAAGTAACCGAGTTAATAAAAATCGTTTGTGCACCAGTGCAGATATCACTTCCTGTGCATTAATGTAAAGGGTTACAAACACCAGGGTATTGTGTACGTCACCCGGATGACGTGGAATGTTATTGTGACGTAAAGAGAGAATGACATCACTCTAGAAACAACGTCATAGCTGAAGATTGTTGATGTCATTTGACATCTAAGACAGCGGTCATAATCAGTGCATTTTTCTAAAGAAGAGTTCATGAGAATGAAGAGATAATAGGTAATAAAGAAATATTATAGGAGCATGTGTGTCACACTAATTGTCAGTGTCAGAATTCTTGTATTTCCCGAGCGAGAGTGATAAAACCGTATAATTAGGTGTTTGCCAACACTAGATATAGGATGACCCCCAAGCTTGACCTTTGAAAACGTTTGACCTGGAGAAAGGCAGACCCCACAATATACACGTCATACCAGGATGCAGCTGAAGCATCACACACGTCAGCGATGTTTTCAATCCAAGCTACCCCGCCAAAGCCTGCTTGTTTAATCTTATCATTGAAGACAATAAACTGCCAATGCATGCAGTGTCATTGCCTGGTAACAGCAGAAGTAGCTGCAGAGGTACACAGGTGAAATAATGTGCCTGTTTAACATTTGTATTTTGGGGATAAACCAGATATTAAGTATGATAAAATCATTATTGTGTTTGTATTACCTATGATAATTGTAGTTCATGCATTAAATTGTGGCAAATGTTATTGTTAATGATATTGACATGGTATTTCTGGTGTTGTAATGGAATGTCCATCTCTCCTTCAGCCTGTCCACTGTGGTGACCACACCCTTCTTTGCTGCCAGCCTCATAGAGACAATTCAGGTAGTGTCTTGTGTATCTCTAATTTCCCATCACACACACATCTAACTGAGATCTAATACAGCCTCATAGAGACAATTCAGGTAGTGTCTTGTGTATCTCTAGTTTCCCATCACACACACATCTAATTGAGATCTCATACAGCCTCATAGAGACAATTCAGGTAGTGTCTTGTGTATCTCTAGTTTCCCATCACACACACATCTAATTGAGATCTCATACAGCCTCATAGAGACAATTCAGGTAGTGTCTTGTGTATCTCTAGTTTCCCATCACACACACACATCTAATTGAGATCTCATACAGCCTCATAGAGACAATTCAGGTAGTGTCTTGTGTATCTCTAGTTTCCCATCACACACACTTCTAATTGAGATCTAATACAGCCTCATAGAGACAATTCAGGTAGTGTCTTGTGTATCTCTAGTTTCCCATCACACACACTTCTAATTGAGATCTCATACAGCCTCATAGAGACAATTCAGGTAATGTCTTGTGTATCTCTAGTTTCCCATCACACACACATCTAATTGAGATCTCATACAGCCTCATAGAGACAATTCAGGTAGTGTCTTGTGTATCTCTAGTTTCCCATCACACACACATCTAATTGAGATCTCATACAGCCTCATAGAGACAATTCAGGTAGTGTCTTGTGTATCTCTAGTTTCCCATCACACACACATCTAATTGAGATCTCATACAGCCTCATAGAGACAATTCAGGTAGTGTCTTGTGTATCTCTAGTTTCCCATCACACACACATCTAATTGAGATCTCATACAGCCTCATAGAGACAATTCAGGTAGTGTCTTGTGTATCTCTAGTTTCCCATCACACACACATCTAATTGAGATCTCATACATCCTCATAGAGACAATTCAGGTAGTGTCTTGTGTATCTCTAGTTTCCCATCACACACACATCTAATTGAGATCTAATACAGCCTCATAGAGACAATTCAGGTAGTGTCTTGTGTATCTCTAGTTTCCCATCACACACACACATCTAATTGAGATCTAATACAGCCTCATAGAGACAATTCAGGTAGTGTATTGTGTATCTCTAGTTTCCCATCACACACACACATCTAATTGAGATCTAATACAGCCTCATAGAGACAATTCAGGTAGTGTCTTGTGTATCTCTAGTTTCCCATCACACACACATCTAATTGAGATCTCATACAGCCTCATAGAGACAATTCAGGTAGTGTCTTGTGTATCTCTAGTTTCCCATCACACACACATCTAATTGAGATCTCATACAGCCTCATAGAGACAATTCAGGTAGTGTCTTGTGTATCTCTAGTTTCCCATCACACACACATCTAATTGAGATCTCATACAGCCTCATAGAGACAATTCAGGTAGTGTCTTGTGTATCTCTAGTTTCCCATCACACACACACATCTAATTGAGATCTCATACAGCCTCATAGAGACAATTCAGGTAGTGTCTTGTGTATCTCTAGTTTCCCATCACACACACTTCTAATTGAGATCTAATACAGCCTCATAGAGACAATTCAGGTAGTGTCTTGTGTATCTCTAGTTTCCCATCACACACACATCTAATTGAGATCTCATACAGCCTCATAGAGACAATTCAGGTAGTGTCTTGTGTATCTCTAGTTTCCCATCACACACACATCTAATTGAGATCTCATACATCCTCATAGAGACAATTCAGGTAATGTCTTGTGTATCTCTAGTTTCCCATCACACACACACATCTAATTGAGATCTCATACAGCCTCATAGAGACAATTCAGGTAGTGTCTTGTGTATCTCTAGTTTCCCATCACACACACTTCTAATTGAGATCTAATACAGCCTCATAGAGACAATTCAGGTAGTGTATTGTGTATCTCTAGTTTCCCATCACACACACTTCTAATTGAGATCTCATACAGCCTCATAGAGACAATTCAGGTAATGTCTTGTGTATCTCTAGTTTCCCATCACAAACACATCTAATTGAGATCTCATACAGCCTCATAGAGACAATTCAGGTAGTGTCTTGTGTATCTCTAGTTTCCCATCACACACACATCTAATTGAGATCTCCTACAGCCTCATAGAGACAATTCAGGTAGTGTCTTGTGTATCTCTAGTTTCCCATCACACACACATCTAATTGAGATCTCATACAGCCTCATAGAGACAATTCAGGTAGTGTATTGTGTATCTCTAGTTTCCCATCACACACACATCTAATTGAGATCTAATACAGCCTCATAGAGACAATTCAGGTAGTGTCTTGTGTATCTCTAGTTTCCCATCACACACACATCTAATTGAGATCTCATACATCCTCATAGAGACAATTCAGGTAGTGTCTTGTGTATCTCTAGTTTCCCATCACACACACATCTAATTGAGATCTAATACAGCCTCATAGAGACAATTCAGGTAGTGTCTTGTGTATCTCTAGTTTCCCATCACACACACACATCTAATTGAGATCTAATACAGCCTCATAGAGACAATTCAGGTAGTGTATTGTGTATCTCTAGTTTCCCATCACACACACACATCTAATTGAGATCTAATACAGCCTCATAGAGACAATTCAGATAGTGTCTTGTGTATCTCTAGTTTCCCATCACACACACACATCTAATTGAGATCTAATACAGCCTCATAGAGACAATTCAGGTAGTGTCTTGTGTATCTCTAGTTTCCCATCACACACACTTCTAATTGAGATCTCATACAGCCTCATAGAGACAATTCAGGTAGTGTCTTGTGTATCTCTAGTTTCCCATCACACACAGATCTAATTGAGATCTAATACAGCCTCATAGAGACAATTCAGGTAGTGTCTTGTGTATCTCTAGTTTCCCATCACACACACATCTAATTGAGATCTCCTACAGCCTCATAGAGACAATTCAGGTAGTGTCTTGTGTATCTCTAGTTTCCCATCACACACACATCTAATTGAGATCTCATACAGCCTCATAGAGACAATTCAGGTAGTGTCTTGTGTATCTCTAGTTTCCCATCACACACACATCTAATTGAGATCTCATACAGCCTCATAGAGACAATTCAGGTAGTGTCTTGTGTATCTCTAGTTTCCCATCACACACACATCTAATTGAGATCTCATACAGCCTCATAGAGACAATTCAGGTAGTGTCTTGTGTATCTCTAGTTTCCCATCACACACACACATCTAATTGAGATCTCCTACAGCCTCATAGAGACAATTCAGGTAGTGTCTTGTGTATCTCTAGTTTCCCATCACACACACATCTAATTGAGATCTCATACAGCCTCATAGAGACAATTCAGGTAGTGTCTTGTGTATCTCTAGTTTCCCATCACACACACATCTAATTGAGATCTCATACAGCCTCATAGAGACAATTCAGGTAGTGTCTTGTGTATCTCTAGTTTCCCATCACACACACATCTAACTGAGATCTAATACAGCCTCATAGAGACAATTCAGGTAGTGTCTTGTGTATCTCTAGTTTCCCATCACACACACATCTAATTGAGATCTCATACAGCCTCATAGAGACAATTCAGGTAGTGTCTTGTGTATCTCTAGTTTCCCATCACACACACATCTAATTGAGATCTCATACAGCCTCATAGAGACAATTCAGGTAGTGTCTTGTGTATCTCTAGTTTCCCATCACACACACATCTAATTGAGATCTCATACAGCCTCATAGAGACAATTCAGGTAGTGTCTTGTGTATCTCTAGTTATCCATCACACACACATCTAATTGAGATCTCATACAGCCTCATAGAGACAATTCAGGTAGTGTCTTGTGTATCTCTAGTTTCCCATCACACACACATCTAATTGAGATCTAATACAGCCTCATAGAGACAATTCAGGTAGTGTCTTGTGTATCCCATCTTATATCTTCTCCCAAACTGAAGGATGAGCCTTCTCCAACTCACTTTGCTTTGTTGTTGAATTGTTCGACAGCTACAATCAGTGTCCATATTCTAGTTGCTGAAATGGTAGGACACTTCGAGCTGGCATTTGTTCTGGATTTATCTTAAACTCTTCCCATGTCCGTCAGTCAAGCCTCATTTGAGTAATAATTTGACTACCACCTATACCACACTTTGTTTTGATGTTTCAATGACGTGTTGTATGCAGAGTGACATAGCCAGCGAGAAGCCGGGGATCCTGGACTCTGTGAAGGAAGGTCTGACAAGGGTGTTTGGGTGGGGCATGCCCCAGACTACACGCCTGCTGCCGGTGTGGCGCCTCATCTTGCCCACAGTTGCCTACCAGTTGTCCCACTACGTCATCACGTCTTTAGCGCAGTTCACCGTGACATCCACCATTCGGTCAGAGCAGCAGGAGCTCCGGGTCAGTACTTGCACCACATCAACATCAGCACCAGATTGACGTCTGCTTCATTTTTTTTGGCCCGCGAGTACTCTATAGCTTGTGTAAGAGGCAGCTTAACCGGATTTGATTTGCCAGGCTTGGTGACTTGGTTGTCAGGCTTGATGACTAACTTGTCAGGCTTGGTGACTTACTTGTCAGGCTTGGTGACTTACTTGTCAGGCTAGATGACTTGGTTGTCAGGCTTGGTGACTTGGTTATCAGGCTTGGTGACTTGGTTGTCAAATTGGCGACTTGGTTGTCAGGCTTGGTGACTTTGTTGTCAGGCTTGATGACTTGGTTGTCAAACTGGTGACTTGGTTGTCAGGCTTGGTGACTTGGTGCCTTGGTTGTCAGACTTGATGCCTTGTTTGTCAGGCTTGGTGCCTTGGTTGTCAGGCTTGATGCCTTGGTTGTCAGGCTTGATTACTTGGTTGTCAGGCTAAGTGACTTGCTTGTCAGGCTTGGTGACTTGGTTGTCAGGCTTAGTGACTTGGTTATCAGGCTTGGTGACATGGTTGTCAGGCTTGGTGACTTGGTTGTCAGGCTTGATGCCTTGGTTGTCAGGTGTGATGACTTAGCTGTCAGGCTTGATTACTTGGTTGTCAGGCTAAGTGACTTGCTTGTCAGGCTTGATGACTTGCTTGTCAGGCTTGGTGACTTGGTTGTCAGGCTTGGTGCCTTTGTTGTCAGGCTTGGTGACTTGGTTGTCAAGCTTGGTGCCTTGGTTGTCAGGCTTGATGACTTGGTTGTCAGATTTGGTGGCTTGGTTATAACAGGGAATACATAGTCTGTATGTTTGTTGACAGGACCACAGTGTTGATGTTGGGGACACAGGGAGATCAGTTTATGAGATCTACTTCCCCGACCTCCTGGCAACATTCACAGGCAGCCTGTTGGCTGACCTGATGCTCTACCCACTGGAGACGGTGTTGCATCGCATGTACGTACAGGGAACACGCACCATCATTGACAACACAGACATCGGCATTGGTGTACTACCAATCAGCACGGGATATGAGGGCTTTGTAGACTGTTTCAAGTGCATATTATTAGAAGAAGGACCTTTTGGATTTTACAAAGGTTTTGGTGCACTTGTTCTGCAATATGCTCTCCATGCTGCCATTTTGAAAATGGCTAAGTATTTATTTGAAAAACTGTCCCATGAGCTCTCTCCAAGAAGACGCCACCAGACACCTCAAAGAATGTGTAAGTATTGTTTCAGATCCACCTGTTTCCACTGGAAAATGAATGTGGTTTTCTAAATATTTCTTGAAATGATAGTGATACCCATTTCTCTGACTTGGTTTTCATGTAGAATTCATTGTGTAAAGTTCGGGAACGATACCCTTTTAAAAAATTCTCATTTTTCGGATGCAGGCTGATAAGCAGGCTGATTGCAATGTGGTATACTGTCATCATGATTATAGCAATGTGCCCAACTGTTATTATAATTTGTCTGACTATTATGACAATGTGTCTGACTATTATAACAATTTGGTAGACTGTTATTACACCATGGTAGACTTTTATCACAGTGTGATAGACTGTTGTGACAATTTGATAGACTGTTAAAACATGTTGCCCAAGGCAAGTGTGTCCACTAGCCTACATCAAAGTCTAGTTTTCACCCTTGCCCTTTCCAGCCTACCTTTTTGTCTAAAACAGAATCGCTCGAGAGAGGACTTTTGCACATATTGATAGTCCAATCAGAGAATATTTTACAAAATCAACATCCAGGTTCCGAAAACATTGTCGCTGTTATGGCCACAGCCATTGCATGTCGAATTTGCACTGAAAGTGTTATAAAAATTAAACGAAGACGAATATTTCCAAAGTGCTTCAAAGTTTTCAGTCAACTCGCCCAAGTACTTTTATATTATATATCTGAGTGAAGACTTCATTGGTTTTTTTTAACTCCAATGCTTATCGCAGTGACTGAGATGCAGTGCAATTTTCAGACGACCCCTGCTGAGCATTTCATGTTCCCCCGATATGCAGTGTTAGTAGATACTGTGTAGTCTGTATGCCTCCATGCCTCAAGAGAGGAAGTAATAAGTATTTTCACTGTGGTAATCTGTCATGCTGTTCTTCTGGGATCAAATCTCAAATCTGAATGACCAGCTTGTCTGCTATGGTTGTCATATTTTTGAAGCCATTTGAAATAAGAACAGCAATCTGATTGACATATCTCATTTTCATCACAAGGGTTATTAATACACAGGGTGGCGCCACGATCGACCCAGGAAAAGTAGGCTTGAATTAGCAAGGGTGGAAATGAGTGCTAGGATAGGCTGGTGGACACTTTTGCCTCAGGAAGATTGTTATAACAAAGTGGTAGGTTGTTATAACATAATAACAATGTGGTAGATTGTTATAGCAATGTTGCCTACTGTTATAACAATGTGGTACACTGTTTTAACAATGTGGCACCTCTGTAACAAAGTGGTTGACAAACTGTGTGTTAAACACTCTGAGTTGGGGTATGAGGCAGGTACCAACTGACATTACCTGTAGCATACCTCACCATTGCTTCCCCATCTGTGCTGCAGGTAACCATGGTAACATGTTGGTCAAGGACAAGAGTTGATGTTGATTGCCATGTGTATTGCTAAACATCTTCTGCTTGCAGCCTCCTATGAAGCGCCATATACTCTATATGGCCAGAGACGCTACACTCGGGGTATGACAGTGTCCATAGCTAGTCCCACCATTTGTACTTGATAGTAGACCTGAAACAATACACCAGGTCACGATGTGTAACGAGATACTTTGTTAGCAATATGATATATATCACAAACTCCTAAATATCATTAAATTGTATTCATAATTTGATATGAATTTTTTTAGAGAAAAACCTGATTTTTAGCCCACCTTGACATTGTTCATGTGAGTTATCTGTCCGTCACTTAGCACTGAAATTTGAAATATCTTCCTCAAATCTACTGAACGTAGCTACAACGATGTAAACTTCTTAAAAAAAAAAATCAAAATAAGTGCCACAACAGCTCATGTTAGTGAACCATGACTAGCCTTTCGCAACCTCTTCTCAGGAACCACTGAACATGGTTTTTCAAATTTACAGAGTATGTACATGAGATCTTCCTTTACCATGTTTAATACCTTTCTTTTGATAAACCATGAAATTTACGATGTTTTTTTCTCACCAAAATTAGATTCTAATAAGAGCCCCCTATTTCTAATTTTGAGAGCGCCCAGGGCGCTTATTACGTCGAATACGGTACCTCCCGTTTATAATGGATATGGATATGAATCTGTTGTAATTGGTCATAGTTTGTTGTGTTTTGAAGTTTAAGATCAATTTATGATAGCTCTTAAACATAATACATGCATTATAAATGATTTAGCAAAAGGAAATGAGGTTTTTCAAACATTTTACTTAGTGGAATGGAAAAAACATCACTTTTCATATTTTTATTTTTCATATTTCAGGTTTTTTTTAATCAACATTCATAAAACAAGTTGAAACAAATTCTGGCCTAAAGCCCTAATGTAAAATATTATCAGTATGTAAATCACTTGATAAAGACCCAAATCTGTGACATGACACATAGAGATACAGTGTGGAGTTTGTAATGTTTCATATCGTTAACACTGTGTTCCCATGGTTCTGGTGTGTTGGTGAATAGTTTCACATGTGATGTCCTCAGAAAGTTGCAGTGCTACCAGTTTCACTTTGTATTGAGTTTTGAGATCAACTAATTCGCAGTGTCAATTGTAGTAGCGGTCGTAGAGATGTTTCACTTGTCATTACTTATGAAATGGTGCTACTGATTCGGCAGTTGTCGTTAATGATGACATATTATTTGATGTGTTGTAAATTGCCACATCACAAAAGATGTTGTTTGAGAGTTGAAAAACAGATCAAAAAGGACCAAAAGCTAGATCTTAGGTCCATGCCATAATGTACTAAGAAATATTTGTAACTTACATGTAGAGATGAATTTGTCTCATGTGTCACTAGTGGACACCAGATTTTCCGAAGTGAACCTTTACTCAGAGCAGTCCCTGCGGTATTCCGAGGTCGCTGAATGTTTTGCTGAAATTCCAAGTGTACCAATCTTGCAGAAAATCACATTTTGTGCAGAACTCGTTTCGAATATTATTTTTGCATGTGAGTCGAAAGCTGGTTTTCAACATGTAAACGGATATTTCTTGTGAAGTCGACCTTTGTATTATTGTTTACCAAAAGTGCATGTATGTATGTTTACACTAGTGACCTCCAGATTCACTTCAATAAGCTGTTCTGGCCATGGAAAAGATTATCATTAAAATGCCTGTCACAAGTCAAACAGGTGCAATACTACGAAGTTCACAGAAATAAAGCTTAAAAAATTGCAGAATTGTTTGCAGAATTATCAAAGTTTGGGTGCAGAGTTTAAAATATTTTTACGGCAGAATTATATATCTTTTTTTTTGGCCACAGAATACACCAGGCTGTGAGAGCATTACAGCTTATTAACCCTCTACTGACACGTTGGAGGTTTATTTTTACTTTTTTTTGGACACCAGTTTGGCATCAGATGAAAGTAAATTTCTTCATTGACTTGAAATTGCAACATTTTTGTGTCAAGAGAATACCAACTGAAGCTGGTAGATGTAGTGGTGACTTAGAAAGTAACATTGCTCCAATGTATTCAGTCATGTTGCGACTGGTGGATGTAGACTAACTGATGCATGTAACCATGGAAACAGGCTAATGCAGCTATAGCAACCATGGTAACAACAGTGTAAACACTGTTACCATGGTTACATGACATGCCATAATCATGGTAGGAGAAATATTAAAATAAAATAATTTATTCTTTGTCTTTCTCGAGGATTTGTTGAATATGGTTTCTAGACTTTGAACAAAGTGATGACCCCATATTAACAGAATGAAGGAACGTTTTAGACATCATGTTTATCCTTGTTTAATTGTGTGTGGTGGGTGTTATATTACTAACATGCAGGGCATTATGAAAAATTTTGCCTGACAGACCAGCACTGAGTCGAGTGGGAGTTGGTACAGAAGTGACTCACGGCTTAAAAGGGTGAGAGGGGTTGCCTGCATGCTAGGGTGGGGTGGGTGCCTGCGTGCTAGGGTGGGGTGGGTGCTTGCGTGCTAGGGTGGGGTGGGTGCCTGCGTGCTAGGGTGGGGTGGGTGCTTGCGTGCTAGGGTGGGGTGGGTGCCTGCATGCTAGGTGGGGTGGGTGCCTGCTTGCTAGATGAGATGGGTGCCTGCGTGCTAGGTGGGTTGGGTGCCTGCATGCTAGGTGGGGTGGGTGCCTGCGTGCTAGATGAGATGGGTGCCTGCGTGCTAGGTGGGTTGGGTGCCTGCATGCTAGGTGAGGAGATGTGACCGGAATGCTGGAGGGGGCCTTGAGCTGACTTATCAAGGTTTGTGTTGAACTTTTGTGTGAGGTGGTGTTGAATTGATTAACTGGGACTGCTGCAATGATCGGGTCTAAGATTGACAAATTAGGATGTCATCCTATTGTCCTTCAGCCACCTCAAAGTGCCATCCTTAGTATGTTTCCCCAGTCTAATGGTGTCATCCTATTGTCCTTCAGCTACCTCCAAGTACCATCCTTAGTATGTTTCCCCAGTCTAATGATGTCATCCTATTGTCCTTCAGCCACCTCCAAGTACTAGCCTTAGTATGTTTCCCCAGTCTAATGATGTCATCCTATTGTCCTTCAGCTACCTCCAAGTACCATCCGTAGTATGTTTCCCCAGTCTAATGATGTCATCCTATTGTCCTTCAGCCACCTCCAAGTACTAACCTTAGTATGTTTCCCCAGTCTAATGATGTCATCCTATTGTCCTTCAGCTACCTCCAAGTACCATCCTTAGTATGTTTCCCAGTCTAGTGGTGTCATCCTATTGTCCTTCAGCCACCTCCAAGTACCATCCTTAGTATGTTTCCCAGTCTAATGGTGTCATCCTATTGTCCTTCAGCTACCTCCAAGTACCATCCTCAGTATGTTTCCCCAGTCTAATGATGTCATCCTATTGTCCTTCAGCTACCTCCAAGTACCAGCCTTAGTATGTTTCCCAGTCTAATGATATCATCCTATTGTCCTTCAGCTACCTCCAAGTACCAGCCTTAGTATGTTTCCCAGTCTAATGGTGTCATCCTATTGTCCTTCAGCTACCTCCAAGTACCAGCCTTAGTATGTTTCCCAGTCTAATGGTGTCATCCTATTGTCCTTCAGCTACCTCCAAGTACCATCCTCAGCATGTTTCCCCAGTCTAATGATGTCATCCTATTGTCCTTCAGCCACCTCCAAGTACTAGCGCTAGTATGTTTCCCCAGTCTAATGATGTCATCCTATTGTCCTTCAGCTACCTCCAAGTACCAGCCTTAGTATGTTTCCCAGTCTAATGATGTCATCCTATTGTCCTTCAGCTACCTCCAAGTACCATCCTCAGCATGTTTCCCCAGTCTAATGATATCATCCTATTGTCCTTCAGCTACCTCCAAGTACCATCCTTAGTATGTTTCCCCAGTCTAATGATGTCATCCTATTGTCCTTCAGCTACCTCCAAGTACCAGCCTTAGTATGTTTCCCAGTCTAATGATGTCATCCTATTGTCCTTCAGCTACCTCCAAGTACCATCCTTAGTATGTTTCCCAGTCTAATGATGTCATCCTATTGTCCTTCAGCTACCTCCAAGTACCAGCCTTAGTATGTTTCCCAGTCTAATGATGTCATCCTATTGTCCTTCAGCTACCTCCAAGTACCAGCCTTAGTATGTTTCCCAGTCTAATGATGTCATCCTATTGTCCTTCAGCTACCTCCAAGTACCAGCCTTAGTATGTTTCCCCAGTCTAATGATGTCATCCTATTGTCCTTCAGCTACCTCCAAGTACCAGCCTTAGTATGTTTCCCAGTCTAATGATGTCATCCTATTGTCCTTCAGCTACCTCCAAGTACCATCCTTAGTATGTTTCCCCAGTCTAATGATGTCATCCTATTGTCCTTCAGCTACCTCCAAGTACCATCCTTAGTATGTTTCCCCAGTCTAATGATGTCATCCTATTGTCCTTCAGCCACCTCCAAGTACCATCCTTAGTATGTTTCCCCAGTCTAATGATGTCATCCTATTGTCCTTCAGCCACCTCCAAGTACCAGCCTTAGTATGTTTCCCCAGTCTAATGATGTCATCCTATTGTCCTTCAGCTACCTCCAAGTACCATCCTTAGTATGTTTCCCCAGTCTAATGATATCATCCTATTGTCCTTCAGCTACCTCCAAGTACCATCCTTAGTATGTTTCCCCAGTCTAATGATGTCATCCTATTGTCCTTCAGCCACCTCCAAGTACCATCCTTAGTATGTTTCCCCAGTCTAATGATGTCATCCTATTGTCCTTCAGCCACCTCCAAGTACCAGCCTTAGTATGTTTCCCCAGTCTAATGATGTCATCCTATTGTCCTTCAGCTACCTCCAAGTACCAATCCTTAGTATGTTTCCCCAGTCTAATGATGTCATCCTATTGTCCTTCAGCCACCTCCAAGTACCATCCTTAGTATGTTTCCCCAGTCTAATGATGTCATCCTATTGTCCTTCAGCTACCTCCAAGTACCATCCTTAGTATGTTTCCCCAGTCTAATGATATCATCCTATTGTCCTTCAGCTACCTCCAAGTACCAATCCTTAGTATGTTTCCCCAGTCTAATGATGTCATCCTATTGTCCTTCAGCCACCTCCAAGTACCAGCCTTAGTATGTTTCCCCAGTCAAATGATGTCATCCTATTGTCCTTCAGCCACCTCCAAGTACCATCCTTAGTATGTTTCCCCAGTCTAATGATGTCATCCTATTGTCCTTCAGCCACCTCCAAGTACCAACCTTAGTATGTTTCCCCAGTTTCATGATGTCATCCTATTGTCCTTCAGCTACCTCCAAGTACCAGCCTTAGTATGTTCCCCAGTCTAATGATGTCATCCTATTGTCCTTCAGCTACCTCCAAGTACCATCCTTTGTATGTTTCCCCAGTCTAATGATATCATCCTATTGTCCTTCAGCTACCTCCAAGTACCAATCCTTAGTATGTTTCCCCAGTCTAATGATGTCATCCTATTGCCCTTCAGCTACCTCCAAGTACCATCCTTAGTATGTTTCCCCAGTCTCATGATGTCATCCTATTGGCCTTCAGCCACCTCCAAGTACAATCCTTAGTATGTTTCCCCAGTCTAATTATGTCATCCTGTTGTCCTTCAGCTACCTCCAAGAACCATCCTTAGTATGTTTCCCCAGTCTAATTATGTCATCCTGTTGTCCTTCAGCTACCTCCAAGTACCAGCCTTAGTTGCCTCTGTCACAGTATCATCTCACCCATGGACCTGAATGGAAAAAGCTGTCAACAGATGTCAAAGTCAAAAGATTTCCTGTTAGAAGATGTGACATCGTTCCTCAGGGAGAAAGTTCAAATCAAGTCATGGTCAGGATATGGAACTGAAAATGAAATTGTAACTTTAGATTGATTTTTATGACCCTGCTGTTGTTATGAGTAAAATGAGGAATACATGTTTGTGCACTGAACTGAATGTGCTATGAAGGAAGTTGTACCTATCAAAAGGGAGTTGACTGTGACCTCTCCGACCAACTGTGCACATCTAGGTAGAAGGACTATTCACAAGGTACCCAGCTCTCATTATTAGTCTGGTTGGATCTTGGGTTCCTCCCTACTGACCCATTCTTGGACAACCAGATACCTGGCATAACCTGCCTCATCCCTGACGTAAGCTGTCACATTGCGTAACCTAGGCTCTGCCTGGAGGGTCATGCTGCAGTAAACAAACATAGTCTGCACTCCAGGTATATATAGGTATGAGCTAGGTATGAGCCGAGGATTTGTTTTCTGTGATACTGATTCTTGTGGTATATGTCTGCTCAGTGTTCTTGCTTCCTGATGATACTGAATATTGGACTGAACACACACTTGCAGGACTGATCACACTTGTACTTGCAGGACTAAACACACACTTGCAGGACTAAACACACTTGTACTTGCAGGACTAAACACACTTGTACTTGCAGGACTAAACACACTTGCAGGACTGAACACACACTTGCAGGACTGAACACACTTGCAGGACTGAACACACACTTGCAGGACTGAACACACTTGCAGGACTGAACACACTTGTACTTGCAGGACTGAACACACTTGCAGGACTAAACACACTTGTACTTGCAGGACTAAACACACTTGCAGGGCTGAACACACACTTGCAGGACTGAACACACACTTGCAGGACTGAACACACACTTGCAGGACTGAACACACTTGCAGGACTGAACACACTTGTACTTGCAGGACTGAACACACTTGCAGGACTAAACACACTTGTACTTGCAGGACTAAACACACTTGCAGGACTGAACACACACTTGCAGGACTGAACACACACTTGCAGGACTGAACACACACTTGCAGGACTGAACACACACTTGCAGGACTGAACACACTTGCAGGACTAAACACACACTTGCAGGACTGAACACACTTGCAGGACTAAACACACACTTGCAGGACTGAACACACTTGCAGGACTGAACACACACTTGCAGGACTGAACACACTTGTACTTGCAGGACTAAACACACTTGCAGGACTGAACACACTTGCAGGACTGAACACACACTTGCAGGACTAAACACACTTGCAGGACTGAACACACACTTGCAGGACTGAACACACACTTGCAGGACTGAACACACACTTGCAGGACTGAACACACACTTGCAGGACTGAACACACTTGCAGGACTGAACACACTTGCAGGACTAAACACACACTTGCAGGACTGAACACACTTGTACTTGCAGGACTAAACACACTTGCAGGACTAAACACACTTGCAGGACTGAACACACACTTGTGCAGGACTGAACGTCCCTTGCAGGACTGGAGACCTTCCATCAGAACTTAACTGCAGGTTAGATGGAAATCCACCTACAATTTGCAATGAAGTATTCTGTGGTGAGCTGTATAAGTGAGCAAGAAGTAACTGTACCACCACAGACATTGTTCATGTTGTCCACCTGGCAGTATGCAGGTGTAACTATGTATGATTGTTGAGTATACAGCCTGTATATAATGATCTGAGAAGTAATATATTATTACCTTGTACATAAATCTGATTATGTTCCTGTAATGTCTTAATGTTTCCTAAAGATTAAACCTGGATCAATAATCAATACCTAGAGTACCCATTTGCGGCCATAATTCACAAATGGTTTCAGGATAGACTGGACATATGAAATAGTGTTGTAATAGAATGGAGATACAGTACCCTGGATAATGGAGGATGTGGCCAGAAGGCGCACAGTGCACAGTAGAGTGTGCATGTGTAGGCGTCATGCTTACCAAGCTCCCGGTAATGTCAGATTCCCCAAATATATAAACACCATATAGTCAGGGCACAGGTTTTGCAATCTGTGACAATATGGCAATGTTTTGGTGATCTGTGATTTGCTTCAATCTCATTACAATCAGATCGGAGTTATCGCTACTGCTAAATAAAGATCTGAGGACATCCCATTACGGGTCACGTCAGAACGACCTTTCGTGAAGTTTGACCGACCGCTGAAATGACTAAAAAGAAGTTGACATCAGCCAATTAGAAAGCAGCTTTCTCGAGCTTTACGGCACTCGTTTCAACCTGGCGACTTCCATTTCAGACTATGCTTGAAAATATATGTTGACACAGTTCTCGATTAAAATTTTGAAAACTGAACAAACGAACATTCCGGAATGTCTAATATATGGTTGAGATTGTATGGCAGTGCTTCTCACGTACTGTGCAATGCCTCCTTCGTTCAAACGTTTATCCCATGGAAGCGAGAGATAGACAATAATTTTGATGGAATCATTCGTACTGGCCGTAGCTGTCGTTAGGAATACCCTGTGTTAACGTTTTCAAGGTTGCATGATTAGAAAACACATTCCGACCATCACTTTCATGATCTGATAAGCGACGCTTTGATTGGTCGGATGTAAGGTCGTTCTGACGTGACCCATAATGGGATGTCCTCAGATCTTTGTTGAGCGATAGCGAGAACTAAGATCTGATTTTAATGAGATGTGGCTATTTGTGCAATATGGCTATACCGAGATCTGTAGATCAGCTTGCTTACATACAGAGATCCGTAGATCAGCTTGCTTACATACCCGATATCCGTAGATCAGCCTGCTGAGATACCAAGATCTGTAGATCAGCTTGCTAACATACTGAGATCCGTAGATCAGTGTGCTTACATACCGAGATCTATAGATCAGCTTGCTTTCATACCGTGATCTGTAGATCAGCTAGCTTACAAAACCGAGATCAGTGGATCAGCCTGCTGAGATAGGAAGATCTGTAGATCAGCTTGCTTATATACCGAGATTTGTTGTTGGCTTGTTAGGATGTGGTAATCTTTATTTATGCTGTGATAGAACATGACAGCGCCAGATCTGGTCACGATGTCAACTGATGTAAAGCCTTTGAGATGTCACCAGGTTACAAATGTAGCCATTTTGACAAATCAAAACTATGTTGATTTACTTTGTTCTTCTACCAAACATGCTTGACAGTTGTCTTGGTTCAAATGAATTTTGTCCTGGTTGTTTCTCAGAAGAAGTGTGTTCTATGCTGTGTTGTCCAGAATGAGTTTGTTTCTTGATATTTGTGTGGCTCACACAATAATTGAGGTGAGATACACTGAAATGTAAGTCACATCATTTGCATGAAATGGAACGTCTTTTACCATCCGAGTATAATCGTTGTTGTTTTAATCAAAAAGGTCTGTGAAAGCAACGCTATTCCTGGTCCTAAAGTACCACGTTTGCAAGGACAACATGAATAGTCCAACATGAATAGTCCAATAGTTTATGGGCAATGAAATTCTTTCCTGGAGTTGGCAGGATAAGGGATGAACTGAAGTCAAACCAAGATGAAGTGTTGTCATGAAAACAATGATGCATGAAATCAAAATCTTTGTTGACATTCATATAACTTATGTGAGAATTTTTTTGTCAAAGTATCAGATTTTTTTAATAAAGATTTGGCTGACACCCATGCCAGCTTTACATCTAGCTTCCTATGTAGGTTGACAGACATACATAAGCTTAAGGTTAGGGACCAACCATTTGTTCTATTGAGGTGGAGTAAGGGGTGGTTTGGTGGCAGAGATGGGATATTTATTTAATTTACTGACAAGGTGGGATTTGAATAATTTATTTTTACACTGACTAGCAGATATATTCTTTCTTCTACATATTTGAAAGTTTATTGTCCTAACTTGGAGCAAAGTTTTTCAGTTCAGTAGACCAGCCTTTAACCGTCCATCTTGTAAAGATAAATGGTTGTTCCCATGTGTTGGTGGATATGTAAATGTTGTTATGGTAGAGAGGAGCAGAAGAGAAGAATAAAGGAATAATTCATATCAGCTTTTGTTCTATATTACGAAGGACTGCCTCTGTAGTATGGTGGTAGAGCATCTGCCTGAAGAGCGGAAGGTCAGGTCTTCTATCCCGGCCACTTCAAACATAAAGATGTTAAAAGGTGGTACCCTGCCTGGCGCTCAGTATTTAAGGGCTAAAACAAGGACTGGTTCCTCGGAGTCTCTGTCTGAGTGGGGTATTTATGTTAAACTGTCATGGTATCTCAGTGGACAAGCACTTTAAAATCAGCATTAGTCCGGACTAGTACAAGCAGATGCACACAATGTGACACACACAAGTGTGCATGCACATCGTTATATAAGTGCAATAACATGTAGTCTTCGGCGTGACAATCCAATGACTTAACCACTAAGATACCCCACTGATCCCTCCAAGGATTGTAAGTATAGCACACAAAAGCCAGACATCATATTGCTGAATGGATCTAGAGAGTGATCTTCATAAGGCCAGTTATTGATTAGTAGTTGGGTTTTTTAAAATGACTTTCACATTTAGGTGTCATCACAGGAACAATGTCCTATGATGGTGTAAGACTTAACTTTAGGTTCATCCCTACACACAGTTTGAGTTAACCCGCAGATGATGGATGCAGACAAGGGATGGATGGATGGATGGATGACTGCAAAAGTTACTCTGACGTATGGTACAAGTTGTCTGTGAAATTACAGTGTATCTCCTTAACATTGCTGAAATCACATAAACCTACAACACTTGAATTCGTTGTATTTTATTGGTGTTGGCAGTAAATAAACAATTGAGCAATCAAACTAACACTTGCACATAAACTGTGTATCGGTATTGCCATCTGTTGTTGCATTTACACAAGAAATATTCTATCGCCTTCAAAAATACTGGAATGCGTGAAAGAATTCATCCACTCTTACTGACAAGTAGTTGACTTATGCCCTCTTAATACAATGTGGCCAATGGCCAGTTATAAAAGGATCATGGACATCTTGGGTTCTCTGCCTTGATTCCTGTAGGAGAGGCACATGGAGTTACACCTGCAATCCCTGATTATAAAAAGTCATCTCCGTTTAATTGTTCATGTAGCTGTCTTACTGGTAAAAGGCAAGTGGGAGCCTCCTCTTATATCACAACCATAAAACATGCAGCTCTCGTGGCACCACAGAACATGGGGTCACTTGAATGGAGCTTTCCGCTGTGGTAAGCGTGAGAGTTTTGGGAGATCCGAGTGGCGCCTGTCCTGACCCTCGTCCCTACAGACACGAGTGTCCTCCCCTTCTTGTTCCCCCCTCCCTGCAACCTCTGCAGGCCTGGCATGAGGACTCGATGTATCGTTAGAAATTCGAGTTAAGCTGCCTGACCTGCGGAGTTTGAGAGTTCTATTTGGCACATACAGTTGAGGTTTGTAGGAGGGTCTGTGGGGTGATGGTGTGGAATCAGTGTTGTGCTTGAGGGGAGGTTTCCTGGCCCCCTTGCCCAGCCTACTCTGGGGGGTTCTGCTTGACATTCCCTCCCTCTCGTCCACAGCTTCTGTCTTCTCATTTTCAAAAGAGTCGTCTTTCTCTGGAGAAGAGTCATGTTTCTCAATATTCAAGTCTGATTTACTTTTTCGTAATCCAATATTTGAGCTAGGTTTTGGTGAAGCTCTAACACTTTCATCACCTGTCCTTGTTTGGCAATTGGAGTTGTTTGTATGGCTGATATCTTTCACATTTTCTTTCTCATATTCAATGTCCTTGAGCAGTGTGCGGAGTTCCTCATCTAGCTTCTCCTGTTCTACCTTCAAGTCTTGCCTCTCCCGAACACCTCTCTCTCGCTTCCTCTGTTGAGTCAGGACATGCTGGTCCAACATAGTCATGAAATCTTCCCCAAAGGCTGTAAGGGAAGCATTTTCTGAAAAGAAAAAAAATAATTGTATGCACTTTTTCTTTTTACATTTCAGAATGAAAACATTACTAAAAATAGTCTATGCCAAGGTCACCTTTTCAAAATCCAAATATAAAGGAAAAAAAATAATAACCATCACAGGGATAACTGGAAATGTATACGCAAGTTCAAGTCCCACCTTGAACCCCTTCAGAACCCCTTGTCAAGCATTTCCAGAAGACCCAAGAAATCTTTCATACCACATTGCATTTCCAATCTGATATGGGGCTGTCGGTTAGCCTGGTGGTTAAAGTGTTTGCTCGTCACGACAGAGACCCGGGTTCGATTCCTGACATGGGTACAATATTGCTGTGATATTGCTGGAATATTGCTAAAAGCGGTGTAAAACCAAACTCACTGACTCATTCCAATGTGATACCATTACCTTTCGTTTGGGGACATACATGAATACTACAACCCTAATCAAATTAAAGTACCTTGTCTAGCATAAAGATACCTAACTACGTTTCTAGTCTAATGACAATAGTGCTCATACAAGATCTGAAATCCTGTATCGGCCATTCCTAACACTAGTTAAATAAGAGAACTATATGAAATTCTGCTCCTATGACACCATTTCCAGCCTAATGACACATTTTAAACAAGAAACATGTTACTATCACAAAACAATGATATGCATGTCCTCTCCCATCCGCAGGCCCACCCTAAGGATAACATGTGCCAAGTTTCGTGGACCCACAGTGAATGCTTCTCGAGCAAACATTTTTCCTGGCTATGACCTTGGGCATGACCTTGAACACCACCTTGACCCTTGACATTGTTTCTTTCACACAAAAATATCCAATGACAAAAAAGGAGATATACTTGTACCAGACACATTGTGACAAAACCTCAAAACATCCTATTTACATGTGGCTGTTCAAATAACGTCAACCAGCAAAACTGATAAGGAATCCCATCTGGTGACTAGGGAGTCATTGAAGTATTGCACAGGCATATCTATGTGTCATTATAGCTTTTCAGCACTGCAGAAAGACTAAGAAGTGTGTGTGGTTGTTTAACGCCACACTTAGCAATATTCATTTTATGATTGTTATGATGGCAACCTGTAAACAATCAAGTCGTGACCAGACAATCCAGTGTTTGATATTATGAGCATCTACCACGCCGTTAAGGTACGATGGCATGCTATGAACCAAGACTACAAGTCTGACAACCTGATTCATTATGTGTCCTCTACCGACCAGCCTCTGGGGACTTGTTTTAAGTGAGTGAGTGAGTGGGTATGGTTTTACGCCGCTTTTAGCAATATTCCAGCAATATCACAGCGGGGGACACCAGAAATGGGCTTCACACATTGTACCCATGTCGGGAATCGAACCCGGGTCTTCGGCGTGACGAGCGAACGCTTTAACCATTAGGCTACCCGACCGCCCCGACTTGTTTTAAGGTGGGATCCACATGGGAGTTATAACTATGAGTGATGTTTAATAAGGTGACCTACTTTCATCTCTGCTGCTCTTGGTGTCCAAAGACAGTTTCCCTACTGCATCTGAAAACTGGAGAGATGAATATGCTTTATAACCATGAACAACAAACAATCTAGTCAACACAGATACCTACCAGATCCTCATTGTCAGCACAGATACAAACATGTTACAATGTGTCCAGTCTACCTACCAGTTCCTCATTGTCAACACAGATACAAACATGTTACAATGTGTCCAGTCTACCTACCAGTTCCTCATTGTCAGCACAGATACAAACATGTTACAATGTGTACAGTCTACCTACCAGTTCCTCATTGTCAACACAGATACAAACATGTTACAATGTGTCCAATATACCTACCAGTTCCTCATTGTCAACACAGATACAAACATGTTACAATGTGTCCAGTCTACCTACCAGTTCCTCATTGTCAACACAGATACAAACATGTTACAATGTGTCCAATATACCTACCAGTTCCTCATTGTCAGCACAGATACAAACATGTTACAATATGTCCAGTCTACCTACCAGTTCCTCATTGTCAGCACAGATACAAACATGTTACAATGTGACCAGTCTACCTACCAGTTCCTCATTGTCAGCACAGATACAAACATGTTACAATGTGTCCAGTCTACCTACCAGTTCCTCATTGTCAACACAGAAACAAACATGTTACAATGTGTCCAATATACCTACCAGTTCCTCATTGTCAACACAGATACAGACATGTTACAATGTGTCCAGTCTACCTACCAGTTCCTCATTGTCAGCACAGATACAAACATGTTACAATGTGTCCAGTCTACCTACCAGTTCCTCATTGTCAACACAGATACAAACATGTTACAATGTGTCCAGTCTACCTACCAGTTCCTCATTGTCAACACAGATACAAACATGTTACAATGTGACCAGTCTACCTACCAGTTCCTCATTGTCAACACAGATACAAACATGTTACAATGTGACCAGTCTACCTACCAGTTCCTCATTGTCAACACAGATACAAACATGTTACAATGTGACCAGTCTACCTACCAGTTCCTCATTGTCAACACAGATACAAACATGTTACAATGTGACCAGTCTACCTACCAGTTCCTCATTGTCAACACAGATACAAACATGTTACAATGTGTCCAGTCTACCTACCAGTTCCTCATTGTCAGCACAGATACAAACATGTTACAATGTGTCCAATATACCTACCAGGTCCTCATTGTCAACACAGATACAAACATGTTACAATGTGTACAGTCTACCTACCAGTTCCTCATTGTCAGCACAGATACAAACATGTTACAATGTGTCCAATAAACCTACCAGTTCCTCATTGTCAACACAGATACAAACATGTTACAATGTGTCCAGTCTACCTACCAGGTCCTCATTGTCAGCACAGATACAAACATGTTACAATGTGTCCAGTCTACCTACCAGTTCCTCATTGTCAACACAGATACAAACATGTTACAATGTGTACAGTCTACCTACCAGTTCCTCATTGTCAACACAGATACAAACATGTTACAATGTGTCCAGTCTACGTACCAGTTCCTCATTGTCAACACAGATACAAACATGTTACAATGTGTACAGTCTACCTACCAGTTCCTCATTGTCAGCACAGATACAAACATGTTACAATGTGTCCAGTCTACCTACCAGTTCCTCATTGTCAACACAGATACAAACATGTTACAATGTGTCCAGTCTACGTACCAGTTCCTCATTGTCAACACAGATACAAACATGTTACAATGTGTACAGTCTACCTACCAGTTCCTCATTGTCAGCACAGATACAAACATGTTACAATGTGTCCAGTCTACCTACCAGTTCCTCATTGTCAACACAGATACAAACATGTTACAATGTGTCCAGTCTACGTACCAGTTCCTCATTGTCAACACAGATACAAACATGTTACAATGTGTACAGTCTACCTACCAGTTCCTCATTGTCAGCACAGATACAAACATGTTACAATGTGTACAGTCTACCTACCAGTTCCTCATTGTCAGCACAGATACAAACATGTTACAATGTGTCCAGTCTACCTACCAGTTCCTCATTGTCAACACAGATACAAACATGTTACAATGTGTCCAATATACCTACCAGTTCCTCATTGTCAGCACAGATACAAACATGTTACAATGTGTCCAGTCTACCTACCAGGTCCTCATTGTCAACACAGATACAAACATGTTACAATGTGTCCAGTCTACCTACCAGTTCCTCATTGTCAGCACAGATACAAACATGTTACAATATGTCCAGTCTACCTACCAGTTCCTCATTGTCAACACAGATACAGACATGTTACAATGTGTCCAGTCTACCTACCAGATCCTCATTGTCAACACAGATACAAACATGTTACAATGTGTCCAGTCTACCTACCAGTTCCTCATTGTCAACACAGATACAAACATGTTACAATGTGTCCAGTCTACCTACCAGTTCCTCATTGTCAACACAGATACAAACATGTTACAATATGTCCAGTCTACCTACCAGATCCTCATTGTCAACACAGATACAAACATGTTACAATGTGTCCAGTCTACGTACCAGATCCTCATTGTCAACACAGATACAAACATGTTACAATGTGTCCAGTCTACGTACCAGTTCCTCATTGTCAACACAGATACAAACATGTTACAATGTGTCCAGTCTACGTACCAGTTCCTCATTGTCAACACAGATACTAACATGTTACAATGTGTACAGTCTACCTACCAGATCCTCATTGTCAGCACAGATACAAACATGTTACAATGTGTCCAGTCTACGTACCAGTTCCTCATTGTCAACACAGATACAAACATGTTACAATGTGTCCAATATACCTACCAGTTCCTCATTGTCAACACAGATACAAACATGTTACAATGTGTCCAGTCTACCTACCAGTTCCTCATTGTCAACACAGATACTAACATGTTACAATGTGTACAGTCTACCTACCAGATCCTCATTGTCAGCACAGATACAAACATGTTACAATGTGTCCAGTCTACGTACCAGATCCTCATTGTCAACACAGATACTAACATGTTACAATGTGTACAGTCTACCTACCAGATCCTCATTGTCAACACAGATACAAACATGTTACAATGTGTACAGTCTACCTACCAGATCCTCATTGTCAACACAGATACAAACATGTTACAATGTGTCCAGTCTACGTACCAGATCCTCATTGTCAACACAGATACAAACATGTTACAATGTGTCCAGTCTACCTACCAGTTCCTCATTGTCAGCACAGATACAAACATGTTACAATGTGTCCAGTCTACGTACCAGATCCTCATTGTCAACACAGATACAAACATGTTACAATGTGTCCAGTCTACCTACCAGATCCTCATTGTCAACACAGATACAAACATGTTACAATGTGTCCAGTCTACGTACCAGATCCTCATTGTCAACACAGATACAAACATGTTACAATGTGTCCAGTCTACCTACCAGATCCTCATTGTCAACACAGATAGAGACATGTTACAATGTGTCCAGTCTACCTACCAGATCCTCATTGTCAACACAGATACAAACATGTTACAATATGTCCAATATACCTACCAGTTCCTCATTGTCAACACAGATACAGACATGTTACAATGTGTCCAATACACCTACCAGATCCTCATTGTCAGCACAGATACAAACATGTTACAATGTGTCCAGTCTACCTACCAGTTCCTCATTGTCAACACAGATACAAACATGTTACAATGTGTCCAGTCTACCTACCAGTTCCTCATTGTCAACACAGATACAAACATGTTACAATGTGTCCAATATACCTACCAGTTCCTCATTGTCAACACAGATACTAACATGTTACAATGTGTCCAATATACCTACCAGTTCCTCATTGTCAACACAGATACAAACATGTTACAATGTGTCCAGTCTACCTACCAGTTCCTCATTGTCAACACAGATACAAACATGTTACAATATGTCCAGTCTACCTACCAGTTCCTCATTGTCAACACAGATACAAACATGTTACAATATGTCCAGTCTACCTACCAGATCCTCATTGTCAACACAGATACAGACATGTTACAATGTGTCCAGTCTACGTACCAGTTCCTCATTGTCAACACAGATACAAACATGTTACAATGTGTCCAGTCTACCTACCAGTTCCTCATTGTCAACACAGATACAGACATGTTACAATGTGTCCAGTCTAGCTACCAGTTCCTCATTGTCAACACAGATACAAACATGTTACAATGTGTCCAGTCTACCTACCAGTTCCTCATTGTCAACACAGATACAAACATGTTACAATGTGTACAGTCTACCTACCAGTTCCTCATTGTCAACACAGATACAAACATGTTACAATATGTCCAATATACCTACCAGTTCCTCATTGTCAACACAGATACAAACATGTTACAATGTGTCCAGTCTACGTACCAGTTCCTCATTGTCAGCACAGATACAAACATGTTACAATGTGTCCAGTCTAGCTACCAGTTCCTCATTGTCAACACAGATACAAACATGTTACAATGTGTCCAGTCTACGTACCAGTTCCTCATTGTCAACACAGATACAAACATGTTACAATGTGTCCAGTCTACGTACCAGTTCCTCATTGTCAGCACAGATACAAACATGTTACAATGTGTCCAGTCTACGTACCAGTTCCTCATTGTCAACACAGATACAAACATGTTACAATGTGTCCAGTCTACCTACCAGTTCCTCATTGTCAGCACAGATACAAACATGTTACAATGTGTCCAGTCTACGTACCAGTTCCTCATTGTCAGCACAGATACAAACATGTTACAATGTGTCCAGTCTAGCTACCAGTTCCTCATTGTCAACACAGATACAAACATGTTACAATGTGTCCAGTCTACGTACCAGTTCCTCATTGTCAACACAGATACAAACATGTTACAATGTGTCCAGTCTACGTACCAGTTCCTCATTGTCAGCACAGATACAAACATGTTACAATGTGTCCAGTCTAGCTACCAGTTCCTCATTGTCAACACAGATACAAACATGTTACAATGTGTCCAGTCTACGTACCAGTTCCTCATTGTCAACACAGATACAAACATGTTACAATGTGTCCAGTCTACGTACCAGTTCCTCATTGTCAGCACAGATACAAACATGTTACAATGTGTCCAGTCTACGTACCAGTTCCTCATTGTCAACACAGATACAAACATGTTACAATGTGTCCAGTCTACGTACCAGTTCCTCATTGTCAGCACAGATACAAACATGTTACAATGTGTCCAGTCTACGTACCAGTTCCTCATTGTCAGCACAGATACAAACATGTTACAATGTGTCCAGTCTAGCTACCAGTTCCTCATTGTCAACACAGATACAAACATGTTACAATGTGTCCAGTCTACGTACCAGTTCCTCATTGTCAACACAGATACAAACATGTTACAATGTGTCCAGTCTACGTACCAGTTCCTCATTGTCAGCACAGATACAAACATGTTACAATGTGTCCAGTCTACCTACCAGTTCCTCATTGTCAACACAGATACAAACATGTTACAATGTGTCCAGTCTACCTACCAGTTCCTCATTCTCCTTGAAAAGAGACAGGAAGGTTCTCAGAGCATCTTCATCTGTTGTGGTCTTTAGCAAGGCGTACGCTTCCAGCACAGCTGAAAATGTCATATGAGGTATACCGGGGTATATTAATAACCCTGTTCACATGAATCACAAATTCTGATTGCTGCAGCACTTGTTGCTATATATGTCAGTAGTAGCCTTTATACTAGTATACTTCATATAGTAGGCATATGGCAGTAAGACTACTGTAGAGGCAATATACAGTACAAAGGTTGATATACAGCAGTAGGTATGTCATAGAGGCTGCAGCACTTGTTGCTATATAATTATGTCAGTAGTAGCCTTTATACTAATATACTTCATATGGTAGGCATACAGAAGTAGGACTACTGTAGAGGCAATATATAGTACATAGGTAGGTATACAGCACTAGGTATGTTATAGAGGCTATATATAGTGTAAGGTTTGATATAGTATATAGGTATTATACAGCAGTGGTAGGTTATAGAGTCTATATATAGTATAAGGTTTTATATAGTACATAGGTAGGTATACAGCACTAGGTATGTTATAGAGGCTATATACAGAGTGTAAGGTTTGATATAGTATATAGGTAGGTTTACAGCAGTGGGTAGGTTATAAAGGCTACATATAGTGTAAGGTTTTATATAGTTTGTAGTTAGGTTTAAAGCAAAGGTATGTTATAGAGGTTATATATGGTATAAGATTTTATATAGTATATAGGTATTATGTATAAATCAGTGGTAGCTTATAGAGTCTATATATAGTATAAGGTTTTATATAGTATTTAGGTAGGTTTATGGCAGTAGGTAGGTTATAGAGGTTATATATAGTGTAAGGTTTTATATAGTATTTAGGTAGGTTTATGGCAGTAGGTAGGTTATAGAGGTTATATATAGTGTAAGGTTTTATATAGTACATAGGGAGGTATACAGCAGTAGGGCAATCATATTTTATTAAATTGAAACAAAATCTTAAAGCATGGGGTTGCTCAATGAAACATCCTGCCTCCCTAAATTAAACTCACCTGAAGTGAATGAACTGTTGTTATTATTTACCTGTGAGTGGTTTCACTATAACTTCACTTGCAGATGTCTCAAATTCTCGATATCCTTCTCTGAAAAGTATCAACACAAATTGTGAAACCTGACTGCACAAGCCTAGTAAAATCTTGACATTTTTTTATATTTGTATACTTATCCTGCATTAGTAAACACAATCTGAAAGAGGATGATGTAAACTGGCTATATCTGACTGACGCAATCCAGGGCAAGTCTTACCTAACCTTACACCCACATTGATGTGATCCTGCAACATAAACCAGCTGCACCAATGTGACTGATACAAGAACACGTACAGACAGTAGCAGGAGAGAGGGGTGTACTCCCAAGGTATGTCTATATTGTTCGTCTGCACACAGCAATGTTCTAGCTATGTGACTACGGCCTGTAAGTAATCAAGTCTGGAACAGACAAACCACTGATTGAGTAACATCCCACGCTGTTGCAGCTTCCCAAGACAAGGGTGGTAACCGACAATAAAAGTCCAGTTTCCACCCTTGCAAAACTAGGCTGGAATTCCGGAGATACAGTTAGGCTGGACTAATGAGTCTATACATAGTCCAATCAAAATCGTGCAAGCAACTAGACATCAGATTCGTAAACAACATGGATTTCAATGTGCAGATTTCAGTCGAATGCAGGATTTGCAAAACATGTGTACTGTCAGCTGGACATTTCCCAAATGTTTTCATGTTTCAAGGTGCTCAAGTGATTTGATGCACTTCGCGAGGAAAGACCCGTTTTATTAAAATATAGATCTTGATTATCGATCAGATCCTCTTGACTGTGTGCTGCCATTTTGTTTGAAACAAATGCAAGTGATGTGAGAGGTGGAATCAGGAGGAACATAGAAGGGACATAACTCTAAATAGCCACTGGTGGCACTCAGGCGAGCCACGGCTCTCCACCCTAGTTTGGCAAGAATGGAAACTGATCTTTTATAGTCAGTTAACAACATTTCCTCAGGTAGATAACACTGTTTGGGTGCAATGACATCCAATCAACTTAGTCACCAGAGTGATAACCCAATCCATTACATTTAGTCTACGTACCTAACAGCATCCAGGAGAGAATGGGTGTACTCTAACTGAAGATCATACACAGATTGATGGAACTTCACTTCCTCTCTCAAAGCTTTCACCTGGAACATATACATGGATCAGCAGAAGGAAACAGCACAAACGAAGGATAGCCCAGGAACATGTCCACATGACCAAAGAGGTTAACCCCATCAGCAAGTTCAAAAGGTAAGGATTTCATCTGTGAGATTGCTCTACACCCTGCTAGGACTTGATAATCAACTGTCTATCAGCTTACAGAGGTTTCCTTACAAAACCAGTGTCCCTTTAAAGAAAGAATTCAGTAAGAAAAGATAAACTGAAGTAGAAAAGCTCTTCAAGAAATGGCATTTTGTCAATCCTAGAAGTATGTTGCTGTGATGCACTGTAAAAATGTCTTCTGACCTCTCTGTCCTGGATGTGGTGCCGGTAGTTGCACACTCTGAGCAGCGTGTTGACAAGACGATGCACAGCCTGTGCCTTGCCACGAGGCAGAGATGGGAGACAGGACAGGAACTCGTCAGCGCTGACCTCCTTCAAGACTGGTCGCTTCAGAACTGGCTGAAAGTGTCAGACATGCTACAGTGGTCAAGCAGCTCTGAGGAACTAAAGCTTCGTGTGAATCAGGTTACTAAGAACTGAACAAACTTAAGTAACTAGGAAGCTAAAGATAGTTTTACTAGTGGATTATGCTGTCATTTAAAGATCCTTACAACATGGAGCTATTGCTCTGAAATTAGAAATCCTACAATAGAGGTTCATTGTGAAGGATTAATTTGATCATGTTAATGAACATGTTTTGATCCTTCTTACATTCTTACCCAGGGTGCACTGGGGACAAGCAGCGACAGGGTCAAGAGGTCATCAGCACAATCTTTCATCATTGCACAAGATCGGAGCACTTGCGTATTGAGTCGTTCCTTTACTGCAGAGGTCATGTGACTTGAACACAGCCTCTCACTTGTCCATTTGTCATCCGAGATTAGATGATGCATCCGGACCAGTTCCTTGTACAGGCTGCTCAATTTGGCCTCCAGCTGAGACTGCAACAAAACCAAACCCAGTAAACACATGACATACAATCAGTGAACACATAACATACAACCAGTAAACACATGACATACAACCAGTGAACACATGACATACAACCAGTGAACACATGACATACAACCAGTGAACACATGACATACAACCAGTAAACACATGACATACAACCAGTAAACACATGACCTACAACCAGTGAACACATGACATACAACCAGTGAACACATGACATACAACCAGTGAACACATGACACACAGCCAGTGAACACATGACATACAACCAGTGAACACATGACATACCAGTGAACACATGACATACAACCAGTGAACACATGACATACAACCAGTAAACACATGACATACAACCAGTAAACACATGACATACAACCAGTGAACACATGACATACAACCAGTAAACACATGACATACAACCAGTGAACACATGACATACAACCAGTGAACACATGACATACAACCAGTAAACACATGACATACAACCAGTGAACACGAAACACACAGCGAGATCCGTTAAAACATGACACACAACCAGTGAACACATGACATACAACCAGTGAACACATGACATACAATCAGTGAACACATGACATACAACCAGTGAACACATGATATACAACCAGTAAACACGACATACAACCAGTGAACACATGACATACAACCAGTGAACACATGACATACAATCAGTGAACTCATGATATACAACCAGTAAACACATGACATACAACCAGTGAACACATTACATACAACCAGTGAACACATGACATACAACCAGTAAACACATGACATACAACCAGTGAACACATGACATACAACCAGTGAACACATGACATACAACCAGTAAACACATGACATACAACCAGTAAACACATGACATACAACCAGTGAACACACAACACACAGCGAGATCCGTTAAAACATGACACACAACCACAGCCAGTGAACACATGACATACAACCAGTGAACACATGACATACAACCAGTGAACACATGACATAAAACCAGTGAACACATGACATACAACCAGTGAAAACATGACATACAACCAGTAAACACATGACATACAGCCAGTGAACACATGACATACAACCAGTGAACACATGACATACAACCAGTGAACACACATGACATACAACCAGTGAACACACAACACACAGCCAGATCCGTTAAAACATGACACACAACCACAGCCAGTGAACACATGACATACAACCAGTGAACACACAACACACAGCCAGATCCGTTAAAACATGACACACAACCACAGCCAGTGAACACACAAAACACAGTCACATCCAGTAAACACACAATCCCAACCATTTAAACTTGACACACAACTGCATCGGGTAAACACATGACACAGTGAACCACTGTCACATCCAGTCAAACATGACAGAACCGCACCCAGTGAACACAAAACACAGCCAGTAAACACAGCCACATCTCGGATATCAGAACACTTAACCACATCCAGAAAACACATGATACACAAACTGACACTGTAAACACAACACACAACCAGCCAGTAAACATACAACCACACCAAGTATACACATCCACATCCAGTAAACACACGATACACAAACTGACACAGTAAATACACAACAAACCCCAAGACACAACCGGACATTCCAAGGTTCTAGTCATGCTTTCAGAGACCCACCACTCGTTTGAGATTGAGGTGCTCCTCAGACACAGTAAACACACTACAAAGCCCGAGACACAACCGGACATTCCAAGGTTCTAGTCATGCTTTCAGAGACCCACCACTCGTTTGAGATTGAGGTGCTCCAATTTGCCTGACACAACATCCAGCAGTGTGTGGTCCTCCTGTAGCCCTGGATGGAGGAAGTCGTTCATCAACAGAAGCGGCTTTGACAAGTGTTCCTGGGAAGAATTCTGAAACAAAAAACATTTATTATGCATGCATCATATCGTTTTTGTTAACAACAGTTCCCAGGAGATATGTAGCCACTCACAGAGCTGGATGCTGAGACAAGTGCTGCTTAGTCGCCACCTTCAGAATCACACTAGTAATACCTCACTGACCACTAAACACTTATTTCTCACATCTAGCTGAACTGACCAGGTAAGGACTGACCATTTGATATTCCAGTGAAGGGGAGGTAAGGCGTTGGATTTTGTGTGGAGATTAGATATTAAATTCTCTTGTTCCATGCTGAAAATTAATTGCAGTTGTTGCTAGCAACCAGTTAGTGCTAAATTTAACAGACTTATTAATTTAGAGTTTGAATCAGGACACAACTAATTTCTACTTCATTTATATGTTAAAATGTCCAAAATCAGACACCCAATTGTCTCAAAGCCATATGGATACCTGGATATTTTTGAACAGTTTGATTCTGGCGGACTCTGCTGTTTCGACCATCTTGACAAGGTCAGATCGTGGCACTGGAACATTGGTGCCCCTCACTTCTGCTGCTATGTGAGACCTGAACAGACCAATTACATAGTAAGAAAAAAGAGAAAAGTGTTAAGGTAATTATTATCTTACGACGCCTGAGGGAATAGAGGTTCTAGACATGCTCTACCTCCATCAGTACATTGGCTGAAGCTATCAGTCAGCCAGGACAGTGTAATATTCTCACGCTTTAGGAATGATTTGTAGCACTTGAACTAGCCCTAGGCTGTTGCTGCCTCCGATGAATAAATAATGGAGAACGACATTCTGTGTTCGGTCTTGTATTTATTGTCATACATACACGGGTGTTACATCCGGTAAAACAGGGGGTCCGGACGGCTAGGTCGCCAAGGGAGATTACTCTAATATGTTATACTCCATCACAGCCGCTAATGGCATAATGCAGTATGATAACAGTACAGACAGGGCACTCTCTACCTCCATCGATATCAGCCAACAAGGACAGGACATTCTCTACCTCCATCAGTACATTGCCTGAAGCTATCAGCCAACCAGGACAGGACATTCTCTACCTCCATCAGTACATTGCCTGAAGCTATCAGCCAACCAGGACAGGACATTCTCTACCTCCATCAGTACATTGCCTGAAGCTATCAGCCAACAAGGACAGGACATTCTCTACCTCCATCAGTATATTACCTGAAGCTATCAGCCAACCAGGACAGAACATTCTCTACCTCCATCAGGACATTGCCTGAAGCTATCAGCCAACCAGGACAGGACATTCTCTACCTCCATCAGTACATTGCCTGAAGCTATCAGCCAACCAGGACAGGACATTCTCTACCTCCATCAGTACATTGCCTGAAGCTATCAGCCAGCCAGGACAGGACATTCTCTACCTCCATCAGTACATTGCCTGAAGCTATCAGCCAGCCAGGACAGGACATTCTCTACCTCCATCAGTAGGTTTACCTGAAGCAATCAGCCAACAAGGACAGGACATTCTCTACCTCCATCAGTACATTGCCTGAAGCTATCAGCCAGCCAGGACAGGACATTCTCTACCTCCATCAGTAGGTTTACCTGAAGCAATCAGCCAACAAGGACAGGACATTCTCTACCTCCATCAGTAGGTTTACCTGAAGCAATCAGCCAACCAGGACAGGACATTCTCTACCTCCATCAGTACATTGCCTGAAGCTATCAGCCAACCAGGACAGGACATTCTCTACCTCCATCAGTACATTGCCTGAAGCTATCAGCCAGCCAGGACAGGACATTCTCTACCTCCATCAGTAGGTTTACCTGAAGCAATCAGCCAACAAGGACAGGACACTTTCTACCTCCATCAGTACATTGCCTGAAGCTATCAGCCAGCCAGGACAGGACATTCTCTACCTCCATCAGTAGGTTTACCTGAAGCAATCAGCCAACAAGGACAGGACATTCTCTACCTCCATAAGTAGGTTTACCTGAAGCAATCAGCCAACAAGGACAGGACATTCTCTACCTCCATCAGTAGGTTTACCTGAAGCAATCAGCCAACAAGGACAGGACATTCTCTACCTCCATCAGTATATTACCTGAAGCTATCAGCCAACCAGGACAGGACACTTTCTACCTCCATCAGTACATTGCCTGAAGCTATCAGCCAGCCAGGACAGGACATTCTCTACCTCCATCAGTAGGTTTACCTGAAGCAATCAGCCAACCAGGACAGGACATTCTCTACCTCCATCAGTAGGTTTACCTGAAGCAATCAGCCAACAAGGACAGGACATTCTCTACCTCCATCAGTACATTGCCTGAAGCTATCAGCCAGCCAACAAGGACATTCTCTACCTCCATCAGTACATTGCCTGAAGCTATCAGCCAGCCATGACAGGACATTCTCTACCTCCATCAGTATATTACCTGAAGCTATCAGCCAACCAGGACAGGACATTCTCTACCTCCATCAGTACATTACCTGAAGCTATCAGCCAACCAGGACAGGACATTCTCTACCTCCATCAGTATATTACCTGAAGCTATCAGCCAACCAGGACAGGACATTCTCTACCTCCATCAGTATATTACCTGAAGCTATCAGCCAACAAGGACAGGACATTCTCTACCTCCATCAGTACATTGCCTGAAGCTATCAGCCAGCCAGGACAGGACACACTCTACCTCCATCAGTATATTACCTGAAGCTATCAGCCAACCAGGACAGGACATTCTCTACCTTCATCAGTAGGTTTACCTGAAGCTATCAGCCAACCAGGACAGGGTATTCTCGACCTCCATTAGTGTTGCTGCTCGGCTGCCAACTGCTTCATTGAGGAGTAAGATCTGGACAAAACCAACAACAAGTGTTACATTGTCTCCTATTGCACCTCACCATAAATCCAAATTGTACATTATTTTGGACAAATCTGTTGTCCCCGTCTGTTGTACCTGTATGTTTTCCCCAACTGTTGAACCCGCCTGTTGTACCCGTCTGTTGTACCTGTTTGTTGTACCCGTCTGTTGTACCCGTTTGTTGTACCTGTTTGTTGTATCTGTCCATTGTCCCCGTCTGTTGTACCTATCTGCTTTACCCGTCTGTTGTACCTATCTGCTTTACCCGTCTGTTGTACCTGTCTGTTGTACCCATCTGTTGTACCTATCTGCTTTACCCGTCTGTTGTACCTGTTTGTTGTACCTGTCTGTTGTACCTGTCTGTTGTACCTGTCTGTTGCACCTATCTGTTGTACCTGTATGTTGTACCCATCTGTTGTACCTGTCTGTTGTACCTGTATGTTGTACCCATCTGTTGTACCTGTCTGTTGTACCTGTATGTTGTACCCATCTGTTGTACCTATGTGTTATATCCATCTCTTGTACATCTGTCTGTTGTCTGTTGTATCTGTCTGTTTTCCCTGTTTGTTGTACCTGTCTGTTTTCCTCATCTGTTGTTCCCGTCTGTTGTACCTGTATGTTTTCCCCATCTGTAGTACCTGTCTGTTGCACCTGTCTGTAGTACCTGTCTCTCCTGCTGTATAAGCTGACACTTGAGGAGGTTGACTCGTCTCTCATCAAAGCTTTCATGGGAACTCTGCTTCACCAACATGTCCAGAGTAGATCTGCCAACAACGATCACAGTCAGTCTCAGACTTCACTCTAAACATGTCTACGAGGGCTGTGAGTGAGTGAGTGTGATTTTATGCCGCTTTTAGCAATATTCCAACAATATCATGGCAGGGGACACCAGAAATGGGCTTCACACATTGTACCCATGTCAGGAATCGAACCTTAGTCTTCGGCGTGACGAGCAAACACTTTAACCACTGGGCTACCCGACAGCCCGACAAGGGCTGTGTCTTGGTAAAACATATGAATTGCATGAAACCCAACCTACCCTTGTTTAAGGTTATGTCCAAATACATTTCCTTTGATAAATACTGGAAGGTCTAGAAGTTGGGCACTGGACACAAACCCTACCTTCAACTGACATTTCTGCCAGAAATCTTCCACATATATATAAGCCCTAGCCTGAAGTCCATTATTTTGCAATGGAACCAAAAACTATAAAAACTATTAATATCAGGAAAAGCATAAGGCACCAGTTCAGCACTTGTCTGATTTTAATGCAAAGTTTAACATGTTTTATTTAACAGCTTATGGGCTATGACATTTACCACTCCTGCCTGTTACTTTAAACAATGATTTAATGAACAGGGATTTACTCTGTCAATCTATTTTTGAATCCAAGGGATGCTCAGTAATACATTTTGGGGGTCCAAGGCAAGAACATGGGGGTCCCAGCCTTGTGACAAGTGGCATGTGTCACTTGATTTCCAACAATTTTATTTTTTTTAATTTTTTTTTTTGCAGCATTTCAGCTGTATGCATGGTATGACAGCTGTCTGTAAATAATCAGTGATTGACATCATGAGCATCGATCCACGCAACTGGGATAGAGTGACATGCATCATCCAAGTCAACAAGCCTGACCACCCGATCCCGTTGGTTGCCTCTTACGACAAACTGTTGCTTTTTACAGCAAGCATGGGTTGCTGAAGACCTATTCTACCCCGAATCTTCATGGGTCCAAACAATTTTACTGATTGCATTTACATTGCACATGCTCAGAAACATAAGCCTATAATAGATCAGATATCTTACCAGAATAGTCACTTACATGTAACATGGATTCTACAATTTTCATCAATGATACTTTTTGCGTCAATCAGGACTCACAATGTAAGTTATTTGCATCCATTATATCGTTTGTTTGGTTGTTTATCGCTGCACTCAGCAATATCCCAGCTTTTTTACGGCAGTCTGTAAATAATCGAGTCTGGACCAGATAATCCAGTGATTGATATCATGAGCATCGATCCACGCAGTTGGGATAGAGTGATGTGCATCAATTGGGACACGATGACATGCATCAACCAAGTTAGCGAGCGTGACCACCTGATCCTGTTAGTCGCCTCTTACGACAAGCATAGCCGCCTTTTACGGCAAGCTTGAGTTGCTGAAGACCTATTCTACCCAAGATCTTCACGGTTCGCATCCATTATAATATCTATATGATTCTATATGTGCATCCAGTAAAACCTTGATGAAAGATTGTGAATGATGCACCACTCACCTGGCCTCTTCAAGTTGTGCTCGGAGAAGTACATTGTCATCTTTGGCTTCCTGACAAAAGAACACTGACTGCTTAAAATTGTCAATAGAAGTGAGGCAAAATTCCATATTGTCAAATCATTTTTCAAAACATTGCAACTGTGAAAAAATTGTGATGGAATGGAATTAATGACTATAAGATACATAACAACACAAACATCATTTAGATTTAATGGATATGACAATCTCATTAAAATCATATCTCTAAGTTCTCGCTGCCGCTAAACAAAGATCTGAGGACATCCAATTACGGGTCACATCAGAACGACCTTTCACGAACTTTGACCCACCACTGCATGACTAACAAGAAGTCGACATCAGCCAATTAGAAAGCAGCTTTCTCGAGCTTTACAGCACTCCTTTCAACCTGGCGACTTCCATTTCAGACTACACTTGAAAAATATGTTGACACAGTCTCAATTAAAATTTTGAAAACTGAACAAACGAACATTCTGGATTGTGTAATATATGGTTGAGATTGTATGGCAGTGCTTCCCATGTACTGTGCAATGCCTCCTCCATTCAAATGTTTGTACCACGGAAGCGAGAAATAGATGATAATTTTGACGGAATCAGTCGTAGGGGTGATAACTTTCGTTTGGAATATCCCATGTTAACATTTTCGAGGTTGCATGATTAGAAAACACATTCTGACTGTCACTTTCATGATCTGGTAAGCGACGCTTTGATTGGCCGGATGAAAGGTCGTTCTGACATGACCCGTAATGGGATGTCCTCAGATCTTTGTTTAGCAAGAACTGAGATCTGATTTTAATGAGATTGATGGACTGATGGAGCATTTTCTCCAACAAGTAAATGAGTGAGTATGGTTTTACGCCGCTTTTAGCAATATTCAAGCAATATCACGGCAGGGGACACCAGAAATGAGCTTCACACATTGTACCCATGTGGGGAATCGACCCAGGTCTTTTGCGTGACGAGGAAACCCTTTAACCACTAGGCTACCCCATCCCCCCTTTCTCCACCAACATAAACTTAGATCAGTTATCTTGTTTGTTTGTTGTTTAGCGCTGCACTCAGCAATATTCCAGCTATGACGGCAGGCTGTATATACTCAAGTCTGAACCAGACAGTCCAGTGGTCGATATTGTGAGCAACGATCCATGACACTGGGGTAGGACAAGCTGTCAACCAAGTCACTGAGTCTGACCACCTGGTCCATTTGGTTGCCTCTCGTTACGAGCATAGGTTGCTGGGGACCTATTCTAACCCAGAATCCCTAGAGGGATCAATTATCCTAACCACCTGACAACATAACCAGCTGAAGAAGACAATATTGTATTAGTGGCCACCTTTAGGTCCCTCTCAAGTCTGGCTTGACTGGCACTGGCTGTGTCAGACCCGGTGGGCCTATCATCAAACATGGACTGTCGATGGAGAGCGCCCATCAGACCCAGACGACCACTGCCCCTCGACATGTTCCACTTGGATTCCTACTGCTCTCAATCCTTTATTTTCCAGACATCTTACTGCAAAGTAACAGGACATATTTATATTTATCAATCAAGAGTTGGTTTTACAGCAACTTCATATACATTCCTGCTTCTTAGTTGCCATCAATTTCAGACCTCCTTGCAAGGCATCCTTTCTAGAATCTAACTCAAATAGCAAACATCAAAATTAATAATGTGAGCATGAAACTTCATTGTATAAAAACATATCCCTACAACATGATCTCGTTGAGCCTGTTGAAGGTGTTTAATGTTGCCTCGATTTAACATTTTTAAGTACCATCTTCTGTCATTATATATAGGAATTAGGGCTGGGACGAGTCCAAATTTACTCCCCGGGTACCCACCCCACTATTACCTGACCCTATCTGGATACCTGCTGTAGGTCTCAAGAGATGGGTGCAAAATGTCCGATTGGGAATAGTTTGACCGTAACCCTGGACAAAATGTATTTAGCTACACTTATAAACCTCCGGTGACGTCATCCTATTGTTCTCCAGTCGAGTTAAATCTTATAAATAGGGACGTTGTAATGTCCCTGGGATTTTATATAATACCCCTGGGATTTTATAGGATATTCAAGTCATATTTGTTATATAATGTGTTATAATATCCCAGGGATTTTATATAATGTCCTGGGTATTTTATTAATATAAATTCCGTTGTAACATGTAATGAAATGTAAAATCAAATGACAA